GGTCAAGAAACCCTGAAATAAAATTAATGATGAATGGCAGCGTTTGCCTTTGCCTTGGCACAGTTAGTATCAAACAAAACCAAAGAAATAGAAAGATCAAGGTTAGAGGGGCCTGCAGTAAGCTTTGAAGTGGTGTCAGGGGGAGTCAAAAGAAGAAAGTAAAAGTTAAGTAGTTTGCTAATAATAAGAATGTGAATACTTGGGGGAGGGTCTGTCCTAGAATGAATATGCTCAGACATTAAGATTTGCAAGGATGGCAGCTACTGGGAGATGCTTGTTATGTGGGAGAGGATGGAGGATCTTCTCTGTTGTTGGACCTCAACTTTGGAACAGCCTTTCCTTGCAAGAAAGGCTGGTGCCAGCATTAATTACCTTTTGCTATCTGGTAAAAAGCTTACTTTTGTTGTCACATTTGGAATTGGTGTCCACTAATAGTATCTGAGTGTTCAATTTTGCTGTTTGGTCTTATTGTTTTGCCATATTTTGCTTTTTTGTGGATTATAAACAGCAATTGTTCTCAGGAACATTATTTTTCATGAACTGGATAGGTGTTTTAGGAAACTGTCATATAAGGAATTACTTTCTGTGGTCCATTTGTCTCAACAGCATCTATCCTGAGTGGTGGACCCCCACTAGGATTTCAAGTCAAAGGTCTATTGGAGATCAAATCTGGGAATTTATGAGTGCAAAATGGTTATTATTCTTCCCAAATTAATTCTAGTATATGCTTCCTCTGGAAGAGTAACAAGGAGTCAGTATTAATATTGATTCAGTCTATAGATATTTCTATATGTAAACTCACACAAATTAAAAATTAAATAAATTCAAGATGTCATAACTTGGTTTTGCCTGAAACTAGGCAAGCTAGAGATGTTATTTTAGTAAAAATAACGGACGTTTCATGGCTACAGAGTACATCAGGCTTCAGTTAGCTTGCATTACCACTGATAGAAGTGAGCAATCTTAGGATCTGAGCCATCGAAAGAATACCAAAGGTGGGCCTGGATGTTCAGTTGTTGCTGTGCATCACAGTATCCAAGGAACGGAAGTTTAATAAGGGGCAGTGTGAAACAGGACCCTTCCCGCATTCTAAAGGGGCAGTTTAGCAGCTGTGCTTGTGCAGCGAGCTATTTCTGCCAGCAAGGTTCCAGGAAATGTGTTGGGAGATTTCTAAAATCATTTGGCATGTCGGGTTTTTTTTTAAGGTTTACATCAAGGCCGTGTGTGTGTGTGTGTGTGTGTGTGTGTGTGTGTGTGTAGACAGTGAATAATTTAGTGTACTTCAACCATTTTAAGCCAGCATACATTTTGGCAGCTTTTACAGAAACCTCTGAAGGAGAAGGCGTTCTGGAGCTGCTGCCACAGCAGGCATTTCAATGTTGTAGCAATGTCAAATAGTTGCCTTGATCCTCCCTTTTGTTTCCACTGGCTGTTCTCCCTTTTCTTTCTCTCTTTTTCTGGTGGTTGTTTTCATTTTGTTTTATTTTATTTTTGACCAAACATGGTGTGCACAGCAACAGCACGAAAGACAACAGACCACAAAGGCTCCCGAGGTATCAGTGGCTTTATTTGTAAGGAAATGTCAGGGAGCGTGTCATGATGGGCTGCAGCAGGCAACCCCTTTGCCAGATGACCTGCCGACCATAGAAAAGTGATTTGTCTTGTCCTCAGGACTGTGTCATTTGCCTGGCACTGCAGTAGCAACCTCCAAACATTTCCCAAGCAGTTGTCTTTTCTGGTCCATTTGTAAAAATCTGAGAAGTATGAGCTTTTTGAAGCCTTCTGAAACAATAGCAGACAAGCATTTTTGGCTGGGACTGGGGACATACTTGGAATTTCCAAGGATTTATCTGTCACCGAACTCAAACCATGTGACTTTTCAGTTATGTACAAAAAGAAGAGTAAACCATAATCCATATGAAGATAACATAACTATTGCTGTAATTATATTTGTATCCTGCTTTTTATTCAGCAGTGTGCTCGCTGCTCCCTTCTATTTATCCCACAACCACCTCCCTGTGAGAAAGGTTGGACTGAGAGAGAGGAACTGGTCCAGACTCACTCAGCTGAGAACTAATGCTCAGGGTTTCCTGGATGGTACGGCTGTAAAATGATTGACATGAAGAAGACCCATGTGGGATAAACCTTTTCTCAAAATGACTGGTGCTTTGCTTTCCAGCAAGACCATTTCCTATTGATATATTCTTAATGATATGCTTTTTAAAGAAATTTGGTAAATGCCAAAGGAAATGTCATGGGGCACATCGCTGATAGTGGTCTTCTCAGTAGAGCCAGTTGGGGAAGCCCTGTGAATGTAGAGAGCCACAAAATATTTCTTTTAAGTGGACTTAAAAAAGAAATGTGACTTACTCAGCAATGTGTTTGGTTTATGTGTCTACTTAAAAAATATATGGCACTCATGAAAACAGCTTTCCTCAGATAATTTAGAGGAGTAATTTTTAATGTTTAAAAAAACCTACTGTGATTAACATTAAAATAAACAACATATATTAATAATACCTATATCATAATGAGGGAAAGCTACAGGAGATCTTGTTCAGATTCTTGGATGTCTCCTATGCGGAAAATGATAATGAATGGAGCCTTTTTGAGAAAGTCACTTTGTCTTCCAGCTGAGATCTGATGATCCCCAACATTAAATACTTTTGATCAAAGTATAATCTGTAAAAATGCTCAAATTATTGTTATTTTCTTGGCAAAGTCTAGTTCAGGTTTGCCTTTCCGTCTGAGATTTTTTTTCCCCTTCATTTGACCAATCTAGCCTACAGCCTGGGATTTCCTGGGTGTCTCCCATTTAAGTATTAATCTGCTCTCACCCTGTGTAATTTTCACATCACTGAAGACCGAGTTGCTTTACATCCTGGTTGTTTAAGAAGTTCTTTAATTGAAAGTAATGATTTCACTTAGTTACATAAAGCATTTATAAAAAGTAAAAATGATGAATGCTTTGTATGAAAATATATTTTACTTACTTAGAAAAGCCTGAAGATAATATGGAAAGTGTAGTGTATGAAGTACCTACACTTGGGAGTCTTGAATGTTTGATGGGGAACACCTACACCCTCTTGCCTTCTGGTAAATGAGAATTTTCTCATCGACTATGCTCACTATAATAGCCATTTTGTGCCTGAGCAAACATTTTCCATGATAGCCATTTTGCCAGAGTATCCTTGGAATGTTTCCAAAATGTGAAATGTACCCTTCCCAACTTGCAAAATCGAAGAAACTTTAGGCATAACCTAAGTATTCTTCTTTTATAAATTGGACAAAATCAAACAAGTGTTTTTTTGATATTTTGAAATACTTGGAACTGAAGAAGAGCACATTAAATTCATTGGATTTTAGCCAAGAACATTGGATGGCTGTATGTTTAAACTGCAGTATATTTATATATTTTTCTTTGAACATTTTGTTTTGGGAAGCTCGATGACAGAAAGGCATTATCTCCGACCTTTTTCCAGCAGAAATCTCTCTCAAGTTTTCCATAAGGATTGCATCCCTTCATCATTCTTTTTTCCCACAAGGTGTCGCTCTCAGACCATCTATGGGAAAAAAAAAATTCATGGCAGTTTCCACATATTTATCATGGAGTTTTCTGTTCCCATTTCATTGTTTGTTCCTAATTAGTTTCATGATAAAATATAGAAAGCAAAAACCTTAATATTAATTATATATATAAACTCTTGCCCATCTATTGTAGCAAGCTGCCAATTCATGGCTGTGGATTACAGTTATCTATGAATGCACTCAGATTTCTCACAGAAATCTGTTGAATCAAGCAGTTTAGGTAAACATACTTCCCACTTTCTTTTTACCGTAGCCCAATCTATAGTGTACATCTATAGTGTATATACTTAAAGTACATACTCTCTTTCAAATGTAAAAACAGTGTTGATATCTCTAAATAGACTGAAAGGTTCTGTACTGGATATACTTGTCGAAACTGATTTAGGCCTTCCAAAGAACTACATTTCTCCGCTTCAGATGGTCACAAAGAAAAGAGTTTATTTATAAGACAATTTCTTGGTTTCTCTGGGCATGACCCAATGAAAAATATTTCCAGGTCAGATTCTCTTCTTGCCTGCAAATTCCCTCTTGTATTTTCTAAGTATCTATTTGTCCCAGGTTCTGATCTTTGTTTTCTTTCTTTCTTTCTTTCTTTCTTTCTTTCTTTCTTTCTTTCTTTCTTTCTTTCTTTCTTTCTTTCTCTCTCTCTCTCTCTCTCTCTCTCTCTCTCTCTCTCTCTCTCTCTCTCTCTCTTTCTTTCTTTCCTTTCTGTCTAATATAGCTCTCCCTTTGAATCTCCTAGAACTAGATGTTCTAATATTTTGCTGATTAAAATAAACACTTTTATTTACAACCACGTTCTGAAATTCCCTCACTTTCCTTGCCTGCTATCTTCCTTAAAAAGCTTACTCCATATCTTAAATTATCTTTTTCTACATTAGTTTCTATTGTTTTCCAAAAGGTGATGTTTCCTTTTTTTAAAAAAGCAGAACATCTCTAATTAAAAATAATTTTAATTTCACTACTATTGAGATGCATTGATTCTGCAATATAATATTTATATCTAGAAAGTGGCAGGAGGATGGTGGATTCTGAAAAACTCTAGAGTACCTATATGAATCTCTCAAACAATTTTTTTTAGAATAATAAAAAAAAATCACTGTATTTTATTGAGGAAATAATAGCAACTACTGCTAATAAATCAGGGGAATAGGACGATAGATAGATAGATAGATAGATAGATAGATAGATAGATAGATAGATAGATAGATAGACAGACAGACAGACAGACAGACAGACAGACAGACAGACAGGGATGGATGGATGGATGGATGGATGGATGGATGGATGGATGGATGGATATTAAGTGTCTGTGTTTGTGTATGTGAATGACTCAAATGACCTCCGGTACTTTGCATTTCTGGCTCTCGATGCACCAACACTGACAAAATGTGTTCTTTTTTTAACTTTAGGAAGCTGATTTGTACCGACAACTTCCCATGGAATCTGAGAACCTTGCCCCAGTTCAGACTGCTGTGAGCACACCTAGCATGACACAGGACATGAGATCTATTACAAATAATGGGTCAGATCCCTTTCTGAACAGGCAAGTACCATGTCTGATCACCAGCCATTTTATGTTCTGTAATAAAGGTCTTATCTAAAATTTGCTTACCTATTAAAGCATGTGAATAGAGATTTCCACAGTGGCAATTTTGCTTGTGAGTTACAAAAGCTTTAATTGAATAGTTATTTAATCTTTTTGATTCTGATCAATTCTGATCTGATTACTCTCTAATTGTATTTTTAGTGGTGTGTAGAAAATTGGCCAAAGGTATTTCTCATATGGGAATAGGCAGGGGGAGGCTATAGGATACCAAACTGACATTTAGACTGAGAAGGGCAATTAGGCATATTACATATAATTAGGAAAATTAGGGTAATTTCTTAATTATTCTATGTATAATTAAGAAAAACACCTATATGCTAGATGGCATCTCTTCACATGGGTACTGTCTCTCTGTCACTGTAAATTTGGATTGACACTGCCATTTGCTTTTTAAACAACTGGCATCATTTGACAGTAGAAGAATGACAACCACTAGTGCCCACTCCTTAGTTGAAATTGTGACTGGGAATGATGTATCCTGCACAATGATTGTAGCAGGTGCCAAGAAAATGAAGTGGGAACAAATGTAGATGAAAGATGCGAGTCAACATAGTTTGCCAAATGCAAAAGCGACCAGTGAGAAAGAGAGGATGAGAAGTGGAAGGGAGCAGGGGGGGGGGTATTATAGGTAGTTGGATCAGTAGACTGGAAGATAAAAAATTGGAGCCTATGATAAGGCTAGGAAGTCTTGTTTAGTACACTGATACCTCATTATAAAGCTTTTAAAAAATAGGTATATAGGGATTGATCTGTGGATCCTGCATGTAAGACATGTACTCTCTTACTGAGATTTGGTTCCACTCCTTGATCTAGACCTATCTTCTTTGGGCTTTGATTACACTGGCTACCAAATTGCCAGGAGATCTAAAATGATAATACCGTATCTTGTAATGCATAAATTTTATTTTAAGAAAAGTAAGATTTTCAGTTACCAAATTCCTTGATAGATGTTTTCAACCTGTCACAGGGGAACTCACAAAATATTGGAATACATCGAGAACTGTTTAGAGTTCAAAGTTTAACCAATTAGACTCTTATTTTGTAAGCCATTCTGGAGACAGACATGCGATGGGCACAGTCTTGACTACGGACTTTTCATGTCTCAATTCATAGTGGGCCATACCATTCCAGGGAGCAGAGCACAGACAGTGGCCTAGGCTTAGGATGTTACAGCATACCGACTACCCCTGAAGACTTCCTCAGCAATGTAGATGAGATGGACACAGGTATGAACAAGAAGTATATTTTTCTTCTTAACAAAATTATAAACAATAGGCTCAGCCAATGTCACTTTTATACTTGTCTGAATTACATATTCAATTGCCCAGCTATTAAATAAACTGCACCTTCCAATTTGTGCAAGAATTACAGTCCCAACATGTCCAGTAGGACTGATATTGCATATGCTTCAGTATGCAACCAAGAAGATCCTGATTTTAGCCCTCAAGTTTATCTACATCTCATTTTTCCTCCAATTTTAATCTTACATTGTACTGAAACTGTACTCCCTGAATCTTTTTAGCCTTCTAAAAGTGTCTTTCTGAGTGTGGGTATCCAACCAAGGAGTTGTTTTAGATTTGTAGACAGAGTTCCTTTACTCTCTCCTCCCTCCCCTCCCTCTCCCCCAGTTTCAATAGTATTATCATCAACTATGCTAATTCCTAACCTTGTTAGGTAGATGGTGGCATTGGTGATCAGAAGTGAGGAATACTGTGGGTATTTTGCATAGGATCATAAATTTATTTATTTTTAGCTGAACAGTTGATGACAGTACTGACCTGAAGACCTGTCTTTAAAATCTACTCTTCACATAAGGTGTTCAAGAATAATTTAGAAATTTAATTTAGACATCAATAATCTGATGAATTTTTAAGATGTGCACTGTTAAGGCATATTTCTTAAGTACCTTAGAAAAAGACCGCTGCTGGGATTTTTGATAGCTTTTTATAAAAACCTTAGCTTTCTGTTCTGGACTATATAGCCTTTCAGATTATTGCCCCTTTCATGTTATTAAAATCTTGAGATATTTAGGAAACTCCAAAAGTAATATTTAGGTGGGCAATATGTGAAAGCTGTACCATTCCTGTTGAAACATCAGCTAGCAAATTACTATCTATCTATACCATCACCAGGAATATATTCTACATTACCTCCTCCTCTTAGATCATGGTTAAATTTCTCTTTGTACCACATGCAGACAAGGATGGCAAAATATTCCTGGAGAGATAAACCCAGTGTTTTTTTTTAAAAAGAGGCCTTTGCTATTATTTAAGACCCTTGAATTAGGGTAAAGGAAATTTTCACCAGTAGACAATATTCTCCCAAGCTTGGTCTCCACATTTATTTTATTATATTTATTATATAAGTGTATAAGGCTGTCCAATCCACAATTACTCCAAACTGTCTGCAACTAAAACAATAATGAAATAGATTTCAAACAAATAGACTCACCTGTGTGTGAGTTGGGTGGCCATATAAATTTGCTTAATAAAATAATAAACAAATAAAAACTAATTAGGTGGAAACTCCCAATAGGCTGTAAGCATTGGGGCTTCCACCCTCAACCTGGTGACTGGATCTAGCAATTCAGGCATAGATTTCACTACACTGCTGTGATTCATATAATGTGGTAGGGATTTTTATTGTGACTTCTTCCCCCTCAGCATCTTCATGTTCAAGGGATTTCAGAATTGTGTCCTAGATTATAGAATCAGCTCCCTTAGAGTCTCTAGACAGCAACCAGTTGTTTAGCCCAATGGCTTAATGTTACATTACAAAATCTTATTCTTAGTCAGATAGAAATCTAAAGAAGGGACTACCAATCTTCTTTGCAGCAATTTAAACATAGCAATTACTACCTCTACCCTCTTATATTCTATATCATAGTTCATTCTCTTCATAATCAACATTTTTAATCAGTAAACCCCGAAATTCACATCCTTGTTTCCATCATGAAATGTCAGTTGTGTGACTGATTTCCCTGGAGAGATAAATTTGTGTGCAACTGATTGTTCCTCAAAACATTGAAATCAATAAACACAAAGAAAAAGTAGACTAGAACCCTTGCCTTAATGTCTTGTGTTCTGTATAGAAGTACACATTGTATATAGAGAAATTTTGTTGCATGAATCTACCATCAATTTGAAATGGTTAAAACCCTAGAAACCATTTTAACAAAGGCTTAGTCTGATCAAACATTAAGCTTCATTGTTTGGGCATTGATGGTTTATTTTAGCTGTTACTTCAGGAAGCTATTTTTATTATAGAGGTACCACTTGCTCATATCTCTCCTCTTTCTCTCTCACTCACTCTCTCTGGTGTGTGTGTGTATGTGTGCACATATGTGTAAAATGTTCACATGATCAATAAAACAATAAGAGCCGAGGTGGCGCAGCAGCTAGAGTGCAGTACTGCAGGCCACTTTAGGTGACTGTGTTCAGCAGGTCAGCAGTTCAAATCTCACCGGCTCAAGGTTGACTCAGCCTTCCATCCTTCCGGGGTAGGTAAAATGAGGACCCAGATTGTTGGGGGCAATGTAAATATATATATATACATTGCTTACTGGTGTACACTGCTTAGAGAGTGCTTGCACTTAAAGCGGTATATAAGTCTCGTAAATAAATAAATAAATAAATAAATAAACTGTTATTATTACATTGACTAGAATGAACTTTATAGTTAATAGACTCTGAGTCTATACAACACACTGAACAAAATATTTTAGTCTAAGATGTGCAAATCCAAGCTGTGTGGTTAATTAATGATCTAGCGGAACATGCAAATCTGGCACACCATGATTAAACATACAGTGGGTAAGCTTGGGTGAATCCAAGCCATATAGTGCTACCATATATCTCAGATCATAAGTCAAATAGATTTCAAAATCTAAAACAGCCTTCTGCCTCTATCTCAGAAAGTCTGGACTGGGAATTAGGGGAAAAAAATCTAGACATGGCTAACTGAAGTTTGGTTCAAATAACCTTTGATTTTAGATGCTATTACTCCATTCATTTCTTCTTTATTTTGCAGGAGATAATGTAGTACAGACTTCCATGAATGTCAACTCCCAACAGACCCGCTTTCCTGACTTCCTTGACTGTCTTCCTGGAACAAACGTTGACCTTGGGACATTAGAGTCCGAAGACCTGATCCCCATCCTTAGTGATGTGGAATCAGTCCTCAACAAAAATGAACCTTTTCTTACCTGGTTGTAACTGATAACCCAACATTTCCTTTCCCTCTAGAATTTAAGGCCAAGCCTCCTCAAGTCCTTCAGCTAACCAGCCTAATCCTTTGCTGACTTTTCCAACCCCTTTATAGGTCAATGAATCTTGATTGGGATGTCATTGACAATAACTTACATTTGAAATATATACAAATACAATATACATCCATCCCTAGTTTTAAGGAGTAGAATTGCTTATAGATATTAAATGTAAGTTTACCTAGATGTGTTTTGAGGAGACAAAGGGGTAGAGTTTGTTCGTTTGTTTTGCACCATGTCTGAACTGAACGGTCATCAGTTACAATTAAGTGTGTAATTAAGGAAATTAAAGACAGTGATGACTGTAAGAAGTTTCAGACTGCAGAAGTTAGCTTGGTTCTGAAAACCTAGCACACCATCAAATACAGCTCTGTGATTATATTTAATGGTCATTGCACCAAATGCTTGTTATTTACATAAGTTTTAAAAATCATCATTATTTTAAATAAACTCACACTGTAGGGAATACAGCTTTTTTCTTTTTAATTCCAAGTCAACCAGAGAGCAACTTTTTAAAAACCTGCAAAGCACAAACAGTACTTTTGGGACTTTTTCAGTTGCTACATGGTTTCTAGTAAGCAAAAGTGAAATGTTTTAACTGTTGTTTTTACACTACCACTGCATTATAAAATGAAACAGGTTGATACTAATTGCTGCCATTTTTAAACTATGTAGAAAATGAAAAAAATGCAATTATATATGTTACGTTCTTTTTTACTTTCATTTTAAAGAAGTACACTTTATATGTAGCTGTTTTAAAAACTATTTTAAGGTGAATCATAAAAACAACAAACTTTTGTTGTGTTATACACAAACCAAAAATTCTAGCAAATTCTAGCAAAATAGAATTTCAGAATTCTGGAGAAAAATTGTCACATTATTGAATACAGTAACAATTTTGTAGAGCCTTATTATCTTTTTTTCTTTTTAGCAATAATGCATTTTGTTGATCAGATTTTACAAGCTAGAAATAATTGCTTCACTTTATCAGTTAGGTGAAAGCCAACCTCTCTTTGCCAGTATAGCAAAGGTGCTTAACTTTTTAGCTATTTGCTTCTTAATTCTGGCATATGAGACAAAAGACTATTGTTGGTGTACTCCTAGCTATATTCATATAAAGATTATTAAATAGTTGATATCCAGGACTGAGAATGCATCAAGGACTTCCAAATGCTCACTTTCCCTGAAATGCAAATGACGTCCTGAAATTAAGTATTTTAAATTGTTTTTATTTATCTATGAACACTAAGCTTTTTTATATTGGAAAAAATTAACTTTTTATGGAAGGCATTATAATTAATACAAGCCTCTTAATCAGTGATATGCGAACCAAACAAACACACTGCCAGGCTTCAAGCATACCAATAAACAGTCATCATTGTATTACAGAACTGGGCAGTATATGCCCCTAATTTTCTTGGTGAAGAAAAGGAAGTGAAATAGATGTTAGCTTGAAGTCAGTAAGATAGGTTGAAGAGTGGCTAAGGAGAGAATGCAGATAGCAATGCTGGAGTATTACAGAGTCAATTCTGGGGATTACCCCAGTGGATCAATTAAATATTGGTGAACACTATTTCGTGGGAGAATTGTTACTTGAAGGTATTTGTTCTAAATGCACCAGGCTAGTTTTCTTTTCACAATATTTTAACCATGAGTGATTAAAAAACAAAAATGAAATCCAATTTTTGTGAAGTTTTAATATTTGACCCAGAAAATATTTTGTGTTTGTTTTATAAGGGCAGGGATGGATACGCAGACATAAGTAAGTAGATTAGTTTGTTTTAGCAGATTCTTGCACCTACTAGAAAATATTTTCCATCAATGGGCATTCTTTCTCTTTTATTTTAAAGGACTTTTTTTTTCATTTTGCTTGCTCACTTAACATATAGGATTAATCATTAAGAGAGCAAGAGATTTGTCTTTAAGTAATGTTATTGCATGTTTTCACTATTTAAAGATTATCAGCCATGATATGAAAACCAGATACTCCTACGATGTTTACTATTTTAGCTATGTGAACAAGTTTCTTCTTTCTTGATTTTTTTTTTCTTACCTGCTTAGAAAAACAGGAAGTTATTAAAGGCAGATCCAAGTCTTACTTGTTGTAGGGCCAGTGCTTTTGTGTTCATCGAGAAGCTGCAGAAACACTGCCATAGATCTCGTGTTCACTCAGCATGTGATCACTTGGCAATTTTTGGACTTCTGCAGATTTACAGATTTAAGACATACATAGTAACATTTGCTGTGACAGACTGGGCTTATAGCTGGAATAAATCGGCAATAGGCTTCAATTGAAGATAGCTCACTTATTCTAAAGAAGAATCAGATCTAATGGTGTACATTAATATTGGAAGTGCCATTTCCCACATATTTGTAGCCAACATCTTGTTCCATTTTGCACAACCAAAAACAGCCATCAAAGGAACTCTTCCAAGTTGTGTTAGTGGTATAATTTACCTCCTTTGATTTGATTTTCAGGAGTTAGTCTGCACGAATTAGAATGACTTCAATTTAAAGTGAAAATGGCATAGAGAAGGAACTAAACTTCATCCAGGCCCCAGCTGGATCTAGGAGAGAGTTAGGAGCAGAAAGGAGACTATTGTCTTAATCCCATATGACATCAAGATGGGCAGAGAAGCAAAATTCAAGCATTAGAGCAGAAATTTCATACCTTGTCTGGCTCCAGATCCTATTAATTAAAAAAAATTATCAGTACACAAAGAAAAAAATCAAGATACACTAGTAATAAAAAAATAGCTTTATTGGGGGTGTCAAGGGATAGCGATTAACCAGTCTTTTACAAAAACAACTCCATTACAACTTCATGGAACCTTGGGGAGGAGTCCACAGTTTGAAAAACATTACTATAGAGAACTATAGCAAACCGCAAAAATCCAAATGACCATTAAATGTAGCAATGAGATATTGAAAACACTATATTTGGCTACCATTTAATGATCTACATCTAGGTTTTTGCAATCTAAATCTAGTACCCATATAATTTTTATAAGTAGGAATTCTGGGTATACTTCTCTCTTTGAAGAGATCACTAGCAATGCTTGTTATTGCCATACCTATGATAACTCGAATTGAAGTACATAAGTAAGTGAATGGGGAACACATATGAGAAATTAATATTCTTATCCTTTTTCCTTATTCCTCACCATGATGAAGGTAAATGCTATAAGCTTAGAGCCACCAGAGCAAGGCTTGAAAAATCAAGCTGCACACTAGAAAAATCCAGATGACGTGCTAGCTGCCAGCAAAAAAACCTACCATTTTCCGTATCTTTTGTACCTAGTGGGTTTTTGGTAAATAGAAATAATGCTGAACCATTCTAAGGTAGGGAAAAAAGCTGCATTGTTACTATCAGTGTACCTTATTTAAGTGTATAGCTCTCAACAGAGTTTCCTAGCCCTAAGATTTGTTGTGTTCAATGGGAATAACTTCTGAATAGGTGTACGTAGGTATTTTGACTGACAGGTTTAGAGCCCTGCAAGTATTTTGGGAATTAGTAGAGACAAGGCTGGTTTAGAACTATAGGCAGATAAATCAAGTAAACTGGTTAGCCTATGAAGGTTTCATGTAGCATTAGAACAAAGTCAGCATTAGAACAAAAGGAGCCAATATTGTTTTATTTTAAACTGCCAGAACTGTTATTTTTAAGGAGTGAAGCATTTGATAGTAAAGATTTGGGGGGAAGGGGGGGGGAAGATCCCAATAATCACCAAAAATGGGAAAATTGAATAAGTCAAGTATATGTTGCAAAGCCCTATTTTCATTTTTAAGGGTTGTTTTGCAAACAATTGTTTCTTACTGATCTAATAGTTTTTCATAAAATTTCAGTGCAAGAATATGACTTATAGTTTTTTATTACTTCATTTTTTACACTAAATTACTTTTGCCAGCAGTGAAAAATATAGTAGTAGAGCAATCACGCTGCCATTCAAGGATTTTAAGTTAGGGTAAGGCACGCTTCGGTGCTGACCATATACAAGTTATGGGATATAAATAACAGCTTGTAATCTTGAGTGAGGGGAAATTTTGAGGTCGTTGTTTTTCAAACTGAGTTCTAAAGAATTCTGAGGTTTCTTAGAAGTAGGTTAAGAATTCCAATACAAAATCAAATTAACTTCCATTGAAGTAAATTTGCCTGCTAATGTGCAATGAACATGGTGTCTAGTGATTATTCCTGAACTCAGGAAACTCAGATCCCAGTTCCCACTCACTGATGATGTATTCTGAGCATCTAGTCGTGTTCCACTTGTTAACTGTCCTATGCCACAGGGTGGTTATGAGAGTAAAGGAAGGAAAGTGCTATATGCTACCATGAACTCCATGGCAAAACGATGGGATAGAAATGTAATAGAATAACAAAGCTTTTCCTGTTGCAACAGGGACTGTACTATTGACTGTACTGTGGAGTTTGTTTTAAGTTCATGAAGGGGAAAAGTGAGATCCAACAGGGCTGGACAGGGCCTTGTGTTAATAGTGTGTGCACTTGAAAATTATCCCTCTAAACCACTGGAAGGAGTTAATATGCCGAGTGCAAAAGAGTTCTTTGAAGGCAGATGTTTAAAAACTGCTGTATTGGACGTTAAATTAATTGAAAGTAAAGCAATGGAGAAGCCAATGCTTTTTTTTAAGAGTTGGACAAATTAAATGCTTATTTTCAGGAATGGAAATGAATGGTAAAACCAATATTTCTGTTTTCCTAATACACTACATTCATTTATGTGCTAATACTTTAATACTTTTTTATTTACATCAGTTTGTTATGCTATATGCCATCTTGTGTGAGCATTTGTTTTCAGTGTAGAATAATATGCATACATTTGTGTATGCTTGAAAATCAGAACAAACAGTTATATCCAGAGTTTGTTTCTTTTTTAAAAAACAAAGTATTTCTTTATTATTGTACAAGAAAATAAATAAATAAATAAATAAATAGAAATTGATTTAAACTTCCTGCCCTGTGTGTTGGTTTCACTTATTCCTTGGAAAGAGATAAAAAGGACTATACTGAGTAGAGATAAGAGTGTTGCCACTAAAAAAAAACTATGGTTATGTTCCCGTAACACACTCTGGTAAGAACTGGGGAGGAAAATCCACACTTGCAGCTTACTCCATTACCATCACAAATCTCTCTCCCCCACCACATTTTGAAGTTTCAATTTAACTTTTTCTGACCCAACTCATCTCAAATCTCACCAAGTAGATGGTCTTTAGTACTTTAGTATTCTTCTAATCTAGTAACAGTCTCAACTCTGATTGGCCACAGCATCTGGCCTTTCTCTGTTCAAGACTTATCTTGTACAATCATTTTGTCTTGGGAGGTCCAGCTTTTATGTTCTCTGGTGGTGCGGTGCAATCTCCAGCTAAAATGGAAGAATGAAGAGATTAGTGAGTTTAGAGTCATTGCAGAGCAGGGAACAATGCAGACCTGAGCGTCTTCCCCCCCCCCCCTTCTGAAACCTTTATCTGGCTATTCTCAAGAGAATGCAATCAGTCTGGTGAGGTTATTGTAAATCAGTCAGCAACAATTAGCAACTGTGATTGGTTCATGGTTTCATTCTGGTTCGTTGTGCCTGATATAGTGGACAACAGCCACCTTTTCAAAAATCAGATTGCAGTTAATCCAAGAATAGCAGAAGAATATGAACTCTTATTTCTGCTATGCATGGCTTATTAATTAAGGCATCAGGCTTACTATTTCATTTGAATCCTAAATGAGCATTAGCTTGGACTTGTGTACTATAAATTGTTGCAAATGAAAGCAATCCAGAATGGTGACTATAGTGGATTTCTGAACCATACATTAAACCTTGAACCTCAATTAAAGAATCCTTGCATGATGGGAATAGTGACTTTTTACACATTGAAAGCTCATGATCCAAGCTTTCTTGCCAAGTGGGTTCTACAAACACATATAAGAACAGGATATTTTGGTTCACTCACCTTGCTGTTCTCATGTTCATTGCTTAGGACATTATTAAGCATGCGATGAACAAGGGAACAGCAATGTGATTGAACCAAAATAGTGATGTCCTAATGGGACCTTATTTAGACACAGTGCTAATCTATGTTTGAATCCTATGCACATCAGCTGCAATCAGAAGCTGTTGTTTCATCCAGAGTACCCCAAATCCTCCCCACTCGGATAAATAGTAATGAAATAGTACTCCTGTCAAAGCTATGTAAATACAAGAAAAGGAAGCATTGGGTTCCATCCTAACAACTGGTTTGTGCCGAGACCCACTGAAATAATTAAATAGTTATGGCTGACCTCACTAATCTCAAAAAGAAATAGAATTGGCTTTAAATATTGCCCAACCCACCTGTTTCCCCCCTCCCCCCCAAGGATACAGCAAAATATTTCAGTTTACAATTGTCCTTTACTACTGGTGGTGGAACAGCAAACCAGCCTTCCATTTTTTCTGTTTGTTTTTATAAAACTGAAATGGACACTTATAGAAGTTGTTAGGTGAGAAAAGAACTTTTGCTGTACCAGTTCATTGGTTTCTACAGCAAACCTTCTGCATATGTTCAAAGCAGGCCAAAACACTGAAGCTTGCTCTCGCCACCCAGTTCTCTATCTAAAAATGGAACAGCCCATAAATCTGTATTCCAAGAGTTTAATTTGTGCAGGCTGCAAACTTCAACACAACAACAACTATTCAAGCATACTAAGCAATAAAATACTTATTAATATTTCTATGTATTTCAACTCATAGAACATTTTGTATCAGGATACGATCCATTTGAAATGGGAAGGGTTGCAGTCTCCCAAGTCTTTTCATGGGTTTCCTTCTCTCAAGAAATGCAAAACAGCCCCCTCCATTATTTGATGAAACGGCCACCCATTTCACACACATGATTCTGGGTAGCACACAACTTTGAAATAAATAAAAATGCATAAAATTGCTAAAACAAAACCAAAGTAAAACACAGAGAATCATAAAATGCTCTCAGCACAGACAGGATTGTGAACCTGGTCACAAGAGGGCAGTAAATATCTTTCTCTGCAGCACTTTCAACCAAAACCACTAGATATGATGGCATGTCTGATATTGCTAATACTCAATGCATTTTTATATCATTTCCATTTGTTATTTGCATCATGAACAGTAGTGTTTGCAAGGCACCAGAGCTAGTCAGTTTCTAGTTCCAGAGGGAATTATTTATGCCTTCATGTCAGCAAAGCACAATCTCATGTGCACAGATCAAATATGGAGCATAGATCTCATGGTCACTCATGCCCTTTGGGTCATCACCTATTTAGGTTTCCATAATGCACCATACGTGGGGCTGCCCTTGAAGAATATTCAGCAACTTCAGCTGGTGCAGAATGTAGTGGGACAGGCAGTTATGTGTTTCCCTATTACACTACACATTACACCTCTGCTCTGCAAACTGCTTTATGGCATGGACAAGGTTATTTGAGGTTATCTCTCTGATTACCTCTACATCGCCCCCATCAGGTCTGGCAGAGAAGGTAGGCTGCACTTTATATTTGCCAGGGAATTACATTTGACAGATCCTAGGACATGGGTCTTCTCTGCCATAGTGCCCACCTTATGGAATCTTCTCCCAAAAGTGAGATTAGTTCCATCCCTCCCAACATTCCATAAGTCCCTCAAGATCTGGCTGTTATCAAATCAGGAGGTCTTAGGGGAATGGGAATTTTTTATGATGGCTTCCTTACTATGGTTAATATCATCCACTCCTTTTCGGTAGGCCTTTTTATAATTATTGTTAATTGCAACTGTATTTGTGTACCATATATGCTGGCGTATAAGACGACTTCCGGAAGCGCTAAACTTGGCGCCAAAGACGGGGGTCTTTATACGCCGAGTCGTCTTATACGCTGGAAATACTGGTAGTTTCCGTGTATAAGATGACGTTCTAGGAAGGCGATCCGGCGATCAAGACGGGGTCGTCTTTTACGTCGGGTCGCCTAATACGCCAGCATATACGGTATTTATTGTTTTTAATTGAATGTATATTTCCCAGAATCATTTTTATGTGAGGTAGGCAGCTATACAAATATGGTTTTCAATCTGTGGCCCACGGACCTCTGGGGGGCCACGATGTCATCACATGGGGTCCATGAAAGCTTGAAGAAATGTTATGATTTAAATCTTGAGTTAAGTCTTGGGGGTCCGTGTCCATGGTTTGTGGCCACAAAAGGTATTTAAAGGGAGTCCGTGGTGAAGAAAAGGTTGAGAACCACTGTTATAGTTGATAGATAGGTAGGAGAGAGAGAGAGAGAGAGAGAGAGAGAGAGAGAGAGAGAGAGAGAGAAAGAGGAAGGGAGAAGGAAAGGGAGGGAGGGAGGGAGGGAAGAAGGGAGGGAGAGAGAGAGAGAGTGAGAGAGAGATATTGTCATTTCTTCTTGAAAAATATGCAATACAGTATGTGGAAGACCAATAAAGGTTTACAATGCATGCCTAGAGGCACCAAGTTCCTGGGATGACCTGGTTTTGCAAGGAGCTGTAAGGTTTTATCTTTGCCTCAATAGCAATCTCCCTTCCTCTCTTTCTCTCTCTTGGAGTACGACCAGTCCTTTCTAACCTGAATGCTGGCTAGCATTTGCATATCTTGCTAGCTCTTTCCTAACTGTTGATCTGGTTAAAAATGTTGTCTGAACACAGACAGTTAGACTTTTTAGGTGATTGTCCATTTCAAGGTTTGATAGAATTTTTTTTTCTGAGGGAAAGCATTCATAAAAACTCAGAAATTGCATAGCTCTTACCTTGGCAAATGAAATGTGAGCTTCCTGAGAGAATTTGCTTTGAAGGAAATTGGATTTTATTCTCACTACTTAGTTTATTTGCATGTTTTTCTTGTTCTATAAGTATTAGAATCATTCTCAAAAAGTGCATGTTCCTAATTTCCAAGCTCAACTCAAGAAAGTACCATCATAGGGATAGTTAAGTATTTAGTGCCCATAAACTTCTTTGTGCTTTTATTATCTACATGTGACATTAAATAAAATGAAGCCAAATGTTTACTTTCCAGAATGACCCTAGAAAATAAAAATGCTGTTGGTTGATTCTAGCATGCTGTTTAAAAACTGGGCCCAGAAAATAACAAAGATAAATTCGGATAAGAAAAAATTTCCAGGTCAAGGATGCAGATAGGGCTAGTTGGAATGACTATGTTGTCAATAATTACTCCAGCAAAAATAGACTTTTTAATGAAGGGGTGCATCCATTAAACCTCAACACAGAGGTTTGCTTAATGACAATAATTGAGACTGGCAACTCCATCGCTACCTGTATTTATCTTTTAATTATTCATAAAATATTAACTCTTTTTTCATTGTTTAAACAAATAAGCTTTCAATGATATCCTTACAGAATAAATCAAATCTAACTAGAAATGCTATACAGTTGAAATTTATCAAGATAAAGAGATGTGTGATACAGTATGTGATTTACGAAGGTGTAAGTTACATAGGTATAGCTTTAGCTCTGCTGGCTAGGAACTCTGGAAATTGTGGTCCCAATATATAGGGATGAGCCAAAATTACTAAAAGCCGCCCCAACATGAAGGGCAATAATAATGAAAGATTTGTAGACAGGATATTAAAAGCCATTAATAGAATTCCTGGCCCCTCTGCAAACTACCCAGATTCTTTTAATGAAATGTAGAAATCTAAACAGTTGTACAGTCAATACAAAGTTTCTACTGCGACATGCTCTTAGAAGTTTAGGTATTTTTCTGAAATATTAAAATGGTGACTTTGACACTGAAGGCACTGAACCTGTAAGGACCCACCCCACTTTGCATCTTAAGAAGACAGAACTCTTGGAATATTTCTTCCAACAGGCATCCTTTATTAAGAGAAATGGTTGCAGGCGTTCTAGACAGGACCTGCGGCCCAAGCCCTATGGTTCAAGGTTTTAAGGGATCCCCAGCAGCCCCACCCCACCCCACCATCTTTCCAGCGACAATCTCAGGCGTTACATTTCCACCCCCTTTTCCCTCACTGCCAGTGGAAGGGAGACTTCAGAAAGGATTAGATGAAAGCTAATGGCCTCATTGTTATGTGTAGTCCTTTTGGTGGTATCCACATCCAGTCTCTTTGAAGTGTACTGAAGGAAGTGAGGGCCATGAAGCTCCTTTGTTCACCCCCTTCCCTTTATCGTATGACAGAATCCAGAGAGGGCAGAAATGGGTTTTCCATAGTCAATAACTAGAAATGAAATATAATTGGATTCTGACAGAACCTCTGGTTATCCGCATTTAGGAATGTTTACTATCATAAGGACTTTGAAACATGTTTGCATAAAAATAGTGGTTAGGTAATATTCTCCATGTGGGGAAATTGTGGAATCAAGCACAGCTAACTGGGGCTAGACAAATAAATAATGCAAATAAAAGAACAGATAACTATGTACAGCAGATATGCAAAAGTGACGATTTTATTTGTCTCAAAATATTGAGGTGTACAGATTTTAGTAACAGATACAACACTATTCACAACATGCTCTTCATATGAGGCTATCCAAAACAAGATGCTTCCTTGCGGCTAGTAGAATATAAGCCATGGCTCTACTTCCAAATGGGGTAAACCAACTTAACTATTGGGCTATGCTATGCCAAGTGCAGGCAGGAAGTCTACAAATTCTGGAATAGCACTCACTGTTCTTTTTCCATCTGGCAAACCAATATAGGTCATACTGTATTTATGGTGCGGAGGGATATGGGAACTCAGTATACCATTTACATCTTAAAAGAAAGCTATCATTACTGAAGGAAGGGAAAGGAGGGAGATACTTGAAAGTTGTCACTGTTTTAATGCTAGAGCTTCTACCCTTTGGTATATTCCACATGAGACAGAAAGCAGAAAATATAATCTGGAAAAAAGTAAGAGAGGAAGAAGCAAAGCTACACCTTTTGGTTTCTACATGGCAACTCTAATTATCCAACTGCAATAAAGCCTATGTTACCTTTGAATGGGGTGACCATAGAAGCCTTGAAAGAACAATTTAACAGAGAGGTTGACATAAAAAGAGTGACCCTTTTCTGGAAACTAACATGACAAACATTTGTTAAGCTAAAAGGCCCAGTAGCATGAATTTGCAACCACTGAATTTTCCATTTCAAGCTATTTGGCTAGTAAATCAGCCATTCAATTTTCTGATTTATTCTAGGCAGATTCAGTCCATTTTATACTACCCCAAACTTTTAATTCCATTATGGTTTATTATTTTTATATCATTTGTTTTAAAGTAATGTTCATTTAGAAAATGAAATAATTCTGTATACTAACACAGTAACATACAAAAATAGCTATGAAGGAGCATAACATTTGACTTGTAGGAATACAAACTAACATGCAATTCTTAAAAACAGTAATTAAGAAACAATAGGGAATAATGGAGGATTAAAAAAAAACCTACACAGAGTCTATAAACATTCCAAATGTGAGCTTCGATCTCACACTCCTGTAAATTATTATGATTATTACTATGGTTGTTTGCACAGTCATCCAAATGTTTTGACTGGATTTGGCATTTTTATCCACCTATTGAGTCCTTCCCAAGGATCTGGGCTAGGCAGATACTGTTTGATGGTATCAAAGATATTGTCATTACCTTTACATGTAAGCTGTAATTACAAATTATTATTAGTATTCCATTTATATGACTTATATCCAACATAGACAATCTTTACATAAACTATTCACAAGTGGTTTATAATTTTGCTTCTTGATGGGAAAGAGCCAAAATTAACCAGTGTTGTCTCAAATACTTTGCCTTGGAAAATAATTTATTATAAAAATAAATATGCTTTAGTCCGATTGGTGCTAAATATGTGAGGAGAAATAAGCGCAGGAAGGAAAAAGTAATTCTCCTACATTATGAGAAAAGATTCCTCATTCCGGACCCGTTTCATATAAAACACACGTGGCCCATCATATCAAGAGGAAAGTCCAGAAAGGATATTCTGTGTTATCATAGCTGATATATTGCAATCATCTTCTTTAAACTGTTCCATTTCCCTAAAAAACAAAGAAAAATAAACGTTGGTTAATGTTAGTCATAGTTTAACATTCAGATAGCATTTAATTGCAGTAAGAAACCCAGGTAAAATTTACCCTGTAAGCAACTGCTGTTGCTGTCAGAAGAGTGAGGAGCTGGGGAGAGGTTTTGTCTACTTTCTGCTGCTGCTTCTTTCCACCATACCCTCCTAGAATGGGTCCTTCACCACCTCCCACCACAACAGCCCCAATGCTTCCCAGAAAGCATGGAGAAAAGGGCAGGGATTCATGTGGAAAGAGATAGCGGAGGTTACTGGTGGAAAAATCAATCTCATAGAATAAGTAAATATTGCTACAGGGGTGAAAAATAAAGAAAAGAGCTCTGATTAGTGTTCAGGAGCAGGATGGGCCAGAGATGGTGTGAGGATAAGTTCTTAATGACTGGTAAACATGCCTTGTGAATTCTCTTAGATGGAGGCTTGGCATGCACAAATTAGAAAGGGAAGTTTTATAAGAAAGGAGATCAAGCATTGCCACACACAAATGGCTCCTCAGAAGGCCATTAGTATTAGAAGCTAGTTTAAGACCTAGGCTGACAAACTAAATTATGATGATTAATTAAATTATGGCACAAATAATATGTATGCATACGGACATGCTTTACAGTAGCTACCCATTTTTGCTTTTCTCATGTGTATAGATTTAAAATACTTTTTTAAAAAAGTCTGATAAATAAACAATTCTACTGCAAAGTTCTGGAAGCAAATATGTTTTTTTCTTAGAACACTTCTACAAAACTTAGCATCTTTCAAGCCATAGTAACAACAAAGAAATGGTGCTCGGCTTACGCATCTTCTGTGAAAATAAAATTATAGATCTAGAAGTCTCATTTAGACCAGGGATCCCCAACCCCCGGTCCATGGACTGGCACTGGTCCACAGCATGCCAGCAAGTGTCCCGCACAAACAAACAAAGCTCCATCCACAGGATGCAGGCAGTATTCAAAACCACACCCCCTCTGGTCCATGGAAAAAACTTTCTCCATGGCACCGGTCCCTGGTGCTCAAAAGGTTGGGGATTTCTGATTTAGACCACCGAGTCTCCCCCTGTGCTATGTATAAGAATTAAAATTAAAGCATTACTAAGAGATGACTGTTCAGTCATCAGAGAAGAAGCTTTCAATTTCTTAGATTCCACCATCAATCTGAATTTACCACCAGAAAGTCTTTTCTGATACTCAGAGAGAAACTGCCATCTTGCCAATTTGTCGTAAGTACTTAAGAAAATACAATAAGCCATCAATAAGCAAATGAGACGCTGGCATACTGGAATATGAAAGCATTCTTACCCCACAGCAACCACAACATTTACAGTCTCCACAGATAGCTCCAAAGAGACCATTGATTGCCTGAATGGCACACAAGACCAGCTGAACTCCACTCATTATCAGCAGCAGAGAGAAGAGTGTTAGATTCCAGGGCACAATGGATTCTGGGTACTGGCATTGGTCCCATAAATTATGATCCGTAAGGTAATCCCTGCAGGGGAAAAAAAGAATATTTCTCTCTTATAGAAGCCATTGTCTGCATATTATGTTTACTTGGCTAGCTCATGTGTCTGCCATAACCCAGGATGGATCTATGCACATTATAAAATAGTATTGATCTAATGGTACCTACTGGGTTCTATGAGGAATAAAACTAATACCCCTATTTGAGAAAGGTTTTGTATCTTGCTAGACACAATGGATTACCAGACGTATGTGGCCGGTGAAATATCTCCCACCCTCTCAATATTTTTTTTCAGAATTCTTCCCATACAGTCTGCATGGAACTGATCTTTTTAAAAACTTCTTCAGTTACATTTTGGCCAAGTTTAATTTATGAAAACTGTGGCCATCAAATCTGGAAAGAAAAGGACAGCTGGAATGGAACGTAACAGGAACTGAGGTTCCTTTATTGTCAAAGTGGGATGGTCCGCTGCCTGAAGGATTCACCAGAATTATTCTCTTAATTTATCAATAAGAATGAAACAATCTAGTAAAGTTTCTAAGGGATCTAATGATGGCAAATTTATAAGCTAAAATAAATAAATATTTTAAATAAATTTGTGGCTATATCGAATGATGTTCACATACATTAGACACAGTAACGGGGAACTGAAGCCATTATCAATAAGAAAATATACTTGGCATTTGAAAATGATTATAACTCAATATTTCTGACAGATTTTGAGAACTGAGACTAATCCTGTGGTCCACAATACTTGCGTAGTACTTCTGTGAGTTAATATGGATATATATATATATATATATATATATATATATATAGGTCTTTGGTTGTTCGGGTTTTCTCCCGCGTAAAATTGGAAGTGTCTTGGCGACGTTTCGACGAAGTCCCATTCGTCATCTTCAGGCTGGTGCTTTCTGAAAGCACCAGCCTGAAAGCACCTATCCCAGGTCCTTTCTGAAAGCACAGCTTTCTGAAAGCACCTATCCCAGGTCCTTGGGAAGGACACCACAGGCAGACAAAAATGCTAAATCCAGCCAGAACATCTGGCTGACTGTGTGACGAAACATAATAGTACATAAAGATAACAGTGTTGAAAGTATCTTACCCGTTATAAAATGGATATATCCAGATGCTACTATTGCTCCTATCAGTGTTACACTTCGGGCCTCTGTTCAAAGCCACAACTGACACAATAAAACTGTATCCAGCTCCCACAATTCCAACTGCTGCAAATATTATAGAACTAAACATCTGCCAGCAACAAGAGAAGAGAAGAGATCAAACCTGAAGCTTGCATGTTTATATAATTAGCTGGTTTATTTCAGACATAAATGGCATATGAAAAAGTAAGAAATCACTATTTCTAAATCTACTGAAATTTTCTTAGTTCAGGAATCATATGGAATCATGACAGAAGTTCACGATTAAAGTAATTGGCCTTATAGGATAGCTGGTGGTGTACTCTAGTCAGGACCTCAGTCCAGAGCTTTTAACTTTTAATTTGTTTTTAATAAATCAATTTTATGTCCCTTTATCCTGGGGGGTTACAAAGCCAAACATTTAGCCTTCTTTGCTTCATTAATCTGATCACTACCTCTCAAAAAATTTTCAAATATCTACAAATAATTATTAAGATAGTTTGACCAATTTAACTTTCAACATCCTAGATGTAAACCCACAAAGTCCCACCACATGTTACAACTGGATTACAATTTTTAATCTAGTAGAAGGGAGAAATGATTAAGCATATAGGGAAAAACTGTACTAATTTTAATCAATGAATTATCTCATTACAATCTATATTCAATTTAATTAAATCATGGCCCCATCCCTTGGGGAAATAGCATCAGGAAAAGGGTCAAAAAAGAGTCAGGCTATGTTTGTGGAATCTAGTTTAGGAAAAAAAGGCAACAAAATGATTAAGGGGTAGAATACAGGGTAACAAAATCATGAATACGGCAGAGAAAATGGATAGAGAAAAGATATATAAAATCATTTACCTATTATAATAATACAACTGAGAATCATCTAACTTATTAGCAACAGATGTGGACTTTCCTTCCACCACATCATTGCATTATGGAATTTTCTGTCAATCTAAAGTCTCCAAAATACAGTGTGCATCTAAGAAATTTAAAATTACATATTGTTGTCATTGAGCCAGACAAAAATTTCATTTAAAAAAATTCAAAAACTTTGCAAAAAGAAAAGTCGGGGAGGGAAGCACACAAGCCATTCATGTTTTTGTCAAGGATAAAATCTGGAAAACCAATAAAAGTCTGTTTTCAGAAGTAAAATCTAAAATGCTTTTTTGTTATGTAGTTCTTTAGGTGTGATTATAGCTAGCAATACCCTCCTTTATATGGTAGTGTAATGATGAATAGAATATATATTTCCTTCTTAATCACTAGATTGGGATTGGAAATTCTTATTGCTTCTATAATTACCGCAAATCTTTTTCCACAGCTTTCATTTCCACAACATCCACAACAATCATTATTCTTAAGGCCCAAAAAGACCAAAACTGGAAACACCATCTGGAGAAAACAGAAAATCACAATGAGGCCATAATCTTTCTCTATTTAGTGGCATCTAATCTGGATCCTGCAATGCCATTTCTTCTTTCTTTCTGAAATGTCATCATTGCAATCAGCAGGTTTACTATTGTGTAAGCAACAGGATCATTCTAGTCCAATGATACTGTCACCCTAAGCACATTGAACTGGAAAAAGTCACTGAATGCCACGGGAGTCATTTTCAAGTTTAACAGTTAGCATTGACTGGAAATATCCCAACACAAAAAGAAAAACAAAATAGAAAAAAGAGGAAAGTTAACCAGTAATATATTTTACAGAAATCTGTTTATATTCATATTGCTTTAACAAAACTGCTCTAATAAAGTGTTGGTCTGATTTAACAAAATGATGCTTATCTCCTTATTCACCAAAGACATCTAGATATATATGTGTTTTTGTTACTGCATCATCAGATAAGCATCTGCTTTCTTAATAACAGATTTCATTCATATTCAATCTATATATTTAAACCTGCTTATTCACAGATAATAATTTAATTTCAATGATAGATTATAACAAAGTTTGCTATATTAGTAGATGAACTTCTATAAAGCCTGTAAACGCTAGATGATAAAAAAGAAAAAGAACGTGTTACTTGACATACTCACCAGCACACCAGAACCCAAAATTCCTCCAAAGTACCAAACTTCATCTGAAATATTGTCACTAATTTCAATTATTCCCCCAGGAAAAAATAAGAGAATATTGGCGAGAACGCACAGTATGCTTAAAGGAATGAGAGTAATTCCAAGACACTTGGCACACCCTCCACAACACATATTTCGAAATTGTACTGCAAATTCCACTAAAAAAAGGTAGACCTTTCCTTGGATCTTGATGTAATTTTTAGCAGAAGCTTCTTATAGTTTGCCTCAACCCACTTGTGTTTTCAATCCCACTTTCTTTCACAGAGTTCAGTCTGCCAGCAGCCCAAAGCTCTGACAATTTATAAGCCTGACATTGTCATGATCTCATATTTCTGCATCTTTCCCGCCCTAATGAGATTATGTTCAGAACAGCCTCTGAATTTGTCATGACAACAAGAGGCTCTGTTAATATTCTACTAGCCACCCCAAGAAAGTCAGTAGTTTGAAGAAGATTATTGTAACCTTTCTTCCCAGTGATGGTAGATTTGGACCATTGTACTTTCTCTCTCATTAGACTGAAAAAAAGAAAAGATTTCAGATTCTTATCCATAGCACAAATAAAAATGAATGATTACTTCATGTACATTACTCACTAATTTCAGTGGGTAGCATACTAATAATCTATTGGATCTTTCAAATAAGAACAAGATAAAAGCTGTAAAAGCAAAGAATGATAGGCAGATGACACATGGAAACTGAGTAAACAGATCAAAGGTTTGTTAGCTATTTTTTCTACATGGTTCAATAGAATTTTTATATTGAAAAAAAGGCTAAGAATATACATACATTTCATAAGATCTGTGGAAATTTCATCCTATGTAAAGACATCTTGGACACTTTGGATCATCTATCAAATGTTTGTATTGTATCATATGTAATTTATTCAAAAAGCCATAATTAGGCCAACCCTGAGTGAATAGAATGTATGTATTTGTCAGATCTGCCCCAGTCTGATCCCTTAGAGAAGGAAAACTCTCGACTCCATTTGGTTGAAGCAAAAGGTACTTTTACTAAGAGATGCTGATTCATAAAGCCAGGCGGAATCTAAAGTTCCCACACAACAATACAAAACTATGCCCCTTGGTTCCCCATCCCTTCCCCCATGACCAGTCTGTCTTTAACCAATCTGAATTGCTGAGATGATTTGGGAAATGCTGAAGTGTTTAGGCTGATGAAATTCCACTTCCAAACGGCCTTGAATATGCCAGGCACAAACTGGATTCCAAAATGTTCTGCTCTTCTTCAATGGTTCCTCCCTCCTCCGTTCTCACCATAGACACATACAGCTTTATTGCCCATTTGTTCCCCCTCCTTTCTCCAGTTCTTTGATGGCAGGACACCAGTGAAGGTAAAGCACCAAGTCAAAGATGGTGGATCTGACAGTATTTCTATTATTAATATCACTGGAATCACTTCAGGTTGGGGTACTGCACATTTTTTTTACTTAATCTATTGAAAGATTAATATATTTTTATATTACCAAAATTTCAGTGGATTTAGGGAGAATTGACTTATATCTTAACAAACACCACCTGATTTAGGCTATCACCAGTTATCTATTGGAAAACAATTACAATGTTTTATTCAATTTCATCAGTTTCTCAACCTTCACTTTCAGCTCTGTTTGTAAAGAACAGAACATTATCATGGAGAAAATATTTATATTTTTTTAGTTTGGAACGAACAAGGCTTTGAGTTCCTATAAGAATCTAATGCCTGATGATCAGAGGTGGAGCTGATGCTAGCTCTGGAGAGTGACTGCATATACAGATGAAGCTTCTCTTGCTTGCCTGCTGCTTACCTCCAGCCCAGTTCCTAACAGGCCATGGACCAGTACTGGTCCATGGTTGAGGGTTGGGGACCCCTGTTGTGGGGGGAAAATGAGAATGGAAGGGATGCTGCAACCTACTGTGTCTGGTCTCCTGAGTTCAGAGATCAGAAGGAAGAGCTAATTTCATGTTAATCTTCCCTCCTGGAAGCTTAAGGGAATAAACTTATGATGAATCATGCATCAAACTGTCATGGAGATATCTTAATCACAATGGAACCCATTGTGTGGTTTGTATGTCATACTAGTTGAATACCTATCCAAGAATGTCAAATGAATTAAGCCATTGATATCAGTGGAGTTACGTTTCACTGATTTCATCAGATCTGTTTTAAGAATGGTTAAATTTTAATATTCGTCAATTTTTGTCTAGCTTTTATATTATGCATTTCTGTGAATTAATTCCTCTGGGCACATTACAGGTGAATATGTACTTGAACAGCAGAAACGTTATCTCTGACTGGAATAACAACCAATGAGAATTAGCATTTTTTGTAAAAAAAAATTAAGCTATTCTTAGTATGTACAATAAATTTGTGCTATTACGTTTTAGTTCTACTTGCATTTTTTGTCTATATAATTATTTAATTGGTGCAAAACTCAACCTGAAATTATTCCATTTACATCTGTATTCTATATTTTGAGTGTATTAGTAAATTATATGTATCTCCTTACTGGTGAGCTGAATGCAAGGATAAATTGAGTTACAAATTATTGTCTAGGTCAGGGCTTTTCAACCAGTGATATGGGTACCACCAGTGGTACATTGGCACATGGCAGGTGGTACGCAACCATCCTAGAAAAGTGGTAGCTGAATGAGCTGAACCGGTGGCAGCACCACACAAGCCTGACCGAGAGATGGCTGGAACTGCAGGGTTGTCAGGGCTCAGCGGAAGCGCCAGGATCAGTGCCACTTTCCAGTCATCAGCGCTTCTTTGGGGCTGCCAGGGCTCAGCAGAAGTGCCAGCATCAGCCCCAGGCTCCAGCTGGAGCTCAGCGCTGATCCTAGCGCTTCTGCTGAGCCCAGAAGCGCCGATCAGCTGGAATGCTGCAGCATCTCCAGGGTCTTGTGATTTACATTCAGATACTTGGCAACTGATTCATATTTATGATGGTCATAGTGTCCCAGGGTGATGTGACCAAAACCTGCTGCAACCACCCAGCAGATGGGGGGAATAAAAACAAACACCCCCCACCCCACCCCCGCTGCCAATTCTCAACAGAAATGCTCACAACTATGAAAACCTCGGACAGGAGGGCGGGCAGGCAGGTATCTTGCTCGGCTGTGCCTTGGGGGGCACTTTTTTCAGTGCCATTGTAACTTCGAACAGTCACTAAGCGAACTGTCGTAAGTCGAGGACTGCCTGTACTTTATCACTTTTTCCCTTTTTTTTTTTTTGGGTCATCAAGTTTTTGACACCTTGCTAGGCGACTGGTGATACTTGGATGTTTCCATATCCTAAAAGTGGTACAATGGGTGAAAAGGTTGAAAAGCCCTGGTCTAGGTTAGAGATCCTATTCTCAAGCTTCCCCCAATCAGTAATGAAACTAGCTTTGCAAATGGAGATTCAAGGACAAATCATAAACTCTATTGGAACTGAATAAACAATTTAATAATTATCTAACAATTGCTACGTATAAAATAAAAGCTATATTTATAGGAAAAGCAAGGTTTATTCTTGCCTTTCTTTCTTCCATCCATCCTAAAGAGGTTCCTGCTTTGGGGCCAGAAGGGCAATTGATCCATCACCTATCTCTTATTAGTGTGATGGATGCTTGATTGTAACCTTGCCAGATCTAATCCTCAGACTAACCTTGCACAAACTATCATGAGCAGCCAGGTTAAACTGAACGTTGCTTGAAAATTATGAAATATTGGCCAAATTATGCCAGAAATTATTGATTTTGATCTTATCATTACCAGGGAATGCTGCATGGGCCATGGATATGACTGAGTTGGTAACCTAGGCAACTGCTCATGAGAAGTGTTACACGCTAGATGCTATAGGAGGCATCTCAATACAAGTTGGTGCCAAGACATCTTTCCTATCTATGTTTACTGCACAACACAAATAAGGCTGGGCTTTTTACAATAAGTTCATTGATGGAAGCCACAACCAAGTAGCCAATGTCTGCCTTCTTCCCTCTTTTTTTGACCAGGTGAAATTGGGAAGAATTTTGCCCATTTTTCTTCAAGTCCCTACAACAAGAAGATGGTAAAGCAGTCTGTCCATTCCTCTTTTCAAGCACTCCACTGACAGATGCATCAGATAGATAGATGCTGTCAGAAGAAAGAACTCATTGGAAGACCCTGATACTGGGAAAGATTGAAGGCAAAAGGAGAAGGGGATGGCAGAGGATGAGATGGTTAGATAGTGCCATTGATACAATGAAGATGAATTTGGGCAAACCCCGGGAGATGGTGGAGGACAGGGGAGCATAGTGTGCTATGGTCTGTGGGGTCATGAAGACACTACTTAGTGACTGAACAAGATAAGAAGCAGTCAAGGAAGAGGAGCTGATACAAAAAGCTTATTAGTGAAAACTACATATCAGATACCCAAACACGGAAATCTGTTGGAACTTGCTTTCCTGGCCAAGTGGAAAGTTAAAGTTTAGTTCAAGCTTGATAAACAGCCATATTTATCTTGGCAACAGTGTAGAAGTAGTTTGTTCTTACTTTTCTTCAGAATATTGTTTCAATATTCTTTTAAAAAAATATTATATCATAGTATATATTGGTCTGGGAAATTTTATGTATGTGTGTGTTGCAAGGTATATCACAACTGAACAGGATATTTTTTTATTTTTTTTATACTTGTTTTCCATTAAATCCCAAGAACAGAACTTCTGACTTTAGAGAGATTAGTAATTATGTTTATTTTGACAGTGATAGGAAATTGGAGTGACCACTGAAAGTTACATACCAGCAACCTGGATTAAGAAGTTAATGATTCATAAATGAGATTATGGTCCACTCCCAAGAGAACAGATGCAATATTTATTTATTGATTATTTAATTTTTGTAATCACCCACCTCAACAAATGACTCTGGATGGCAAATAATCATAGAACAATTAAAAACATGCACAATACTACTGTATAATAATCTGCTGCTGCATTTTTTTTGAAAAAAATATCTGTAACCCACATTTTGATTGTTGCAAGTCTCTTAAGGTACCTTAATGAATTGAGATGGGTTACTATAAAAATTAAATAAATATTTAAATATTTAAAAAGTGTAATGTATTGCCTTTATTCAAATAGCTCTGAAGAAGGTATTACTATGACTGAAAGGCATAAGTCTTGTCATTACTTTTGCAAAATACATTTTTGAATGCTTCTCTTTCTGCCCTTAATAAGAGCAGTACGAGCACCGATGCAATGTTTGTTCACTGCTGGTTAAGTCCCACATTCCAGATGGTTAATTATTTTGTTATAACATATATTCAAACAAGCCCTGTAATATCTTAAAGGCTAACATATTCTCTTAGGATGGACTAAGCTTTTGTGTTTATTTTGTGTTTGAATGCATGAAATGTATTTCTTGGAAATACATGCTAAAATACATGCCTCAGTGGAAGGGAAGGAAAGCAAGTGTTAGGGTAAACAAAGCCACAGAATGCAACATCACTAGTATTTCTAGTAGTAATAATACCAGTAGTAGTATTAAACCTTGCATGGCTTGAAGCCAGAGTATTTGAAAGAATGCCCTTCCACTTTTACATCCTAGCCCACTAGGACAAGAAGGCAGGCTATGTCCCATTGATTAGGGATGTATATCTGGTGGGATCATGAAAAAAACGCCTTCATGGTAGTGGCCCCTTTTCTATGGAACATCATTCCCCCCTCCAGGTATGAATGGTCCCATCCTGCTGATTTTCCAAAAGGCCCTAAAGACATAGTTTTGTCAGCAAGTCTAAGAACCATGAATGAAAATGGAGTCAATCAAATGGTTTATTTAATTATGTTGCTGCTGCCATGGGCTGGGGGGAGGTGTGGGAGATTTTTATGGGTTTTTATATTGCAATTATTTTTAATATTGTAAGCTGCCCAGAGTCACCTATGTGTAAGTTAGGTGGCCACATAAATTTAATAAAATAAATACATTTCTATGCAGTTTCCTTTTAAGGAGTGTTTCTCAACTTTAGCAACTGTTAGGTTAAATCAGTGGTTCTCAACCTTTCTAATGCCGTGACCCCATAATACAGTTCCCCATGTTGTGGTGACCCCCAAGTGGGTGTGGCCACCAATAAGAGGGAGTAGGACAGCTGGGGAAAAGGGAAAAAAATGGCGGACAGCGTGGTTTGGCGACCCCCGTGAAATGGTCGTTCAACCCCAAATGGGGTCCCGACCCACAGGTTGAGAACCACTGGGTTAAAGAATAACTAGAGTACTCTAGTATATGAGTACTCTAGTTATGTTGAAGGACTATCTTCATCATGTTCAGAGATGGTCTGGCTAGCTGAGAAAAATCAGTAGTCTTATCATTTCTGAAGCATGCTCATTTCTTGGAAGCCAATGGAGGGATCAAAGATGTCTATGTCTACTGTTGCATAAAATGTCAGACCACAACATTCTTTTGCTGAAGAAAGGGGATTTTTAGTGAGGAGGCACTGGGGAAAAATTGCTCCCAGACTATACATGAAAAGGGAGGTCAATTCAAAGTATGACTCTGTAATGGGAATAGCTCAGAATGATCAATATATTTCTTCAAGGCTGTAACTTAAACCAGTTAAACTATAATTCCACCACTTCAGTTTTGGGGGTTTTCCTGAACATCCCTGCTTTACCAGACCCCTGGGTACAATGAGCAAAAACAACAGTGAAAAAAATGTACTAATGTAAGGTGCAATTAGAGGAGGAATGATGCAAAATTGTCTTGAAATGGGAGCTGAACTGCAGATGTCTATCAACCTTCGGACTGTTGCAGGATCGGAATGCTAAAAAAAATACAGTTACCACGGACTGTCTGAAGGTCACACGTTAAGTGCGTCAAAGTATTCTGCTAAAACATTTGTAGCATAACGGATAGATCAAATCTGCCTTCTTTAAAGAGATATAAGGCTAAGGCGAGAGCCATTTTATAACGAACACTGTCGTGGTAAAATTCCTCGCAAACGCACATTAGATGTGTTAACAACACCTCATTAAACAGGCTATCACCACAACTGAGAGACACGTCCAGATATTCCTACTCAAAGCGCCAACTCCCGTTCTCTGTTGTATATAACATCCTTGACTCCTAGCGCCAGGAAACAAGACTGAACAGCCATCACATGTTCTGCAGTCACGTGAGTACAGACCAAGTACTGGTACTTATTGCTCTGGTTTTCCGGGGCCTTTTGTGTGTGTGTGAAAGTCAAGAGCGGTTGTTGCGTCGTAAGTTGCAACGCAAAGGTAGGAGGAGGCGGACTTTCGACCTGCTAGTTAAAAGGGCTTTTGCTTCGTTTGCGTTTGCCTCCTGTCGACGAAGGAGCAAAGGAAGAGCTGTCTCATATCGTATCGACCTGCCTGCGTTAGGAGAGGGTGCTCGTGGGGATGGAGAAATTCTTTTGCTTGGCTTAATTCGCGCAAAAGAACCGTCTTCCGCAACGTGGCGCCTTCTTCCAGATCGGTTGAACTTACGGTCTCCTGGCCAAGCATGTCCTTGACGTTCATCTTGATGCCAAGCTGAAAAAACCACGATTCCACCCCTCCCATAACTTCTTACTGGCTCATACCTAGAAAGATGCTTTTTCTTTTGGCTAAAGTCACCAGTGCTCTCTCCAAATAACCCGTGCTTGCCCGGGGAATCCCGATTTCCTGTGTTTTAAAAAGAAAGGATGCCCCTTGAGAAATTTTAACCCTAGAATAGAGTTTTCCAAAATGGTCAGCATTGACTCCCAAGAATATGTTTCATATACATATTTGGGAATATCGAAGAACAATTGGGGGTCAATGAGAATTTGGGGACTCCTGCCCTAGAAGAACACACATGTAACTTAAAAGTTAGTTGAAATACACTGATTGGGTTGGAGAAGTTCTCTGAGCTTGTTTTCACATTTATAAACATTTCTTGCCAGGTGTGAAAAGCAAAGTTCAGAGAATTCCCGTATCCCAACTATTGTGAATTTGCAAAGCTTTGTGCATTTGTCTTTGGTGTACAACAGCAACCAATCTTTGATGGGACATAATAAACAGATTTTCTCAGTTAGAATACCTATTGTCAGGAATTATGTTTCCTTCTGCCCCAAGATTCACATGGTCTCCACCTTGCCCCTATTGAAATGAGCTCTTACCAAGACTTTGGGTTAGGGCAGTGTTTCCCAAATTTGACAATTTTAAGGCATGTGGACTTCAACTCCCAGAATTCCACAGCCAGCAATGCTGGCTGTGGAATTCTGGGAGTTGAAGTCCACATGCCTTAAAATTGTCAAGTTTGGGAAACACTGGACCGTTAGGGCAATTGGTAGATCCCGGGGATATGTTTGTTTTAGTGGTTGTGGTCTTTTTCCAGATACTTGTTTTGTATGATCTTTATATTATTTTATTTTAATGTCTTCTTGTATGTCAGCCAGAATTGAGATGGAGTTGGTCAGACTATGTAATTAAAAAATGGAAAGTATATTTTAATGTATTTATTTCTTTATTAAACTTAAATGCCATCCAGCACTCCATGACAGCATGTCCACAGAAATGTCTTTGGACAGCACTGGCTCAATGGCCTTGAAACAGAGATAAGCACCACCCTTTATAGTCATCAATTCTACTAGCAGACAGGGACTCCTTTCCTTTCCTTTCCCATTTCAATATCCAAATCACCTCTGGACAGCATACAAATTGAATAAATATATAAATAAAAATATACTTTCCATTTTTTTATTGAATAGCCATCTGATACTATCCTGATTCTGGCTAGCATATAACATGAGGCTTGACATGCCTTGTAACTATATTCCTTTTCTGTGCAGATTTCACATTGACCTCACTTCCAGAAAGATGTCACAGCTTAAGTTCTGTTCCCGACGATCCCCCGTGGTTTGCTGTAATGCCTGTGTTGCGTCAAGCCAGTCTCTTGCCACGAATATTGGCCTTGGTATTTATTTTTTTCTTCTTCAGTGGGTGGAGTCTTTAAATTTGGGGAGGATAATGTCTTATTATTTCATAGTATTATTTCGCTACTGCTGTATTCTTAATGAAATTATTGGTTGCAGATATTTTAAAGATGGGTGGCAATGCTGTAGACGCTGCTGTGGCTGTCGCCGCCGCTTTAAATGTTACAGAACCTTTCAGTACAGGGCTGGGTGGAGATTGTTTCTGCCTGTACTATGATGCAAGGACAAAGCAGGTGCGTGGTCTCAATGGAAGGTGAGTTGCAAAAAGGTATATATGAGGCTAGCACTAAAGGAAAGGGCTGGGCTCCCATTACCAAGTTCAAAAAAAGAAACAAAATATGCAGACATGCCTAATCAAACTAAAGCATTCATTCATTTATTTTTGTCCCGCCTTTTTTTTATAAATAACTCAAGGTGACGAACATACTGAATATTATTTCCTTCTCCTATATTCTCCACAACAATCCATCCTGGGGGAATGTCTGGCTCAAAATCACCCAGCCGTCTTTCATGCCTAAGACAACACTAGAACTCACAGTCTCCTGGTTGTGGCCTGCTGCCTTAACTACTATACCAAACTGACTCTCCAGGCAGAACAAAAGCAGTAAACAAACAAACAAGCATAACCAAGTAAAAAATAAAGCCTAGAATATATTTTTTAGAAGTAAAACCTCCCAGAAGAATAGATAGAAGAATGAAAAATTTTCACTTATACGCAAGGAGTATTTGCTCAATACTCAATACAGGTTGCCTGAAACCTTGCAATATAAAGGCTTCTCTGCAACAAAATTATTTATTTGTTTATTAGATTTTAGATCAACTGAATTGCAGTTGAAAATTAGGGTTAAAATAAGAAGGAAAGACAATTGAAACAAATAACATTGCTAAAACCTATCTTGGTGAAAAAAAAACCTGTTATATATCACATAAATATAAATTAAAAGCAGGGTAACATACCACCCCACTCCAGGGCTGTTTAAAAACTCCAGCTTTTGTACCTTTTTATAAAAGGAAACAGGATTGAAGCTTCAGGAGACTATATCAGACACTGAGAATTCCTTTGTGATAGAAATAGGAGTGGAAGGGAAAGAATAGGCGAGTCTAAATGAGTTGTAGAAAATATAGCTGAGGCTCTGGATAGGCTTTTTGCTCAGAGCCAATGAATTAAAAGCAGAGAAAACACTTGAATCAAGGACTGATTGAGCCTTATTGGCGATACAGTATTGGGAGAGGATGTCTAGCTGTTGCTTGAAGTGTAGAAAAATTGATGATAGAGAAATAATGCAAACAAAGACTTATTTAAAGAAATAATGCAAAGAAGACTCCAGCTTATTACAACTAATACTTTCTAAACAAACAAATAAATGCACTTTTTCTGAACTGATTTTCTGGACTGAATTTCCCAGAACATTACAATGTAATGATAACTATTAGGATTGCTGCAGTTCTCACAAGCTTTCTTGTGTCTGCAAATAATAATTGCTCAATTTTTGGATTTGTACCAATAGGCTTGTGTGCCCGATGCCACTTTAACTTATTTTTAAACTGTCCCTGCTAATGATTTTGTGTATATAAAATAACAGTGGATAGAAAGTTTCATTTGGGAATTTTTTGTATTGAATTAGGTCAGAATTCAGCTTTGTATCTCATTTCCTTTTCTTTTGGTTCTGATTTTCCTATATCTAACTTTTGTTGAACCTTTGGGCAGTGCAAAGGGAATGGCTGCCCTTCTGCTTTGAGCTTCACTAAAGTGAATAGCAGGGTGCCATAAAAGTCTACTGTCCGTTGGTTTTTTATTTTTTTTCTGTAGCGCATAGTCAGAGGGCAAAGAGCAGGATGTTCTATGTCTCATAAATCTGATTTCCAAACATATTTGTCTCTTTGAACATTTCACAGAGAAACAGGAAACAATATCAAATACAAATGACTTTTTCCCATATATGACATTTGACCAAGCATTATGGTGAAAGTATAATTAAAGGATTTTTTTTCTAATGGAAAATATTTTCTATTATTCCATGCAATAATTTGCTGTAAAGGCATATTAGATGTATAAAAATAACAGTATAGCAAACTAATCAGAATTCAAGCTTAGGGTTTGATTTAAAAAAACAACAAGACAAATGTATGAGTAGTTTTAGAAATCCAGGCTGTATTCATGCACAGCTGGGAAAAAGGATAATGATACTTGACTTGAAGAATCTATTTTTCTGAAAATGGAAACTAGTAACTGCCATGGAATTAAAATGAAATTACAGTTGCAGAAAATGTCTGCACTGCTTAATACATCTGTACTGATGTGTAACAAAATGAGAGGTGCCATTTTCTGGCAAAATTTCTACTGTTATCAGTTTATCAGTTGTGATAAACATATAGAACTATTTATTATTTGAAGTGTGGAGTCATTAGTGCTCTCTGAGCTTGGTTGTTTGCCTGCAGATGTTTCATTATCTGAATAGGTAACAACTTCAGTGCTAGTGCTTGTACTAGCCTTCAGTCCTGAGCTACATACTGTATATTCTCCTCTATTGGCATCACCAGAACACCAAGCAGGTCTGATTTTATCCATCTTCCATATGATACTCTCCTTTGTCTAGTTTTCAGGCCATGATTTAAGAACTGCTATCTCATTTCCGTACCACAAAATATCCAGAGCAACACATGGGAGAGATTGAATAAAGAGAGGATGATATAAACATTATTTCAACGGTTCTTTCTCTTACCACAGTACAGGTTGGATTCTGCTAAGGTTCGCTAGTGTGGAATCATTCTTATTGGATAAATCTTTTCTATGGTTGCATATCCTTATCATGAAAACTTCATGTGTTAGTATTTTGAAAAACACAGAAGCCTTTCAATGAAAACTATATTTCTGCAAGATCTAAGTGAAAGTGTCATTAGAAGTATGTAGACTTTCACATAATTTTATATCTATATGTCGTAAATTCCTGTGTAGCCCTGAGAAGTTAAATCTTAATATATTATTATTCTAACTCAAACGCTGTGTTGGGTATTATACTAACTCACTATTATATACTAACTTAGTATTATACTAATTGATTTATTATATACATCACAAATCAATATAATATAAATGTTTACTTGAATGGTATCAAAATTCCACGTGCATTTTGCATCCCTGGCACAAAAAAGAAATGGAGATAGCATTTTGTCAACTGACTATCCCTGGCCGTTAGCTAAAAAAGGAATTTTCAACCAACAATTTTGATGATCTTCAACCATCATAAATATATGAAAATCTTCTATCTGAAGGAGCATTCCATAATCTCCCTTGAAAATTAGATTAGCCTCCTCTTTCATTGCTTTTTAGAAACAGCTTTTCTGAAGAATTTTTGAACAGGAGGAAGATTATAATGTTTTGAATGTAGCTATCGCTCCATTTTAAATTTTTCTTTCACCTAGTTTTGTTTAGCCTTGACAGTTTAATTATGCTGTGTGCTATTTTTTTTAAATTGTTAACTACTGGGAGTTCCTATAGATATACAAATTTACCGACTAAATAGATATACCACAAAGGCTTATACATTTTATCTATCTTGGAAAAGGGTTGGGATAATGCCAGCTGCTGGAGGAAACTATGGCCTTCATAGCGCTATAGCTAATGACATTTTTGGCTTCTTCATGAGCTGGGAAGAGATGAGGACAGCATTATGTCGACAAAGAAGAAGACGGCTGGATGAGATGGGATTATGGTGGGGCAAAGGGCAAGGGCAATTTGTCTCTTGAGAAACTTATATGCGGGTCAAGAAGCAACAGTGAGAACTGGACACGGAACCACTGATTGGTTCAAAATTGGAAAAGGAGTCCGGCAAGGCTGTATACTGTCACCCTGCCTATTTAACTTATATGCAGAGCAAATCATGAGAAAGGCAGGGCTAGATGAATCAAAAATTGGAATTAAGATTGCCGGGAGAAATATCAACAACCTAAGATATGCAGATGATACCACTCTAATGGCAGAAAGTGAAGAGGAACTAAAGAGCCTCTTGATGCGGGTGAAGAAGGAGAGTGCAAAAGTAGGCTTGAAACTCAACATTAAGAAAACCAAAATCATGGCATCCGGCCCTCTCAATTCCTGGCAAATAGATGGGGAAGAAATGGAGGTAGTGACAGATTTTATTTTTCTGGGCTCCAAGATCACCTCAGATGGGGACTGCAGCCAAGAAATTAAAAGACGCTTGCTCCTGGGGAGGAAAGCTATGGCAAATCTAGACAGCATACTAAAAAGCAGAGACATCACCCTGCCAACAAAAGTGCGTATAGTCCAGGCCATGGTTTTCCCAGTTGCAATGTATGGCTGTGAAAGTTGGACCATAAGAAAGGCTGAGCGCCAAAGAATTGAGGCCTTTGAACTATGGTGCTGGAGAAGACTCCTGCGAGTCCCTTGGACTGCAAGGCGTTCAAACCGGTCAGTCCTAGAAGAGATCAATCCTGACTGCTCTTTAGAAGGCCAGATCCTGAAGTTGAAACTCAAATATTTTGGCCACCTAATGAGAAGGAAGGAGTCACTGGAAAAGGGCCTAATGCTGGGAAAGATTGAGGGCAATAGAAGAAGGGGACGACAGAGAATGAGATGGCTGGATGGAGTCACTGAAGCAGTAGGTGTGAACTTAAATGGACTCCAGAAGATGGTAGAGGACAGGAAGACCTGGAGGAACATTGTCCATGGGGTCGCGATGGGTCGGACACGACTTCGCAATTAACAACAACAACAACAACAAAGGGCAAGTGGGATAAGGCCTGAATGAACAAAAGGTTATTTTCCAAGTAGGTTCTTAATTATAAATTATGTGTGACTTTCACATGATTCATGCTTCCGTCTTCCATTTGTAACTATCCTTTCAATGTTTTTCTTTAAATCAGAACACCTATGAAGGAGGGAAAGACAGAATAGCCTTCAGATGGACTACTAAGAGCTGTTGGGAAGAATCCTAAAATGTTGAGAGCAGTGTAATGAGATTAATTGTAGAACAAGAATTAGTTGAAATAACAAAAGAGTTTCCAGGAATATGAACTGTAATGTTATAAACTATTTAAAAGGCCTAGAAATCACCTGCATTATTTTGAGTGGTTGATGCTCGGGGCTCTGCTAAGCTGATTGTGATGCATCAGTCTTTTTTTTTCCCCTTTTAAAATTGAATAAAACTTGGGTTTTATATGCCTCACCTGTGTACCTCTGATTGCTTTGCAGTGGACGGTCTCCACAATCCCTCACCCTGGAGCTGCTAAAAGAAGATGGCTTTGATGAAGCGAATCCTTTGCCTTTACGACATGCATGTAACATCACAGTCCCTGGTGCTGCTGCTGCATGGTGTGATGCTGTCACGTTGTATGGAAGCAAACAGGTAAAAGTCTACCAAATGTTCTTGCTCAAAACATTGATTACAGGTAATCTTTGACTTGGCAACCATTTATTTAACAAGTGGTCAAAGTTACAACAGCACTGAAAAAAGTAACTTACACTTGGTCCTTGCAGTGACCCCCATGGTCCCATGATCAAAATTTAGCTGCTTGGCAACTGGCATGTAATCAATGTTGCAGTATCCATGGGCCACGTGATCACCATTTGTGACTTTCCCAGCCATCTTCTGACAAGCAGAACCAAGAGGGGAAGCCAGATTCATTTAACAACCATGTTATTCACTCATAACTGCAGTGATTCACTTAACAACCATGGCATAAAAGTCATAAAATCAGGCACGATTCACTTCTCAACTGCCTTGCTTAGTAATGGAAATTCTGGTCCCAGTTGTGGTTGTAAGTTGAGGACTATCTGCAGATTTATTTCATAAATGTGCTTGCATTTTTTTTTAAAGTACTTGAATTTGCTTTTCCTTTAATAACACCCAGTTTCTTCTGCTTGCCTAAGATATGGGAAATGGCAGGCAAAAGAACAGGACATTGACCTCTCCCCTTCCTATTTTAAAAATATTGCTCAGTTTCTTATTGTCATCTGCTGGGATTTTACTAATTTCCTTTATGTAGATTTCACATACTTGATACCATAGGAAGGAATGAAGTATAGGGAGTCCTTGGGTTATGGCCACAATTGAGCCCAAACTTTATATTGCTAAGTGAGAAATTTGAGAAGTGAGTTTTGCTCCATTTTATGACTTTCTTTGCCGCATTTGTTAAGTGAATCACTGCAGTTGTTTAATTAGTAACATGGTTGTTGAGTAAATCTGGTTTCCCCATTGATTTTGAAGGTTGCCACGTGACCCCCCCCCCTGGACACATCATAAATGTGAGTCACTTGTCAAGCATCCCAATGTAAATCATGTGACCGCGGGGAAGCTGCAACGGTCATAAATGTGAAAAACGGTCATAAGTCACTTTTTTCAGTGTTGTTGTAACTTCAGACGGTCACTAAACAAACTATTGTAAGTCGAGGAATACCTGATATGCCCTTTGAAATAGATCTTAATAATATTTATTATGTGATGAAATAACATTAATTTGCGACTCAGAAAAGGATAATTTGGAGGAACCTTCCAGAAAGCTAGTGAGTTTTAATATTCTATCCCACTGCATTAATTTTTCATCTATTTGGGAAGCTATAAAGCCCAGTTTAATCCTTTATGTTGATTCAAAGCTCCTCTTTACTTTTACACCATTTATATAAGTGTGTTCATATTACACACTTAACCAGGCAAGCTAAAATCTAGGTGACTGCATGCACATGGCATGCTAAGTTCGATTAGTTTTAACTTTGGCTTATGTGATTCAGTGTATTGTGCAAATCTTTATAACTGGTGGATGTATGTTGATTGATAACAATGCAATATTCCTTGATTCAGCTTTCCATGGGGCAAATTTTGCAACCAGCAATAGAAATGGCTGAGAAGGGCTTCCCAGTGTCTGAAATTACTTCTTACCAGTGGAAGCAAGATACTTATGTCCTTCAGTCACCTGGAAATCAACATGGAAAGGACCTCTTGATCAATGGTGAAGCACCAGAACATGGCCAAGTCTTCCAAAATCCTCTTTTGGCTAACACTTTTAAGGTAAAGAGAGCTGCAGAGTCAGTTATGCATTAAGTTAGTAACATTTATTGATTGTAGCCACCCACCTTTTGAGTTTTACTGTTGGTTCGGTTATGTCACATATCATCACGGTATCCATGTAGATTATTATAGAACAATTGAAATATATTTACTTAGATGATATATAACTAAGCCATACTATGATAATTTGGCCTAGAACACTGTATGAAACCACCTATTAACATCTCATTATTATGAACTGGGCCATTATGGCTTGTTCAGTAACTCACGGTTAAAATATATTGTAGCCTTATATATAGATGCAATCAGTATGGATATTTCTATTTAAAATCAGTTCTGTATATTGGTTCTGACACTATGTTTTCAGCCCTTGCTTTTATAGAAATAGTTCAAGAATAATTATTCAATGTTTGGGGATTTTTTCCCCCTTGGTTAACATGGCACATTTTCTGGAGAATAAATGACACAATTGCTTCACATTCTTTTATGAGAGCTTTTAGAAGCGAATATGAACTTTTTGAATAGTGCATAACTGACAGAGACTGTTATATTTGGTAAAAAAAACTAGCTACTAGTTACATTTTTCATTTGTTTAATAGCTTCATAATAGGAGCTTTTGAATTAGGAGAAGGTTGTCTACTTTCCATATACAGAACAATGGACATTGTAGACTGATTCTTGAATTGGAGGTTGATGAATACACATGCATGTATGTGCCATTCACATGCAGGTAGTCCTTAACTTATGACCACAATTGGAATCGACACTTCTATCACTAAGTGATATTGTTAAGTGAGTTGTGCCCAATTTTCTGAACTTTTTTTGCCACAGTTATAAGTGAATTATGTGGAAATCCAGCTTTCCCCATAGACTTGGCGTGTTGGAAGCTGACTGAGAAGGTCGCAAATGCAATTATGTGACCGCAAGATGCTGCTACCATTTGTAAATTCATGCCTGTTTCTAAGTATCCGAACTGTAATTCCATGACCACTGTGATGGTCGTAAGTGTGAGAATCAATCATAAGTTAAATTTTTTCAGCACATTGTAACTTTGAATGGTTGCTAAACAAATGGTTGTAAGTTCAGGACTACCTATATACCACACATATATTTTATGTAAACTCAGACACTCACCCACGCACTCACTAGTGTGTTTATTAGAAGCAATCAGAGATACTGAGCAGAGTTGCCAGGAAACATGTACAATCTCGACAATTATTGCAGATGATTACTTTTCCACTGCTATCAGCACAAACCTAATTTTTGATTGCCTGGAAAAGCAGATGAAATTCTGGATGTTTCTGCAGCCTGTACTTTTTGCTAGGGGGCATCCACATCTAATATACACTGAAATTGATTGAAGAGTTTTACTTCAGTACATGAATTTCAACACAACATTCAGAATGAAGGCAAATATATGTGTCCTAGGATAATGTTACAGGATCTGGTCTGGATTGGTCACCAGGACCAGACTTCTTGTCTTCTGAGCTTTTGGATTCGTTCTGGAGCCCATCTTCAAGGAACTTCTAAGTTCTCTCTAGGCTAGAGAGAAGTTCCCTGAAGATGGGTTCTAGCATCAAGGGCTGACTGACCCAGATTGGATCCTACAACATTCAGAGAACCAGACTCTCAAGACCATGTAGCTCATTGTGACTTTCGTTGTGCACAAGCTTGCAAAAAACACCATATCAGTTTCTAGTGCTTTGGGTGCATAGTTTCAGTGATAAGATATGCCTTTTCTCTTTCAACTCTAATTCGAACAAATGATAAATGTCATTTGTGGTTTTTAAATTGCATTGTGAACATAAAGAAGATTCAGGACAGAATTCCCCCATAGAATTTGACCCTCTGTAACCTGTAGCTGGCTCCTTCTGGGTCACTTGGTTGGAATCAAGAGTTATAGTCTTTGGAAACATTGAAGGCTGATATTTATCAAAAGAGGGATATTTCATGCGATGCAGGAAAATTAGTGGAGCATAGCAATAATGTACATCAAATTTAATTTTATTTCCACAGCAATTGAATTTGCTTCCTGGCTAACTTAGTTACGAAAATCGTAAGAGATTAGGTAGCCATGTCTGGATACTATTCAGCAGCATCTCTCAGTATCATTTTTTAGCTAATTATAAATCTTAGTATCCTGATTTGACAGATACTGCTTTTTAACTTCATTCTGAGACTTATATAATGTTGAAAAAGCATTCAGAGATAAATGCCATAGAAATCAGTAAATGGCAAAAGGTAAAATGTATAGATGGTGTCAGATTGCTTACTTTTTAAACTCTGTCCTGGAGAGAGGCAGCAGAGGCTTACTTGCTTATGCCTTTTTTCCACCTGCATTCAAGTTATTTTATTACATAACACATTAATGTAATAATTTTCTTACTTCCCATCATTTCTATGCATCTATATATTCCTTGTATTTAGACTAGTGTGTAACTTTCATCTCAGTTTTACAAGATGAGAATGTTGGTTAACATAAGAAACATTCAGTCTATTGGCTAAGAATTGTTAGATAAAGTATCCATAGATATCTACATTAAAGTGTACAGGAGGAACATGCTGTGATTATATGTTTTTTCTTGGAATCATATTCTGCAGTATACGGAATGGAGTGTAAAATGAGGAGGAATACAACTAGAACTAAGGAGTGACCCTTAGTTTTAGATCAGGGGTGTCAAACTCAATTTCATTGAGGGCTGCATCAGCATTGCGGTTGGCCTCGGGGGGGCGAGTGGGTGTGGCCAGGGTGGGCGTGGCCTACTGGGTAGGTGTGGATGGAGTGAGTGCGGCCTACTGGCTGGGCATGGCCAGCTCTTCATCGTTTGCGTCAAGGCTGTCTGTGGAGGCCTGGGCAGGAGTGGGACAGATCTGAGGGTCTCTGGCAGAAGGGGGTGGGACTAGGGCAAGTGCCAAGGCATGGTCCATTTCTTCATTCCTCACAAAGGGTGACACCTCCCAAGCATGCACCCGGGGGCGGGGCCGACATGGCAGGGGTGGTTCCTCGCTGTTTCCAGATGGCCTTGTGGAGCTAAGACTGAATGTGTTTCAGCATAGATGGCCACCACAAAATTGTACATTGGCTCCCGGCCGGCCTGGGCCAGGGCCAAGGCAGTGGGGGCCGTTCCCTCACTGTTTCCAGGATGGCTTCGCGGGCCACATGAAACCACTTCACGGGCCGCATCCGGCCCCCGGGCCTTGTGTTTGACATGTCTGTTTCCATGGTTTAGATGTATTACTTCTTGAGATAACCTTCAGGTAACTTAAGGTGAGAGCACAGTTAAGCCCCCAAGTGGCCCCAAGAGCTCTTAAGGAGAGTGCTAAGACAAGATGACTGCAAAGAAATATGATCCTTCTAAACCCCTCCCCCCATCCTGCCAGAACTAATCCCTCCATAGCCCCCCCACCATCCTGCCAGAACCAATGAAGCTTTTTTGATGAGAAGCAAAATGTCTTCTTCCTCAAGGAAAAAAACAGTCCAGTTACCTTTTGAAAAAGCACCTTTGAGACAGCTTTGACCTTGATGACTGAGAATCTCCATAGACATAAGGAGGTAAAAGAATTCTGCAACAGATCGTTTTGGAAGCAAATTATGAGAGTCAACTATAATCAGACTTTATAGAGACATAAATGCTCTTAAGTATTTAAGTATCTTTTTTCAGATTGAGAGACTTTACAGGGGAGAATTTGAATTTGATCTTGGATCATGAACTCTTACATGTCAGAAAAAAAACAGGGTTTTTTTACACATAAAATTTCCTTGGCCAGTTATGCTAATATCTGTGTAACTTAGATGTGTACAAAAGTTCATTATTTATATAAATGTCTACAAATTTGAATTTTAATCTACAGAGAAATCCATCACACAGGAACATTGCTTTTAATGGACTTTGCATGAATAAGCTTTTACTAATTCATACATATCAACTAAAATTGCACTATTTGTATTGATTTGATTTTCTTCTTAAGTGAAACAGGTTCACTACATTCAAAGTCATCAAGATGTTTGCTTGCAGATATTTCATTACCTATCTGGAAAGAGGGCCTGGATAGATCAAATTCTGGATAGGTCAGGTTCTTTGAGAGGGTGGGGTCTGTGAGATAGAAGAAAGGTCTAAGGGCCCAGCCAAATGAATAACATTAACATGAGTTCTGACATTCTTGATTCAACAGAAAACTCTGTTGATGTGAATTGTGCTGCCCCCACAGCAGACCTTTATTGTAGGTCAGTAATAAGATTGGATGGTGTTACTGCCTTACACAATTTAAAATGGGCACTTTCAGGGCAGTGAATGGTGGATTTCCTGGTTTCGTTTCACTCTTCTCACAATTCTTTCCTGTCAACAGGAAAAACAAACTCTGATTGATGTCTCTAATATATGAAAAGTAGGGTCAGAATGATCCAGATCCTCTTTCCAGATAGATAATGTAACATCTGCAAGCAAACATGTTGATGACTTTGAATGTGGTGCTGGTGTAAATTATTGTCTGTACTATGGACAGCCAGAGCAGCCAATAGAGAGATGCTGAATAGATACATCACTAGAAGCCAAAATCACAAGACTATGTCTGATTTACTTTGGCTATGTCATACGTGCAAATTCATTGGAGAAGTCAATGAGGGTATCATGGTTCCAATAAATAGAGCCAAATAAATCAGAACTCTGAGCCAAGAGACTTCCTCAAAGAACATGTTTATTGGATACAAAATATCAGCATAGTCAAAAGTGAAACCAAGTCTAAAGTTCCCTACAAAAAGTTGTTGTTGTTGTTAATTGCGAAGTTGTGTCCGACCCATCGCGACCCCATGGACAACGTTCCTCCAGGTCTTCCTGTCCTCTACCATCTTCTACAGTCCATTTAAGTTCACGCCTACTGCTTCAGTGACTCCATCCAGCCACCTCATTCTCTGTCGTCCCCTTCTTCTATTGCCTTCAATCTTTCCCAGCATTAGGCCCTTCTACAGTGAGTCCTTCCTTCTCATTAGGTGGCCAAAGTATTTGAGTTTCAACTTCAGGATCTGGCCTTCTAAAGAGCAGTCGGGGTTGATCTCTTCTAGGACTGATCGGTTTGAATGCCTTGCAATCCAAGGGACTCGAAGGAGTCTTCTCCAGCACCATAGTTCAAAGGCCTCAATTCTTTGTCGCTCAGCCTTTCTTATGGTCCAACTTTCACATTCATACATTGCAATTGGGAAAACCATGGCCTTGACTATACACACTTTTGTTGGCAGGGTGATGTCTCTGCTTTTTAGTATGCTGTCTAGATTTGCCATAGCTTTCCTCCCCAGGAGCAAGCGTCTTTTAATTTCTTGGCTGCAGTCCCCATCTGAGGTGATCTTGGAGCCCAGAAAAATAAAATCTGTCACTACCTCCATTTCTTCCCCATCTATTTGCCAGGAATTGAGAGAGCCGGATGCCATGATTTTGGTTTTCTTAATGTTGAGTTTCAAGCCAACTTTTGCACTCTCCTTCTTCACCCGCATCAAAAGGCTCTTTAGTTCCTCTTCACTTTCTGCCATTAGAGTGGTATCATCTGCATATCTTAGGTTGTTGATATTTCTCCCGGCAATCTTAATTCCAACTTTTGATTCATCTAGTCCTGCCTTTCTCATGATGTGCTCTGCATATAAGTTAAATAGGCAGGGTGACAGTATACAGCCTTGCCGGACTCCTTTCCCAATTTTGAACCAATCAGGGTTCCGTGTCCAGTTCTCACTGTTGCTTCTTGACCCGCATAAAGGTTTCTCAAGAGACAAATAAGATGGTCTGGTACTCCCATCTCTTTAAGAATGTGCCACAATTTGTTGTGATCCACACAATCAAAGGCTTTAGCATAATCAGTGAAGCAGAAGTAGATGTTTTTCTGGAACTCCCTAGCTTTCTCCATGATCCAGCATATATTGGAAATGTGATCTGTAGTTCCTCTGCCTCTTCGAAATCCTGCCTGTACTTCTGGTAGTTCTCTATCCACATACTGCTGGAGTCTAGCTTGTAGGATTTTAAGCATAACTTAATAGCATGTGAAATGAGTGCAGTGGTGCGATAGTTTGAACATTCTTTAGTATTGCCTTTCTTTGGAATTGGAATGTAAACTGACCTTTTCCAATCCTGTGGTCACTGTTGAGTTTTCCAAATTTGCTGACAAATTGAATGTAGCACTTTTACTGCATCGTCTTTTAAGATTTTGAATAGTTCAGCTGGAATACTGTCACCTCCACTAGCTTTGTTGTTGCTCAGATTTCCTAAGGCCCATTTCACTTCACATTCTAGGATGTCTGGCTCGAGGTCAGTGACCACCCCATCGTGGTTATCTGGGGCGTTAAGCTTGTTCTTGTATAGTTCTTCTGTGTAGTTTTGCTACCTCTTCTTAATCTCTTCTGCCTCTGTTAGGTCCCTGCCATTATGGTCCTTTATCATGCCCATCTTTGCATGAAACGTTCCCTTCATATCTCCAATTTTCTTGAAGAGATCTCTGGTCCTCCCTACTCTGTTGTTTTCTTCTATTTCTTTGCACTGTTCATTTAAGAAGGTATTCTTATCTCTTCTAGCTGTTCTCTGGAATTCTGCATTCAATTGGGTGTATCTTTCTCTTTCTCCTTTGCTTTTCGCTTCCCTTCTTTCCTCAGCTATTTGCAAAGCTTCCTCAGACAGCCATTTTGCTTTCTTGCATTTCTTTTTCTTTGGGATGGTTTTAGTTGCTACCTCTTGTACAATGTTGCGAACCTCTGTCCATATTTCTTCAGGCACTCTATCAGATCTAATTCCTTAAATCTATTTGTCAACTCTACTGTATATTCATCAGGAATATGATTTAATTCATACCTGAGTGGCCTAGTGCTTTTGCCTACTTTCTTTAATTTAAGCCTAAGTTTTGCAACGAGAAGCTCATGATCTGAGCCACAGTCAGCTCCTGGTCTTGTTTTTACTGACTGTATAGAGCTTCTCCATCTTTGGCTGCAGAGCACATAGTCAATCTGATTTCTGTGTTGACTGTCTGGTGATATCCATGTGCAGAGCCGTCTCTTGGGTTGTTGGAAAAGAGTGTTTGTTACAACAAAAAGTTACACTAATACAAAGTTAAACTTCCCATCCTAGTGCTATGCAATCAGCTAGGTTCCCCAATAGAATAGTTTGGCGGGCTTTCTAGCAATCCACCCAACCCCCTAGCATAACCAACAGAATAACCTTGGTTCCCACGGGACACAGAATTGTTAGATAGCACAAATGCTCTGCACCCCCTCCCATTCATATGGCAACCTAGAACGAGCAAGATGGCTGCAGCTAGGTTGACAGATGTTAGGAATGGTTAATGGAACAAGAAGTTGACAGATGTTAGGAATGGTTAACAGAACAAGAAGAATGGCAAGCAAAGAACATGCTGGCTTGATACCATCACAATTGATACAAAGATGAATATCCAACAACTGAAAGAAGCTATGCTTGACAGCATAGCATGAAGAGCACTTGCCTATAAAGTTGCTAAGAGTAGAACATGACTAAATGGTTAAAACAACAACAGTGAAACCTTTGCAAGCAAACAACCAAGCTCAGAGAGCACCAAAGAATTCCTCAGTTCAGCCCTGTACTACATGTATTCTTTTCTATTGGTAATGTTATAAAATATCTGACTGTTTGTAATCAATTTATTGGATGAAACTGTTCACCTATTCAGCTTCCTTAGTGGCTAATTACATCTTGTTAATATTTAACAATTTGGTGCCAGATGGTAATGCACCACATGGTGAAAGGTATTCTTATTTGACTGAGTATATGGAATGACACATGCTGTTTTGTCTTAGTACCAGGTACGAACAATTTACCATCCCTTTTGAATTATTGAGGTTGACGTGGCTCTTTCTTAGAATTAGGTCAAAGGCAGGACAGTTTCCTTTTGTATACATAAGCATTCCTTGTGTTTTTTGCCTTTTGATGAAGCTACTTATGTTTTGCATGCTCTGTAATATTACAGTGATTCTGATGCACAATTATGTTTTATTGCCCCAATGAAAAAATGTTGTAAAATTCGTAATCTCAAATGATTGTATAAAATTGGTTTAGTTGATAGAAAATCCAAACTATAGTCTTATACTGTTTATTCTAGCTTGAATGGAAAGTACCATACTTTGTCAGTTCAGAGAAAGAGGGAAAGCATGACTTGCTATAAAATAAGACATTATAGGACATTAGGAGGCAGTGGAACCATGGAAAAGATAGAGAGATGTACTCAAATCCAATTGACACGATAACATTTCTATTGTACTTGAACCAAGATATTTTTTGATGTATTTCTAACTTGTTATACCAGCTGTCAGGAATATCTGCATAAGCAAGGAATATTCAGTTATATTAGCTTTCTCTTATTTTATCTTTCAGAAAATTATAATATGATTTATCTTTACAAGTAGGAAACAAGTAGTAATAACAAGCTACAGAAAAGTTGACTAGGCTTTTAAGTTTCAATTAATTGCTGAACTGGGTTCTAAACAGACTCTGCACTTAGTGGCTGGGTTTCCACATCACATCACATCAAATCATAATATAGTGTACTGTGCTATGCAACCTTAGCTGTTGTGATTTATAAACTATGTTTTATGGCTTCTATGAAGGGTTAATTTAGTTTAACTATACCATAAACCATAATATACCATACAATGGTATACAACCATTGTATAAACAATCTTTAACCCACCTGTGGCACATTCTCAGAAGTCAAAATATTTTTTTTTTTCTTTAGTACTTGCAATATAAGTTGAAAACATTCCTTAGAAAGCCTGCAACAAACTGACACATTATTGGCAAAAGCTGATGAATAAGAATTAGGGTTATGGTTAGAAAAAGAAATTTAGGACCTGCCCTAATTGATCAGGCTCTTAAAAGAAGTCATGGGAAATTTGTACTTTCAGACTTGGACATTTCAGTCAATGTAGCTTTACAATAAAGTAGAACTAGCTCATCAGGTCATGTTTTCTGTCTGGAGGGCTGATATCAGTATTGCAAATCTGAAAGTACAGATCTCCTGCAGTGACTTTTAACACCCTGGTCCTTCCTAAGTTTCTTTTTCTGATATTAAGCCACTAGCTGATACCTCCAGGCAGATTCTCTGCAAATTTACAAGTAGTCCCCCAACTTAAAATCAGTTGTTCAGTGATCAAAGTCACGCCAGACCACAAAAAAAGATGCTTCTGATCCCGATTCAAAGTTCCAATGGCTGCTCTCTCTCTCTCTCTCTCCCTCCCTCCCTCCCTCCCTCCCTCCCTCCCTCCCTCTCTCTCTCTCTCTCTCTCTCTCTCTCTCACACACACACACACACACACACACACACACACACACACACACACACGTTCAGGGTTCAGGGGACCACATTTCAGACACTCAGCAACTGGCCTGGATTTACAGTTATTTATAGCATCCTGCGATTGGGTGGCCCTGATTGATGATATTTTTTTACTGGAAACCAGCATTTATTTCCAGTTTCTACTGTCCCTGTCTATGTAACTGAAAAGTGCCAAAGAAACATTATGAAAAGATACTATTCAGAAATGCTGTTGAGGACATCACTATTCTTTTGATTTTGTAATCTAAGGACTTTTTTCCCCTCAGGAGTTAGCAAAATCTGGCAAAAGAGGCTTTTATGAAGGCCATGTGGCTAAAGCAATCGTGGACGTTATTCAGAATAATGGTGGAGTAATGGATTTAGGAGACCTGAAAAGTCATGTCACTGAAGAAGTTGAGCCTATTGTCACAAATTACAAGGTATGCCAGATTTAATCGTATGGAAAGATATAACTACATGGATGCTTATATGATTCTTCATAGGTTTTGTCTCAGAGGTTTAAGAAGTAATTTGGTTTGACTTCTAAACACGGAGCAAGTTGTTCATAACCTATCTGAATCGTCCCATAAAGTTTTGCAATATTTGATAGTGCTGGCTTTCCAACATGTATTATGCTATTCTAAGGAAACCATACACAATAGCACATGGCCACAATACAATGTGAACTAGATTTAGTGAGCTGTTCCTTCCTTTTATCTTCTGCCTTTAACTTTTTAGTTTATTATTTTTGATCCCTTTCCTTGCTCTGTATAATGAATGGATGCATGGTACTGTCCAGAAAAAATGAGAGATTTGAGGGGCTGGCAGAAAGAAGAGAGGGAAAACTTATTTTCCAAAGCACCAGAAGACAAGACAAGAAGCAATGGATGGAAACTAACCAAGGAGAGAAGCAACCTAGAACTAAGGAGGAAAAAAAGTTAAAGCAATCAACCAATGGAACGGTTTGCCTTTTGAAGTTGTGAGTATTCCATCATTGGAGGCTTTTAAGAAGAGACTGGATAGCCATTTGTCTGAAATGGAATAGGGTCTCCTGCTTGAATAAGAGGTTAGATAAGACCTTCAAGATCCCTTCCCACTCAGATGATGTTCTTTGAAATGCTGTAATAGTAAAATGTACCATCAGCTATGGAATAGTAGTAAGCTGACAAATCATTGTCACTTTTAACACATAGTAGCATCTTTTTCATGAATATAACATAAAATACATATTCTTTGTATCTATGTATACTTGTGTGTCCATTTGTGTTTATTCCATTGCAGATAGTCTTCATTTAGCTGCTGACTTATTTAACAAACATTTGCAGTTATGATAATGATGAAATAGTGATATTGTTATTAGTCCTCCATGTGTATGACCTTTGCAAGCCTGTAAAACAAAGGAAAGCTGAAGTAAGATCATTAAAAAATGTGATGGTTCATGCAACTGCTTCACATAACAACAGAATTCATCATCCCAACTATTTAGTGACTTACCTATGTTCTTGTTATTAATTGCTAAAGATTAAACTCAAACTTCATAAAATACTTAAGTTAAACAGGACTTAACTTTAGAAACTGGATGTAGACTAAAACCCAAAAATGCAAAGATCAGGAGACTGTTCTGTGTGATGATTCCCTTTTTGTGTTGCTTCTACCTTAGAACATTCCATAAACAAGAATACTTGACTCAATCTGTTCTTCTCTACACTTCAAAGGAGTTATTTTCAGTCATGTAGCCAAGTCTAAAAAGAAAAGGAATTTTCCTTGTCAGGTCATTCTTGGGACTTCACTCCTGCCTTTGTTCTGTAACCTCTTTTTGATATTTTCCCCCTTAGCACTATTAATAAATCTTTGGCAAAGATCCATATCCTGAATAAAGATCTTGCAAATCAAATTCAGCTTTGACAGTTTCCCCTGCTAAGGAGAAATAAAAGATTGGAGTTCAAAACTTTCTTGTAACTGATGTAAATGGAGTGATATAAAACAAGTGTTCTTCAAAACTAGCTCCAGTATTTATATACAATGTTATGCCTCTAACTCTTTGAAATTATAAACTAAATGCATATTGGCATGCTTGCGTTGCTGTTTTAAAGGAGACTAGGTAAATTAAATTTAATCTCCCTCAGATTAAATGTGAAATAACATGTTAAGATATAAAAACAGTATATAAAGACTAAAAATTTAGAAGGATGCAAGGATGATTAAACATGATTAAAATAAGTTAAAAGGTGAAGGGAGGGTTCTCAAGGCACCGGCCATCCCCCCCCCCCCCGGCTGCATACTGTTCTGGGCATCCCCAAGCAATACAGTTCCTGCATCAGGATTCCTTCTTCAAACTTCAAATGCTGACAGCCTTAGCAGGTAGACTAGACAGGAAACACAACCAGATAAACTAATTCTACTTTATTGTAAAGTTACATGAACAGAATTTTACAAGTCTGAAGAGACAATTCTCCTGCTGTCACTTTTACAGCCAGGGAGCTTAGGGAAGATTTCTTCTGAGCCTCTTATTCTGTGCTGCCTCTTATCTGACTATTCCCTAAACATCATCTCTTTGACCCGTTTCCCAAGATCTTTCCCACCTACCTTTACAGAAGATTCTGGTCTTGACAGCTTCCAAAACATTAAGGAGTGGTGTTTTGGATCTCTGGGGGCAAGACGTTCTATAAGAAAGAGAAATATGGTGATATACTTTGAATTGTTGTTATATAATTCATAAGTATATCTCACTGATCTTTGTAATAACTATATTATGAAACCAAACAATATATATAATTTATACAAATACCCATCTTACCTAAATGACTTTGGCATCTTACAAGGATTAAAAACACATAAAAACCCACAACATAAAACCCCAAACACCCAAGGTTATTGGTAGTTCAGGAATGACTTGTGGAGTCCTTGGTACTCATTGAGCTGGGTTATTCATTTACAGATGTTTTATTACCTGACTGGGTTACATTATCAGTGCAATGGCCAAGAACGCCACCCAAGGATAAACAATAATCACATACAGAGCACCCTCATCAATAGCAGGGTTCATCCTTAACCATTTTAAACTCCCAGCACTCCTTTTTTAAAACTTCCCTAAAGTTTCCAGTAAACATAGTTGAATTGTTTACCTTAAAATTGTAAGATACTCTTAGCTTTTGATTTGTTGCTATGGAATATTACAACTGTTTATTCCAGAGTTCTGGCAAGTAATTGTTCTAAAAGTTAAATAATATTCTTATAATTGTTTATATGAATTCAAACATATTCCAGTCTGATAGTAATTTGCAACTTGCAAGTGTTGTTAATGTTGCTGGACTAATGAAATCAGAATATGCTTTAATTGAATATATTGCCATTTTACAATTTTAGACAATTTACATTTCTCTTGTAATAATTCAGAAGGTTTAAAAGCTTGACTGACATAAGTTGATTTGAAGTATAAATATCTCTAATTTCCTGTATCATGTTAATCACTTCTTTCCAATATTTTAGCTGTTGTGTTATGAAAAGAAACTAGAACTCAGTGACATACCGGTACTTATGACAATATTGAAATTTATAAAGTATGAATCAATAAAATTTAGTATGTGTGGTATAAAACACTAAGGCTTGGAGATTCAGATTCTTCAGGAAATATGTGAACATAACAATAAAGCAAGGTATAACTATTTTTCAGCTTCCAAATGGATTTTGTAGCCGACGATCTATACAATTCATAATACAATTCATGATAGGTAAAAAAGGTAAAGGAGTCCCTGTGGATTTTATTCTGCTAGTCATTGCTGACTATAGGGGGCAGCACTTATCTTCATTTCAAGGATATTGAGCCAACACTGTCTGAAGACATTTCTGCCCTCGTATGTCCAGCATGATGTCATGGAGAGCTGTTAACCTTCCCACTGTAGTGGTACCTACTTATCTACTTGTATTTGCATTTTTTTGAACTGCTAGGTGGGCAGGAAACGGGGTGAAGATGGGACCCCACCCTGTTGCATGGTACTTATCCGCTGAGCCACTGCGCCATCCCACAATTCATGATAGCCATAATAAATATATATACTAAATGCATAATAAAATTATATAATTCATAATTATACAGTGTGTAATATGGTTATAAAATTTATAATAATAAATATATAATAGCATTATATAATTCATAATACAAAATTCATAACGACTAGTTTCATGTAGCACCCAGATGATATTTGTTGCAAAGTTATTCTTCATTAAATGAAAGATGAGATAAGTGATAATTTGGAGAACTGATTCAAATAAAGGAAATGTAGTTAACATTTTTAAGTTTCAGAGAGCTTCTTATTGCAGAAGGAAAGTGAGGCAGTTTCTCAGTGATTTGGCAAGTGTATAAAACTGATTATTCAGCTCTTGCTTATGGATATCAATAACCTGCTAGCAGTTCAGAATGTAACAGCTGTCTGTTACAGAAACCATGACGGCAAAAAACTCATGTAAGAAAAAGGAATGCTTATATACCTAGTTGATAGTAAAAGTGTTCCAAGTTCTTCAGTCATGCAAAAAATGATATGTTTTAAAACCCAGGTGTAATATTACATCTATTAGTCATGTAAGAACCACAAAAACATTAAAGATCCATGTGTTAAAAATGAGGATCAAGCAACTGTAGGTTAATGAAAAATGTTTAATAGCTGCACCTTGTCCCAAACCCTTTGTGTTTTAAAATAATTATTTGGTTGTTTGTAAAATCTATCTTCCTAGAAGTTGTCAGAATCTATTAGAAAGATGCATTTCATTGTTAACTGTCTTTGTGTATATATAGGATCTTCAGAAATGTTTTCAAAAAAATATCAGAAACATTTTAGGAATTATTATGAGCAAGTATTTAATTGACACGAGCATATAATCGATTCAAGAATTTAAATACATACTACATTGATGCATATATTGTTGCTTAAAAACTAATGACATTTATTTAATGTTATTTGCATCATATATTTCTTGTGTGTTTGATTATATTTTTCTTATTAAGGAAAGGTAATCCATGTTAAAGTGTTAATGTTTCATTAGTTGAAAAATAAGTAAAGAATTTCATTTAGAATAGTATCAGAAAGTTTTTATTTATTTGGCTGATAGTCAGTATTAAGTAGTGTCAATCATTTTTAGGGCATGAATATTTGGGAAATTCCTCCAAATGGACAAGGAATCACAACTTTATTAGCCCTGAATATTTTAGAAAATTACAATATGAAAGGTATGATCAGCTTCTAATTTGTACATATCTGTTGTTTCTAAGGAAAAAAAGTGCCAGATGTTTCTACTTTAGGAAAAAAAGAGAAAAAAATACCTTTTGTCAAAATTTATATTGAATGAAGGATCATTAAAAGTAAGACTTATTTAAGAGACATTTACAGAACTATGCAAAAAATTGACAAAATTTGCCATTTCAGCAAGTCTGTTAGCTATTGGCTTAAAGCAATACTAATAATGGGAAACCAGAGGGGAAAAAAATGAGAAAATGGCAAATTTCTTCTGTGATGTTTCCAAGGTAACAAATTTAACATATCCATTTAGTTTCCCAGATTCACTTAATTTGAGGAAAACTTTATTTATATAAATCACAATATTATTCATTCAAATATAGAAATTCCTAGACATAATTTTAATACAGGAGGCAATTAAGCCTTTTTAGAAAGAATAATGTTTTATTTTTATATTATAAAAATTCCTAATCATGTAGCAATATATGTAAATTACGTCCATTGTAATTTAGATCCCAATCTAATTGTAGCAATATATAGGTAAAATTGCTTCCATAAGGAAAACAAAAAATGATCATTCTTGATAAATACACGTAGCATTACACCTTCCAACTGTCCAGGAATGTTCAGTTCAATTCTAATCTAGCTCCCTATTCTGATGATCCCAAAAATGATAAGATAAATTACAGTTCTAAAATGCTGCTTGTAGAGAATATGTAGATGAGATCACTGGTGAATATAAGGAATACTTGTGAAATCACAGATTTAGGCCTCCTAGCCTGAAGTATTGGCTTTTTAAAGTATATCAGTGACTTTGGAAAGAGCATTAGTGTAGTGAAACGCTTTTTAAAAACTTGTCAAATACCATCTTGAAAATCCTGTCTCTTATGGTAGAGATTAGCTTTTATGATTTTATTAACGTTTTATCTCATATATTGTAAGCCAGCTGGAATGAGAAGAGCAGATGGCATATACATTTTGATAGCAAATGCCAAAGTACAAAGACAAGTGGATGGGAACAAGGGGGAAGATCCATGAGAATCAGCAATAAAGGAGGGATATTAGGTTGACCTTGGAAGAGAATGGAGCAGAAAAAGAATGGCACTTTTGTCCTGGGCTGTCCCATAGATCTGTTTTGATTTTTCAGGGAAATATTTTTCTAGACAAAGTCAGAAATTGAATGGTATGATATGATAGTAGGGCCAAAAGAAGGACTGGACCTGGAGCAAAAATAAAATTTAATTCATTTTTAAATTTAATTTAAATTAATTACATACACTTAAATATGATTAATTTTCATTAAACCCATTATCTTTCCTTTTGTCAGTTGAAAAAAACTAGTGACAATTTCTGGAGATGCTCTGGTAACGATAGGGCACATCCAATGCTCTCAGGCATCATCTTAATTAAATTTATATGCTGCGAAGCTCCCAACAACCCTGGGTAGTTTATAAAATCATTAAAAACATTTTAAAGCAAGAAAATACAGGACAAAAAGTAACAAAAATAGCAGAGATAGAAAGCTTAAACAGGAATAAGAAAAAGAAGAAAATGGGCTTCAGTCACACTAACCAAATACCTGGGCAAAGAGCATCCTCTGGTGTAGAAAACAATGTATGAATCAATTTACTATTTCTCAGTAAGTACAATGTACACAATTATACTTTTATGTATGTGAAGAAATTTATGAATTGCAAACAATAATTTATCTTGGTTTCTTTCTGTAGATCTGGACCATAATTCTACTCGTTATTTGCACATTTTAATTGAAGCATTCAAGCTGAGCTTTGCTGATAGTTTTTGGTTTTGTGCTGATCCAGAAAAAGAAACAATACCTATACCACAGCTCCTTTCTAAATCTTACGCCAGAGACCGTTCAAAGTTAATCAATTTACATAGGTAAGCTATCTTGCTGTTGTAAGTGCCACTACTTATTAATTACTTATTAAATATCAAATAATACCACAGTGTTACTGTTAGTGGCTTCACTTTCTTTTAAAATAAGTTTTATTAATATATTTACCAGCTGTTCCAGTGGCATGATTATGCAGTTTTTCTCTAAACTGCATGAGCTGCTTTCAAAACAGCTTTTTTTCATAATTAATTTTAGATAGATTGGGAGTATCTACACTTGGAAAATCTGAGAATAATTCTTCATAGGAAAATAGTTCTTCATAGAGGTTGCAGAGATGGCATGGGGAACTCAAGTTAAGGTCCACCCTCAGAAAATTGAAGCTTACTGAGGAATTTTGGATCAGTCATTCTGGCTCTATCTAACCTACCTCACAGGATTGTTCTGGAGAAAAATAAGAGGAAGGCATGCTAATATGATCTAAAATAACAACAACAGCAACAATAATAATAATACGATGGTAATCCTTGCTGAACAACCAGAATTGGGACTGATGATTCTATCACTAAGCAATGTGATTTTACTTGTGGTTTTACTTCTTGGTAGAGTGTACTTGTTGGAAGCTGCCTGTGATGATCATAAATGGTGATATCAGGACTGCAGGATGTTGTGATTGTCTTAAGCACCCACTCGTTATGAAATGCTCAAATCCTAGTATTGTGACTGCAGGGACACTGTCCTGTGAAGACACAGTTATAAAGTTTCTTTTTAAGTGCTACTGTAACTTTGAATGGTCAATAAACAGGACAATTTACCATTATGCTGGAATATTTTCAGATTGGCCATAATGCCAGAATACATCTTGAAAATCCCAAGGATCTGTCTGTTAAAAATACCAGTCTTTGTACGTTAGATAAAATGTTTGCTTACTCTAACTTATGTTTGGGATTAACCTCCCAGTGCAAACACTTCTTAAAACAATCCAGTTGTTACCTGTTCACAGGAGATCATTTGATCATTTCCTATGTAACTTTGCTTCAACTTTCTAAAGTATGCAATGCAATAAATAAATTGTTGAAAGTTTTCTTAATTGACCACTTTAATTGAAAAAGAAAATGCTCCACAGTCCTGATCCAGAACATTTCTATACGTTTTGGATTCCCACAAAAAATAAATAAAAAGGAGGTTCATTATGCCTCCATGTTTTTTTTCATAGCCCCAAAACAGAAAAACAATGGACAAAACATCTTGGTCCCATCTCCTCTTGTAGTCTTAGCAGTTCTATTTATCACTCACTTGTAGAGTGAGAGTAGAATAAAACAACAATTGAAAAAAATATAATTATTTTTGTGGATTTTGGATACATAGAAGTCGATCCCTTGCCATAGACTCTGTCCCAATATAAATAAACAATATCCTCAAATAAGTAAATTGAGAAATATTGCTGCAGCTAGATTTCAGCTCTCAACACTTTGTAAATACTACAAACAATACCAGCATTTTAAGTTTTCTGCTTTCTTTCCTCTTACCAGAGCAACTGCCCAATATAGTCATGGAAATCCTTCCTCGGTGGGCAATGACACCGTTTATTTTAGCGTGGTGGATGCTGAAGGCAATGCCTGCTCTTTTATTAGCAGCCTGTACAAAGGATTTGGTGCAGGGCTGGTGCCAGATGGCTGTGGATTTACCTTGCAAGTGAGAAAGTATTTTTCAACATTATGAATGTGTGCTTAGTGAAATGATTGTTTTAGCATTAATTTTTCAGTGTGGTATGCTCTTAATTCATATCAGGATTGATTCAAAATTGTTCCTAATTTAAGTGTAGCCATTTCAAATTCTTGTATTTTTTTTTTTAAATGAAAGCTAGTTCATTTTCACAACCAAACTCCAGGCTTTAGCTTCATCCGTATGTGCAAGAATTCCTTCTCTATTTAAAGGTTTCCTCTTCTATTTAAAATTTCTCTTAGTCACCGGAATCTTTTCAAAAATTGTGTTGAAATATTATCACAGATCATGTAAATATCATGTAATAAGGAGTCTTTTCATCTTCATTTTAATGATGTCTATTTTATACAAATATTTTTATTAGCCATGGTGGCTCAGTGGTTAGAATGCAATACTGCAGCCTAGTTCTGCTGACTGCCAGCTGCCAGCAGTTTGGCAGTTTGATCTTGACTGGCTCAAGGATGACTCAGCCTTCCATCCTTCCTAGGTCGGTAAACTGAGGATCCAGATTATTGGGGGAAATATGCTGACTCTGTAAACCACTTAGAGAGGCTGTAAAGCATTGTGAAGCGGTATATAAGTCTAAGTGTTATTGTTATTGCTATTATCAGTCAATGGACTGTTACTTTTTGCAGTTTTTTTATTATTACACTGTTTTATTATTACCTGCATCGATAATAAGAGAATATTTGTAGCTCAGGGCTGAACTGTGGAGTCCTTAGTGCTCTCCAAGCTTGGTTGTTTTCTTGTAGACGTTTCATTACCCAAACTGGGTAACATTATCAGTGCACTGATTATGTTATCTAGTTTGGTAATGTCTGCAAAAAAATTAGCAATCTCAGCGAGAACAAGGACCCAACAGTTCAATACTGAGCTATAAATGTTTTCTTCTATCAATACTGCAGATAACTAGGATTCAACCCCATGGATTGCTTTATCTGGCTGTGACTTTTAGTGCACTGATTTATCTAGAACAGAGGAGCCAATTTTTCACTACAGCATGATCATCCAAACTGCCTGGGCCCTCGGAAGCGGCCCTATCATACAATTATACCAGCTCTGGCCACTGCAGCTGATACAGGAGAACTTTTGTGCTGCTTTGGAGTTATGGGAGGATTCATGCAACCTCAAGCTCAGGTTCAAGTAAGTATCTGTTTCCTCTGGGTGTAATTTATTCTCAGAAAATCCTTTGGACCTCAAAGCTTACATGACTGAATACAGTTTATGTCTTTGAACAAATTTGGGGAAAATTTTATCGGCATTTTCACAAAGTTACTGTCATGAAGTCAAGGTCAGCCACAAAACAGCAAAATTGACATAAGGGTGTGACTGTTTCTCACAATCATACCTTCTCCAAGACGGTTTCTTTTAAGTCCACTTCCATTTACATTTACCTTTTTCACCATAAAGCAGGCATACTTCCAAAAAAAGAAGAGTTGTAGCTGCCTATTCTTTTCATTTGAATAATAATCATATTCAGCAGCATCTATGAAATGTGTGTTTGTTTGCTTAATGTGTTGTTTGAGATTGGGATTCTACCTTGTAACATATCAGCTTTTGATTTATTTTTTAATTAAAAGAATATAAAAATAAAATAAAGTCAGCTGAGCATTCAGCGTATATTTTAGTGGATCTAAGGCTTAGGCAGGATATAGTATGCTTGAAATGAGCATCAAATTACCTTGAGAGTAATTTCGTGAACATAGCAAAATATACATAGAAAAATATATTTTTATGTAACAATATTGTCTAGATCATTGGTATTTTATGAATGAATTATTCCCACAATAATCCAGGTTTGCATTTTCCTCTGTATGTTCCTATAGGTACTACTGAATATGTTTGAATTTGGAAAGAATCCACAAGAGGCTTTGGATGCATCTCGTTTTTATTTGGAATATAGCAAAAAAGGTAAGACTATAAAATGGAATTTATATTCTATCTAAATGAGCAGGAAGAAATCCAAAGTAATTGTCAGACCCTCATTATATTGACACAGTGCTAAGAAAGTATTGTTGATTAAGATTTAATAGCTCAAGTTTGGATAGCAGTAAGTATCCTACTATAATTAAATTTGGTGATGGATTCTTTTTCTCCAAGTAGCAATGAAATAAAACCCATAGAGTTTGTTCTATGTCAAAATCAGTACAATGGTATTTCATACTCTATGTTGCAGTTGGTTTCTATTTATTACTTTGTTTTTCCTTTTGGTTTATTTCATTTACCTGATTTTATTTTACTGGTGCTCTTGGGTGAATGGCTGCAGTAGATATAGCTTTCATAGAATAATAGGATTGAAAGAAATGGCAAATGGAAACCTGTCATTTCTCCACCCTCCCACACATAGATTTACTTCTGATGAGGTATTTTAGTCTCTGTATGTTACTTCCAAAGAACCAATTTGGTGCAGTGATTAAGGCATCATGCTAGAAGCTGGGAGATTATGAGTTCTAATCCCACTTTAGGCACAAAGCCAGCTGCAAGACCTTGGGCCAGTCATCCTCTCTCAGCCCTAGGAAGGAGGCAGTGGCAAACCATTTCCAAAATCTGTCTAGGCGCCACTTGATATAGCCAGAAAAGAAGAACCTATCCTGAAGGCCCAGTAGAATATACATTTCATAAGCACACATATGTATGTATGTATATAAATTTGTGTGTATACACATACATAGTGATGTGCTGATAAATATATAAGAACTAGCTTAGGTGGCTCCACTGGCACCACTGTGCTGACCCAATAGCAGATTTTAAGCATACTAAGCATAACTCCAGCTAACAGTTTTTCAAAAAAATTACCAATCACTTCTTATGAGCCAGTACAAGCTGGTTCCAACATACCTCTCTGTCTGTGTATATGTTCATTCATTTATTTTTCTGTATTTACAATATACAGGAACATAATTTTAAGAAGTCATAGAACTTAGGTCTTGTATTTATCTTAGTTGAAGAGTACTCAGTTAGATCATCTATTTAGACCTATTGCCTGATAGTAAAATGAGATAAGGTTTACTTAGAAGCAGGTTTCAATAGTCCTTGAGGCAAGCATTAACAGCTAGTTGCACAGCCTTTCTTAACCTGGTGGCCTTGGGGATGTTGACTTTCTTGATCCTTTGTTGATGCTAGGCTGATGTGAAGGCTGCTTGAAAGCCTGTCTTTTCACCCAACAGCTTACTCAGAACCAACCTGGACAAAGATTACAAAGGCTCAGCATTCCTCTAGCCTTCCTCATCCGCTTGACTGAAACATAAGGTGTGAAAGTGAACAGGAAGGAAGGTCATAAACGTGCACTGCAGTAGTTAAATGTGCTCCGATCAGGGTTATCCCACCTGGCCATGAAACTCACTGGGTAATTTTGGATCTGTAATTCTCTCTCAACCTAGCCCACTTTGCAGGTTTGTTCTCACAAAGATAAAATTAGCAGAGACTGCCTTTCTGCCCCTAGCCCCACCCTGTATATATCCCCAAGGATCTTGGCCATTTTACCAAGATTTAGCATAGTGTGCTATGCATACACTTCTGCATAGTGTGTACAGAAAGAAAATGAGAAAATGAGATAAATAAAATAAAATAAAATCTGTTTTTTAAAGCTGCATAAATTCACTACAATTGTGTGGCTAGTGTCACAACCAAAATGATTTAAAAGAAGTGTGTGTGTTTGTGTGTGTGTGTGTGTGTGTGTGTATGCATGTATAAATGTATGTGTCCCTGCAGTTAGGTTGGCACGATTTTCAAAAATAGTTTGCCATTGCCTTCTTCTTAGGGCTGAGAAAGAGTAACTGGACCAGTTGGCTTTGTGCCTAAGGTAGGACGAGAATTCATGGTATCCTGTTTTTTTTTTAGCCTGGTGCCTAAATCATTACACTGAACCAGGTCTCAGAATTGAATATATATTCCAGTTTAATCAATTAAATGCAGTGAATATTATTTTAGTGTATTTCATCATGTTTTCCTGATGTCGCATTAATCATTGCAATTCAGCATTATGGAGGCTACATCCAATATATTAAAAAAAAGTCTGGTTGTAGGACCACAGATTGTATATATAATTGCCAATTAACATTATATAAAGAAGCTACATAGAAAGAGGGCTCCTGCCCACCTACCAGTTCAAATGCATGCAAATGCAAGTAGATTAATAGGTACCACTTTGATGGGAAGTGTTCTGTGCTCCTTTGGCGTATAGCCATTCTGGGCACATGACCAAGGAAAATGCCTTCAGACAACGCTGGCTCCTCTGGGCCAAGAAACAAACATGAGCACTGCCCCCTTGAATCAGACATGACTGGACAGGGAAACTTTTATCGTGTGCCTCCAGAAGGGATACCTTGTTTTCTTCTCTCAGTTATAAAGAGGATGCAGATTATGTAGGATGATTGCTTCTTAACTACAGAGTTATAGCTGTCATTCAATAATTTTAAAAGAGTTGCTTTAAAAATGTTCCTATTCAGACTCCCTTTCCTATTCCTCTGACGATGGGTGAGAATATTTTATTTTCCTTTTGTGGGATCATGCTTAAGTGCCGAAAAAAATATTTTAGCTGGTACTTGTAAAACAATTGGACATTTGTTCAGTATTGCAAAACTGCAAATAAAATCTTGAATGCTGTTCTTTCAATCATTAGATGCGTGGCAGGTGTTCTTGGAAGATGGCATTCCTCAAAACATAACAGATGATTTGAGAGCCATGGGCCATAATATCATGGAACCTGTACTTGGCTATGCCAGGAGTATGTTTGGACGTGGTCAAATTATCACCAAAGGAGAATGGTGGAGACAAAAACCTGTCTCTTCTTCCTACAGTGTACTTTGGGCTGGATCTGATCCTCGAGCTGATGGTTGTGCATTGGGATACTAGTATGAAAAGAAAAGATGACTAGATTGAGTGAATAGAAACAGATTTCAAAGGGACACAGCATGATGATATGCTAGAAAATAAAAGATGGTAGATCAAGATCTGTTTGTTCTGTTAGCATAGTTAGATGATAACAGTCCATGTTTTGGACGGAGAAATCCCAGGTTCAGTTATTTCATTTATTTACATGTGAGTTAGGAATGGGATACTTATCTGCGATTCAGAGCATATTGACTGCTTTTTGTTCTCATAATCTTTAATCATGGTTTATTAAACAAACCAGGAAGATAAAAGTAATTCTGATTATTTTCAACCACTTTTTTATTTGTTTCCTCTCTGTTTTTCTTCCAATATCAGAGAAGTAAGGGCAACACACAAACAAAACCAGAAGTCAGAATTCCAAGTTTAAAAGGAAAAGAACTGTTTTAAAATCAAGACCTGAAAATCAGTAAATCATATTATCTAATTATAGTTTGTTGCAAAATCATTTTTTTTAGATGTTTGCATATTGTATATCATTTTAAAAACATATTATGATTTAGTGTTTGTATAAACTGAGTAACTATAAAGTATGTTGATTATATCCTTTATGAACATTTTTAGTCACAATAATATAAAATGTTTTTGTTGACATTGTATTTGTTCTTCAAAACAAATATATAAACATTTGAATAACTGACAAGCCCAGGTTGTTTCTTCCCTAGCCTTCCCTAGTATATATATTTAATCAATTACTGTTAATGCATTCTGAGAAAATGTTGGTATTTCCAGATTTTTATGCTATACTTCTTTATAAATAAATATAAATTATCTAATCAGCAAATAAGAGATATCCACAAAAAGGATTTGTTTGTCAGGATAATATTTCTTAATTTTCTTTAATATATATTCCAGTAGGACATGTTATATAAGTCAGACACAAACATTTAAAGAGTTTAAAAACAGAAAATAGTCTTAAAATTCATACTTTGTATTCAGGACTGCTATATATCTGCTGAAATATTTTTAAAAAGATTTTTCTTTATCTCATTTGTGATAAGCAAAATTTATTACTGAAAGTAATTAAGAAAAAAATATTGTTGAAAGTGAAAGAAATGTTAAATTCTCATGGATATGTGTAAAATCCCCAAACTCTGCAGTGTTTATTACTGCGTAAAATATGCATTTCATATTGTTCTGATACAGGAAGGCTAATTTAAAAGGTTGGATTTGATTTTAACTTCCCTTCAGTGAAAGGAGCAAAGTTCATAAAACAGGGCTTTCCTGTCACTCTGCTCTGTTGATCTCCTAAGATGGGTGATATTTAGAAACAGTATGCTAAACTACAGAAGAGGAGGAAGCAGGAGGGGGAATTGGCAAAAATGAATAGAATAGAAGCAAATAGCTGTTTTGACATGCATACTTAACTTATTTTTGTAATATTAGGCTTGTCTCTGTTGCAGTTTTTGCAAATATTGAAGCAATAAAATTAGGAAAATTAGTTACTTCATTTTATTTTTAAAGTTGCCATATCAGTTAAATGGGTGGCATATGAATTTTATAAATAAATAAAAATAAATAAATAAGAAATAAACCAATTTATATAGCTGCTCATCAACCAAAAGGAACTCTGGGATGGTGAACAAAATTAATACTAAATAGGGCTAAGGATACTTTTGCAATAGAATGTTCTGGTCAATTGTTCTGATGATAAATAGTTATTTCATTTATTTTATGCAACTTTGTGTAATTGAAATCAGTTCTAAAGTCTAGACATCAGTACCTATTGTAAGAGGATGTTACTGAATAGAGCAGATGGAGGAAGTTCTCACAGTTTGATTAACAGCTGGGTAAGATGCAGACTTCCCTCTCTTTAGAGTAAAAACCTCTGACTTAACTGCATCAAAGCCAAAATGCTATCACTTAAAAATCCTGCTTAATCTGATAAGATTGGAAGGGGAAGGATATTGTTGTGTTTTGGAGGAAATCGTGAAGGCCAACATCTACTTGGGAGAAGTCCCCGCCCCCACCCCATGGTCTTATTGTAGCCTTTGGTGAAAGATCTAGTATTGCTTAGCTGCCTTAAAAGCAATTCCTTCCAACTAATGATGCAGGAGAAGGGGGCAGAAAAGAACAAATTCCATGAAATTCCCAGAGTCATAACATGAGACTTCACTTGAATGTGGCTTGCAATTTTACTTCTGGTTTTTCCATTGACCCAGCTTGTCAGAAGCTGTCTGTGAAGTGCAATTGCAGGGACACTGCGACTGTTGTATGTGTGAGAACTGGCTGTAAAATTACATTTGGCAAATATTTTTATTTTATTAGCTTAGCATTGCTCATATTACAAACATTGTTCCTGTTCAATTGTTTGTTTAAAACTTAACAGAGATTTTTTAAAGAATCTGATACAAGATTTTGTTACATACGTGCAGAAATTTATCAGTATATTTAGTAATCTAATACAATACAACAATGTGTTATTTAGATTAAAACCTATATCTACTTGAAAATTAATCCATATGGAAATCAATGACACCATATTTTGAACGGATAAGTATTGATACAGTGAATCTAATTCAAATGTTTATGTCTGCTCTGGTAATTGTCAATGATACAATTTCCCCTGTTCTCCCAAGGTTTTATTCACTAAGACTAGATGATCCACAAGCTCTAGAAACCTACCTATGCAACTCCAGAAACCTACCCTAATTGTGATTGTTAAGCACTGATGGCACCTTGAGCCACTCACGTTCTCTTAGCCTTAAGAAGAAAGCAATGGCAAATCACTTCCGTTAATCTTGCCATGAAAACTGCAGGGACTTCTTGAGTTGGTCATCAAGGAATCAAGACTGACCCAAAGTCATCTCCTCTCCCAATCTTCAAACTCTTTATGCCTACCTTGTTCCCATATATTCCCATCATCTTGTTCCCTTTTAGTGTAAACAAAAGTATGTAGAGTGCAGGAACACAGCAAGAAATACTTAGCCAAATAAATTTAGTTTGCATCAACACCCTCTAGCCATTTTTACCTCTGTTGCCCAGCAATCATTTGATTAATCATTAAATGGTATAATCTTTTGGTGCATAGTCCAGCCTAGGTGCTATCTGATCTAAAGAGATCCCAGAGTTCTCTGTAGGAGCCAGCCAACCAGAAGTCCTCCAATGGAAAGTGCAAGCACAAGAAAAGGTTGGTTGCATTTCTACTATTCTAGGAAGCTTCCCCTTCAGTTTATTATTACTATCATTGAATCATAAAACTGTAGAGTTGTAAGAAACGGTAAGAATTATTTATCTACAATTTACAGAAACACTAATTAAGCCATCTATCAAAGTCTTTTAAAAATCCTTTAGAGATGAAGAACCCACAATCTCCATCAGTAGACTCTTCCACTGTTGTATAGATCTTATCATCAATAAGATTTTCCTTATATTTAAACAAAATCTACATAGCTGCAATTTATATCCATTATAAATTGAGACTATGGAAAATAGCTCTTGAACATTTTTTCTCTAGCTTTTTTAAGGATCTGAATGTGACTAACAAATCTCCCTTATGGTTTTTTTTCTTCTCATGCTGGAATACCCATGTTTCTTCAGTTTAATAAACAATAAACTTTCCTGGGCTATGATATAATCACCATTTTAAACTAGGCTTAAATATATTTTTATGAGAATAGTAAATGTTAAGTTTGGGATCTTCCTCAACTAGCGCCAATAGTTTCCAAGTAAGATTCAAACACTATGGTTGGATGGATATATCTCAGTTAAGTGCTAATCAGATTACATGCTGCAGAGACAAAAAGCAATCAGTCTCTACTTCCCTATTACACACACATCTAATTCTTACTTTTTCCTTTCAGATGAATTCTGTTTTCCTCAAATTGATTGAGGTGTCTGAGTAAAACCATAGGGAATTCTCTTTACAAGTAAAGTTCTTCAGAGGAACGCCCATCCCACCCCACTTCCAGCCCCCTCTAACTGTATTGTTCTACGACAGCAATACTTTTATTTGCCAGGAACTGGACTTGTCAGACAAGAAACATATCCCAGCAACTGATTCATGTAAATGCAAAATGTCTCCATTCAACCAAGAAAACAAGAGCTTTTGAACACTTGAGTAAGACTTTATCAACTGTTTTCTCTGCTCTTTTGACATGGGATTACAAAAGTGCAGCGGCTGTTTGAGTTGCCTGTTAATCCCCCTGGCACTGTGGAGTATTGTTATAAATATTCTCCTATATTTTCCTGATGGGAAATCTTCATATGCCTCCAGCAATAATCACACCATCTATGTGTGGCATTTTGAAGGAATCTGTTTCTCAGGTATTATGGTAAGTATTGCTTCTCTGATTAGCTGAATACATCTTTCATTTTCTCCACAGGACTCTTTGATCCTGAGATGGTAGATGGTCCAGGAAGGGGAGATTTCAGGAAGGGACAGAATCAAAATAAATATTTTGGAAGCAGTATTAAGAGCCAAATCAACATGTCATTATACTGTACTGAACATTTTAATGTTGATAGAAGGATTTTTTAAAATGTAACTTGGTTATTTTTTTCCTCACTGATGGTTTAAACATCATTTACTATAGATCATTAAATATATTTGTATGATTTGTATGATTGATCTAATGATGGTTGTAGACATGGATTAACATTATTTAATGCTATATATACGAACAATAAAATATACGAACACCAGGAAGTTATAAAACTATAAAAAGTTTTATACTATAATCACTGTTTTGTTTTTAATATTCTTAATATATATATATATATATATATATTTGTTTTCTGAGGTTTTCGCAGGTATTTGTATGTAGAAACCCGAACAACCAAAGACCTACATATATATATATATATATATATATATATATATACACATACAAGTGAAATTTAGTTGGAATAAAATCGCACTAACATTTTTATTCATTCTTTTATATCAAAAGACTTCTATCCCAATTTCCTATTTTGAAGATTATATTTCAAATAGCTTTGGCCTGTAGAATTAAAGGATTTGTTTATATTTCATGATGATAATGTTTCAAAACTATTGAACTCAATAAGATGGTTGACTTTTGAAAAAAAAACAAAAAAACAAAAATTGGCTTTATGTTTAATTGTGTAATCAATATTTGGCTTGCTTTTAAAATCTGCTGTTTTTATATCTCTTAAGTCAGTTGTGGGATCCTCAAGGCATATTCCCTCACTGCCAATGTTTAGTTATATGAATACAATTATGAGTCTTAATAAGAATAAAAAAGGTTGAAGAAGTGTTGGGAAAAATGTGAGCATTACAAATGAAAGAGACCCTGGTTGGCTCTTCCATAAAATCCATATCTGAGTAATTATACAATAAGGATGTTGGTTTTAGGCAACATCTTTATCGTATAATCACTCACATTTGGATTTTATGGAAGAACCAACCAGGGTCTCTTTCATTCGTAATGCTCACATTTTTCCCAATACTTTTTTACCCTTTTTTGTATTTTTGAAAGGCTCACAACTGCATTCATATAACTGAACATAGGGAGTGAGGGAATTTTATTTCTTAGATACCAAGTGCAGTCATTTTTGAATACATCTTGACTAAAACTGCTTCCTTAGTTTTTGTTCAGGTGGTGCTTAATCCTGCCATTCATTTGGGTCCATTTTCCAATTATTTTCCAAGTGAAAATAAGTAGTGCACAGAAAAAAGAAATATGAGTATTTCTTTAAAAAGTGAGCCACCTGTCACTGTTGGTGTTTCAAGGCATTCTGTTAACTTGTAACCAGTATATAGTTAAGGTTTAATGTTACATAGTCACTGGCTCCACTCTGGTGCTTCTATATATGTTTTTGCACACCCATGAAGATCTTACCTATGTAGTCTTCCCAATTTACTTTACCAAAAGAAACAATGCAAGGGATTGGTTTATTTGCCCTTTGGTCTATCTAAAGTGAGTTAGATATTTTTCTTAGGTATAAGATGATTCTTTGGAAGATGTCAAATTCTTCAAAAACAAGGTCTTCTTTTGAACAAATCATCTTTTACCTTGTGATCTGCCAGTTATCCAGACTAGAACTCCCAGCATCCCAGCCAGAATGTAAAATTTAGGGTTTTTTTTCTTTAAATGTAATACAAATGCAAAGTATCTCACTGTTTTGATATCAGGAAGGGTGGTTTATCCCTTTCCTTGGCAACCATGAATGGAACAAAGATAAAAGACCCACTCCCCATAAAGAAAACATAGGGAAAAAAATGCCCATTGGTACCAATTCTATTATGTCTACACCACCCATGCAATTTAGAATATTTCCTTTTGGAAATTATTCATTCTTTTGTTTTTCTGTCTTACTAGTTATACAGGTGTCTTTCAAAAGCTAACATTACAAGTTCTATATTTTAAAACATTTTATATCATATAGTAAGGGAAGTACCGGCAAGTACTATATCCAAAAATTAAACTATTGGCAATGTTCAGCATAAGTTGAATGTTCACGCATAAGTTCTACCTGTATAATTATCTATGACTATAAGGAGCACATAGACTACATTTTCCTTCTGTTTATTTTGCATATGTTTTTCTTCTGTTTCTTTTGGAATAAAGCATTTCTCTACTTTCAGTCAAATGTGGTGCAAAGTAGCTACTCAACATCATGCATTATCTAATCAGAATATATGTTTCTGAAAGAAGAACTTTGTGAGTTTAATGTTCGGAGACTCAATATCTTCTGTGCTACTGTCTTCTAGATTCTTATTCTAGCAGCACTTCTGGTAGTTCTGGACCGGGACGCCTTTTATGAATGCTTCCAAAGTGAAAGCTGCACCAGAACATATAGAGTGAGTGTATGGTTTGCCAATGTAGTATTTTTGCTTTAAAAAGACCTTCCTTCCTCTATTTGACACTTCTGACCGTCTGCTGTTGTTTCCTTCCTTAGTCTGTGATGGAGATAAAAAGAAAAAAGAAAGAGGCTCTTTGTTATCTCTGCAGCAAATCTGCAAAGGCAAACAAACAAGAACAGGAAAAACAGCTGACCACCATTCTAAAATAGATGGACCAGTATCAACAGACATAACTTTAGAATTGTTGCCAAATGTTTTTCCCCTAAATTCCACCTCTCTGTTAAGCAGTCTCATGCTCTCCAAGTCTGTTGAACCTATTAGTGTAATTCTGAGTCCATATTAGTGAAGATTAACCTAGTGTGCACTACAGCATTGAGGAGGAAGCAACACAAAGATGATTGGCCTATCATCATGTTTCAAATGAACAATTAATATTTTCCTTAATTCCACCTCTTGCCTCAACCTTAGCAATGCAAGTCCCAAAAGCTATTGCCACAACAATCACCCCCTGTCTTCCTCCCAAGAAGCATGACATAATATTGCCCTCTCTGTCATCTTTAGTCACATGAAGAGCTTAGCTCTATGAGATCACCCTGGTCTTGAGAGTTTAAGGATCCGTTTGGTGTTTTATGAGATGTCAGTTTTGGCATATTGCATTAAAAATAAGACAGTCTTATTTTTATGGAGTGATGCATTTGCTTGATGATGTATACAGTAAATGGAAAAATAATATTTTGTAAATGTAAGTACACGAAGAACAGTTAACTTTTAAAAAGAGAACTAATGACTACAGTGACTAAGAACTTATTCTGAGAGACTGATTCAAATTTGCTACAAACTCATCTACGTGACTATGGTTCTTGTACACCCACATCATTGGGCAACATTGGTGGCAATCAAATGTCATGATTTTGAATATAAACAAGAGCAAAAACCGAATGGTTGTATTTCTGGTAGCAACAGGGAGAGGTGTTTATGAGATTTTTTTTGGCTAATGTTTGGCTAAAATAATGTTTGCTAAACTTTCCAATTTAGAGGAGAAGTGTCTGTTCCATTTGATTTGATTTCTCAGGTGGAAAAGCAGTTTGGACTAGGCTAGCTTCAATAAAGAAAATGCCACATGAAAAAGCAAATTGCCAATTTTCATTCAACCTACACTTTGATAAGGGTTATAGCAATAAACTAGTTTTATATTGATTCCTTTCATGTCATATCATCCCAAACTACTCTAATGGCTTTACAGGAAACAGATCTAATGCTGCCTGAAACTCTCATAGCTAGAAAAGAGCTATGTTGCTAAGTTTGGTCCAGAGTCCAACCTTTTGGAGTTGAAGGACACATTCAGCATTTGCAAAATGGCATAATGAAGCTCACAAATTACCACATAGATTTAATCAGTGCCAAGGGCATCCTGTACTAATTCTGCTTACTTTTGCCTTATTTATACATTGGGGTTATTTTCAAACAAAACACCTGGCTGCAACTGCCCATTGTGGTGGTGGTGATGGTGGTGATGTTGTTGATGATGATGATTTTCAAACTGCTCTGCTTAAAAATATAATAATAATAATAATAATAATAATAATAATAATAATAACAACAACAACAACAACAATAATAAAAAAGTTGGAAGGGACCTTGTAGGTCATCGAGTCCAATCCCCTGCTCAGGCAGGAAACCCTATACCATTTCGGACAAATGGCTGCCAGTCTCTTCTTAAAAACTTCCAGTGTAGGAGCATTCACCACTTCTGGAGGCAGGTTGTTCCATTGGTTAATTGTTCTAACTGTCAGGAAGTTTCTCCTTAGTTCTAGGTTGCTTCTCTCCTTGATCAGTTTCCATCCATTGTTCTTGTCCTGCCTTCAGGCGCCTTGGAGAATAGCTTGACTCCCTCTTCTTTGTGGCAGCCCCTGAGATATTGGAACACTGCTATCATATACCCCCTCGTCCTTCTCTTCATTAAATTAGACATACCCAATTCCAGCAACCGTTCCTCATATGTTTTAGCCTCTAGTCCCCTAATCATCTTTGTTGCTCTTCTCTGTACTCTTTCTAGAGTCTCAGCATCTTTTTTACATCGTGGTGACCAAAACTGAATGCAGTATTCCAAGTGTGGCCTTACCAAAGCATTGTAAAGTGGTATTAATACTTCACGTGATCTTGATTCTATCCCTCTGTTAATGCAGCCCAGCACTGTGTTGGCTTTTTTGGCAGCTGCAGCACATTGCTGGCTCATAATTAAGTGATTGTCCACTAGGACTCCGAGATCCCTCTCACAGTTACTACTATTGAGCAAGATACCCCCTATACCATACCTGTACATTTGTTTTTTCTTGCCTAAATGTAGAACCTTACTTTTTTCACCATTGAATTTCATTTTGTTAGATAGCGCCCAGTGTTCAAGTCTGTCCAGGTCCTCCTGTATCCTAAGCCTGTCTTCTGGAGTGTTGGCTATTACTGCCAGCTTGGTGTCATCTGCAAATTTGATGAGTTTGTTGCTGGAATCACATATACAGTATCACTTTGAGGCTTGCAGGCAGGATGCTCATGACTTCCAGCCTTGCCTAACCACAAGACACAACTATAAATCTATCAGCCATGTTCTCTGATTAGCTGAGAAGAAATGCATCATGTGTTCTACAAGTGGACAGTGCACTAAGTTTTAGACCAGCACTACCTATCGTCCTAACTATATTGCTTTCTACATTTGACCAAAGGATAAGATATATCTAAGGATGTAGATCAGGAGTGGGCAATTAATTTTCCCAAGGAGGCACATAAGAAACTGTAACAATTCTTTATAAAATCCATACAGCTTAACATCTTTTTCATATTTAGTTTGCATTTGTAGATGTGCCCACCACAAGTTGATCCCCTGATTTTCCATTTCTTGTTTAGTTTTTAAATTCCCTTCAGAATTTAGTATATGTCCAGATTTTTTCAAAGTCCACCAAATTTGGGTGTACAAATGCTTCCATAGTTGACAACCACCCTGGAATTTTCAAATATATTTTACCTTTTATTTTTCCCCATGCTGAAGGCAGGACAAGAAGCAATGGATGGAAACTAATCAAGGAGAGAAGCAACCTAGAACTAAGGAGAAACTTCCTGACAGTTAGAACAATTAACCAGTGGAACAACCTGCCTCCAGAAGCGGTGAATGCTCCAACACTAGAAGTTTTTAAGAAGAGACTGGACAGCCATTTGTCTGAAATGGTATAGGGTTTCCTGCCTGAGCAGGGGGTTGGACTAGATGACCTCCAAGGTCCCTTCCAACATTATTATTATTATTGTTGTTATTGTTATTATTACATACTTGGTTAGAAAAGATGTTGGGGGAACATGTAGATTTTAAACCTGAACTTTTTTTATTAGGTATAATGCCAGAAAAGATTAACAAACAAAGCCTATATTTGATTTTACACCTCACAATAGCGGCAAGAATAATATTTGCGCAATATTGGAAAAATGGAGGAATACCACCAGATGAAGAAATAATCAAAAAAATATTGGAATGTGCAAAATTGACAAATTGATTATGAGACTGAAAGAAAAAGAAGAAACAGAATATTATCAAATTTGGAACTTACTTTATCGATGGTTAGAGGAAAGAATAAAGGATTAGGAAATATTAGTGTATTTAAACTCAGACAGCACGTTGGTTGAAAAATTATTATTATATGTATGGAAAAACTAATAAAATCTTATAATAATACAAAAAAGAAACTGGAACAGTTCTGGAGGGCCAAGCCAATACGGCTTTGAAGGTGCATAGGTACACAGATACATAAACTGAAAAAAAAAAAGTAGTTGCTTTCAAAATAAAAACAATGCAGTTGCTTTTTACACCATGTTCAAAATGTACACCATGCAGTTGTGTGCATGGTGTACATTTATTTACATTTGATTTCTGATTTCCAATTGACCTCACATGGATCAGACAGGGACAACTAAAGGGCCAAATGTGGTCCAGGGGCTATTAAAATGCCCAGGTCTAATGTACATACAGTAGTTCATTCTCTGTAATGATGGAATCTTTTCATTCCCTCTCACTCTGCTTCTTCTTCTTTTAATGCAGCGTTTCATTTCTGTTGTGCTTTCCCTACTAGGGATTGCATTCTCTGGCTACAGTCTGATCATATCTGCTTTGAGATTAGTGCAAGGCCCATACTGCAAAACCTCAGCAGACTGGGAATATGCCTTCAAAAACACTGCAGGCAGGTAAGAAACAGGCTTATCTTAAAGCTAACTTTAGATACATTGATTTCTTTAGCCAAATATTAAAATGAAATGGCCAATTGATGTGGCCCTTTGATTTTACAAGGAGTGGGTTGGGCTGCTTCTCCTTTCTATTTTCAAAGTTGTTTCATTCATCCAAGTCCATTTCCAGATTCTTTAGCCCTCCCTGTATTCATCTCTGGAAGTCTGATAGATGAATGGACAGAGACCTTGGGCTGATAATCTGTGTGATGAGACCATCTGACAGTATGTTCATGGTAATAATCTCTTTCCATTTTCTTTATGCTATTGTTTCCTCTGATAGCTACCTCATGGATCCTACTTCCTGGTCCCAATGCACTGAGCCTTCTTATGTAGTGGAGTGGAACATCGTTTTGTTGTCTATTCTGATAGTTCTTAGTGGCCTCCAAATCTTGATCTGCTTTCTGAAAATAATTGCAGAATTAAGGCAAATCCTGTGTGGAAATTATCCCATCTTTGTTCAGGTAAGAAGACACAAAGTTTTCTTTTTACATACCATAGCTGCTTATGTTATTTTTATTCTTCCAAATGTTATAAGACTGTTTATTTTTCTAAGCATGCTCTAATACAGTTGATAAATAGCTGACAGGACCAGCATCTTCAGCTTTGCCTTGCCTCCCACACTTTCTCCAGCCCTATGTGACTGCAGTTATCAAGCCATGATTATTTATTATTTTATTTATATACCATTTTTCTTTGAAGAGGACACAGGTAATATCCCCTTATTTAACCTCATAGCAGCAACCCTGTGGCTATAAATAGTTTGTGGTCCAAATGTGCTTAGCTAAGAGTAGATTTGAGTCTGTATTTCCCCATCCATTACTTTAATCACTACACCATTCTGGCTCACATTTATGGCTTTTTACTGACCAATTAAAATGAGAGAGAATAGTTGTGGGTTGCAAAGCTCTGGACATCCATTAGATGGCACTAAGGAGAGTTTTTGGTATCTTGTCCAATTAAAAAAAGGAGCTAGTGATGTGATGAGGCTTTGCTGATATTATCCTGATGTGAGAACTCATTGGGTGTTAGGCACTACTTGGAGAAAGCAGCTATGGGCTCTATTATCAAAATTATAATTTAGACCCAATAGTCATATGCTGCTAGAACCACTGATTCAGTCAATGATCAATTGAGACTTTTGTGTTGTGGGTATAATGTGAATTCACAGGGAGATTGTGATGTGCTCAAGTTGTCTTGACTGAAATAATTTGGATATAAAAGCATTTATTTATTTATTTTAACCGATATGACATGTCTATCTCAACATCATGATTCTGGGTGGCTAGCAACACACAATATTACACCAATCTCACAATAAATACAATCAGTGCGCAGATTAAAAAAACCCCACAGCTGTCAGCACAGTCATCCCACAAGCTTATGGTATGTCCTAGAACAGTGGTTCTCAACCTTTTTAATGCCGCGACCCCCAACTGATCGTAAGTCGAGGACTACTCAACCGGTCGTAAGTCGAGGACTACGTGCAGCACCGTTTGCAGAATGAGACTTTTGGCGGGCTCAGCAGGGCAGAGACAGCCTGGACAATTCCTATTGGCTTTTGAAAGCCAATAGAATTAGACTCTGTTCAAGAGAGTCTATTCTATTGGCTTTCAAAAGCCAATAGAATAAAAGGGAGTAGCACAGCTAAGGAAAAGGGGGGGAAAATGGCGGACTGCATTGTTTGGCGACCCCCGTGAAATGGTCGTTCGACCCTAAATGGGGTCCCGACCCACAGGTTGAGAACCACTGTCCTAGAATCACGTCCATTAAAATCTTATATCTTTCTGTTCTTTTTTTACAGCCTGCACTGATCTAACAGCCTTGGGGAATGACTCTACCATGACTCCATCGTATCCCTGAGCGTACATTTTAATATTAATTTTTAAAACAGGCTTTTCTGTTTCTGTGTTGACACAAGGACTACCAATGTTTTTCTAACATATTATTTATGATGCTCCACACATTTCAGCTAAAGTGTACAGTTTTTGGATAGTCTGTTTTTCTTGTTGCCTGTTCGCATACCCTTTCCCTTTCTTGTATTTGTTATATATCTAAATTGCGAAGCTCTTGAAAAATGAAGAATTTTTTGTGTTTATATAATATAAAGCACTTACATATCATCGATACTAAATGAATGAATATTTGATTCATTGAACAGTCACATTATTGTGAACAACAGCTTTCTTAGTAAAGAGATAGATTACACCATTTTGTTTTTGGCTGTGGTTTGTTCTCCAAGCTTGTTTCAATATAATTTCTGAACGTTTCGTTAACAAACTAGGTAACATCATCAGCTGGGTTTTCTTGTCCTATTCTCCTTAGCTTATAAATGTCTTGTGTGCCAGTATAGTCAGTTGGTCATGCGATTGGTTGTTTGTTTGGAGCTATATTTGAATTCTGAGCAGCTGACTGGTTCTCCTGCTGATTGGCACTTCAAATGGTCTGGATTCTTATATATTCATATGCTGGATCTAGATCAATATGCATCTAGCATGATTAAAGGAGCAATTGAATAAAATTTCCCCTGCACAGATGTTGGGAGAAATGTCATAGTCTGAGATGAGATTTAGGGAATATCTTTTGCATGTAGAAATCCATAAGAATAGACTTACCTATACTAGTTCACCCATTGAGCAAGAAGACTTGAATGGATCCTAATTTTCCTTAATGAAATACAGTCATATTCACTTTGGATACTTCTTCATAGGGAGTATTAAAAAAATACTTCATATTAATAAAGATACTTTGTACCTCTTCATATCATTCTGATCTCTTACAGGTAGTCGTCAACTTACAAGCATTTGTTTAGCAACTGGCATATATTTACAATAGTCGCACATTATGGCATTTGCAACCTTCTCAGACAGCTTCTGACAAGCAAAGTCAATGGGAAAGCCAGATTTGTTTAATGACCAGGTGATTCATTTAATAACCATTTTGCTTAGCAACAGAAATTCTGGTCTCAGTTGCAGTCATAGGTCAAGGTCTACTTACACTGTCTTTTTATTTTTCAACAGCCATTTTATTTGTGGCTCAATTGCAATGTTTCTGGAATCACTGGAAGGGCTCCCTTTGCATTTGTAGTACAGAAGCTCTGCAGAATTTACCCAGCTGATCATTTCTTCATTGGTGATAGCTGGCATTTTTATCTTTTAGAAAAAAGTATTGCTACTGTGTGATAAGTGGGTCAGAAAAATTGGATAAAGTTGTTCAGGAAATCTTTTACTTCTGATAAAAAATCAACATGAATTAGATGGGTGCATTTTAATTAACAAAAATGTAAAATAATTGTGGTTGTGCTGAAATTAATTTTTGGTTCCTACAAATCAACAGCCCTGTAAATGTCAGCTTTTGAAAAGAAGAAACTGAACAGGTATGTAACTGGGATTAGTAGAACAAAAATAAATAAATAAATAAATATTCAGATTGAATTGTAGAGCTTTTAATATAATGTTGCAAGATTTGTCCCAATTAATCAGTTACAATATGAATCACCAAACAACCATGTTTTCAAGAAAAAATGTTTTAAATAATATGGATAAGTAATGCCAGTCTTATCTGAAATGTGATAATAACTGCACTGACAGATTATTAACTGCTTGATACTTTGGATATTGTCCTGCAGTTTAAAGCTGAAATATAACTTTCCCCATGTTGTGAAATGCAGGAAATTTCAGCTGTATCAAACAGAAAGAACAGGAGAAAATTGATGTTGTGCTGGGAACCTCTCAAAGCATTTTGTGGACCTCTTTTAAATTTTTTAAAAATGATTTGATTAAGAACATTTTTCAAATGTTTTATATTGAGATATAAAACATTATTTACATTTGAACAACATTAACTGTGATAAAAATGGGGATTTTTTTTTAACTGTTTCAGTAATCCATGAGTTGCCTAAGAGTTATTTCCATCAAATCTGACAGGGCTTGTTTAAACAAGAATTGTGCAACCTTCCAGGCTGTTGAAAGTAAACAAAAGCTTGCAAAGGGGGAAATACTGAAGATATTTAAAGAAGCTGTTCCTGGATGAGTCCATTGGACTAAAGCAACCTCGAACATGAAGCTGTCTGTGCTAAGCCATTTGTTGGCTTATTACTTGTTCCAAGTCTCTGCAGTAACCAGAGAATACTACATTGGAATTAACGAAGTTGATTGGAATTATGCTCCAGGAACAAAGAACATCCTATCTGGGAAACCCTTTTCAGAAGATGAGTAAGTCTTAACTTGTATTCATTGGGCTCATACTAAGTTTTACATTTTATTATGAACTCTTTATTTCTAGACAGTAATGACTGAATGCAAAGAAGAGTAAGTGCTTGACATTTATACTAGCCATGGAGAAGAAGCCTGAAAACAAACTTGCAGAAAACGTTTCGCCTGCTAAAATCTTACCACAGATAACACTAAAAGAATTGGAGCTTTGTCTCTCTGCACCTGCATATGATTATAATCTGACTTTTATTTTTGTTTGTGTTGTATATGATGCAGATTTAGATCTAGAAAACAGAAGTTTTATGATTATAGGCTCAGGTGTTGGGATTGGGAGAAAGAAGCACTTTCTGCTCACTGCATCAAAACCTGACACTAGATCATACTTTGCACAGGAGGTGGATTAAGAGAAAGGAAATTATCCAAGAACAGTGTAAATACGTTTATCCTAAACTATTTAGAGGTAATTTGTTTTATTGCTTAAGGGAAGAATCAGTAACCTTTTCAGGCATTGCAATGCATTATTTGGGTGTACTTTCATGAGATATCATTTGGAAACACCAAAAATATAACCATTTTATCATCATTTAAATTCATTTTCGAAGTTCTGCAAGTGCTTTTTCTAAAGATCAAAGGTGCTCTAGAAGATCCCATGGTTGTGGTACTGCTGACCCTTAATTCTCAATCTTGGAAACATTATGAAGTATGGACTTCAACTCCCAGAATTTCCCAGTCAGCATGGGAACTGGGAGTTGAAGTCCCCAAGTCTTAAAGTTCCCAAAGTTGAGGTTCTAGTGGTAGCAATGAAAAACTGTAGTGAAACTATTCAATTTTTTTTATTTTTCAGTGTTCTTAATAAACAGAGAGTGGCAGATAAACAGGAGGAGAGAGAGGAGGAATAGACCAAATAATGATTCTTGCAGGAATGTCTGCCCATCTCCAGACTCTGGATATTGCAATAAACAAGCTATTCAAGGACCACTTGCACAGGAAAATCAGTGACTACACTGAACACAGAACAGAGAGAAATCAGCTTGGGAACTTTGTTTTTTTCCCCACCCAACTTTTTCCAGTTTTTTCCCCAGGGCTTCCCATCTCCTGTTAGGGTTGGGGGGAGTGGGGATTAAGGTTACTGTAGGCATGGGGGGGCCTGGCTATGGTCTTGTGTGGTCAGATGGGGGGATCCACCAAGCCTCCTGGTAGCGGCATTGGGCACAGCACGCGAGGTGGCAAATGGGCGCAGCTGGCTGCAAATGGCCTAAACCAGCCACAGAATGAGCTGGATGGAGGTAAGGAACTAGTATACCATTTGCTAGTGGGGCACGTGGGTCAAATCCCCCTACTCCATTGGCTTTGCCTCGTCACAGAAGCACTGGCAGCTTCCCCCCCCTTACCTCGTGTCTATGGTGGAAACAGATGGAATTGGCAGCCAGCCTTCTGCGCAGGCTCTTAACTAGGGCTCACTTTCAGGGGGAAGACCTATATTAGGCCCACCCCCCAAAAATCAGCTGGGGCTTACTTTCGGGAGAGGGCTTACTTTCCGGGAAACACAGTAACAAAATGTTAGATAATAGTGATTGGAAATATTCAGTCTCTGACAAAAGTTAGAGCTTCCATGTTGTTGAAAATCCATCGAGGATGGTTACATTATATGAAGAAAGGCTTGTCTTGCAATATTCCATATTTCATGTTAAATCTCTGTTTAAATGCTTCAGCCCTCACAAATCTTAGTAATAAGATTTTGTAGGTTTATATTTAAATGAAAGCCATTATCTTTGCAAAGAAGAATAAGGAAAAGGACATAATGCCCATGTCAACAGGAAATCTGTACAGTTCTAGCAAGTCCATACATGCATCTCTAATCTAGTTAGTGTCTCACAAAGCTTCCTGAAAAACAAGATTGTTAATAATTTTTACAAGGCAATATTGGTTTGCTTTTGAAACTGTACAGTCCTCTGCATCGGTTGAGGCTTTGAAGCAACTCATTGGTTAACTGAGAAAATCAAATTGCGAGACAGTCCCAAGATTGCTGGAAATCAAACAGTGAAATGAAATAAAAAGTAAATGCTGTGATGTGTGGAACTTTTGAACAGAGGCAAAAGTGACCGACAGAATTAAGAAGTTAACCTGGGGGAGACCTTATAGGAAACAAGATGACTCTGAAAGGTAAATCTAGTGATCAAGGTGACAAAATAGTACAATGTTTGTTGTTCTGTCAATTCGGGCACTCCCATCTCTGCCTTGTTCTGCTTTTTGAGTGGCTAGATAACTTCTAAAATGAGGGTGCAATACAGTTAAAAAACACACCAATGTCTAAGTACAATAATGCAAGTTATTAGCAAGAAAAAGACAAGACAAAGTAATCAGGTCAAATTTTTAATGAAAAAGCAGGATTCCCAAATGCATAGTCAAGTCTGGCATGAACAAAAGCTATGACACAAACTTTGATCCAGCACTGACCTGTAAATTTTTATTCTTTGGACTAAACAGTTAAGCTAGTTAAAATTGGCTGCTAAGGTTTTGCTGTTAAATAGCCAGAATCTACTTATTTGAATTTCTGTTCTCAAAAAGGATTTAAACAATGCTGCTCATTTATTTCCAATTTGCACAAGTATGCATAATGTGATCAAAAGGCAAATAACAATTACATTGCAATATGGTATTTCTGTTACTATTTCCCAGAACCAAGCTCTTGTTTGCTACTTCTAATAGAATATCTTATTTCTTCTTCCTTCTCCTCATTTACCATTCTCTTCTCTCCCCCATTATTAACAGCAGAGATGTAGACAACTATTTCACCAATGAAACATAACTAAAGCAATTAACTGGTCATTGTTATTGTAGTAAATAATATACATTAAATCTTCAGTTTAACAGACACCATATTTCAGATATGACAAAACCTGAGTACGGGCATCAATCCAAAGTAACACAATCCTTATCCAAAGTACTCTAGACAATCCACATGCAATAACATTGTTTGTGTCCGTTTACCTCAGAAATAGTATACATTTGGTGCACATATTGTACAGTTGGATTTATCAAGACATTAAAATATAACAAACACCTATTTTGTCAAATAGTTCATTAAATGACTCCACTTAGCCTAAGAGTTGGTCTCCAGACCATTGTTTAAATAATTGCAAGCAGACTTCCTTGTCAGTGAATAGATAGATTCCTTGTAGGTTCATAGGAAAACTATGAAGTAGAGAATCAGAAAATTTTTACCTTAAAATATATCGATTCTAATGTGAAAATAGCTGATGTGCTAATATACTTGCACTCCTATTTTTCTTAATAAACTTTACCAAAGAGAATTCTGTGAGAACTGTGCTTGGAAAAAAAAAAAACCTAAAAAAATATTTTAGTTCAGGTAATCACTGTATATGGCTATCATCTGTGCTGAAAAAAATCTGGATGACCACTAATTGACCACAATGAAGCCGCTATTTCTTGTGTTGCTTATTTATTTATTTGATATAACTGCCTGTCTCACATAAGTATCTCTGCGTAAGTTACATATATTAAAACATAGAAAGCTTGCCCCATTAAACTCCACCCTTCCAAGATTTTTTTAAAAAACCCATCCAACAAAAAACACATCAATATTAACAGAGCTCATCTATTCACCTGACCTGAATGCCCAAGGAAACAGTGAGGTCTCCAATACCTTGCAAAAGGCTAACAGAGTGACTCAGATTTTAACAGACTAGATATGATATCCCAGAGTAAATATTATTATGTAATAAAGATAATCTTGTTCTGATACATGGAGAGAACTATAATTCCTTCTTTAAATAGTTTGGATGGAGACACTTAAGACATGCAAATGTTGGCATGAAGTAGATAGCACAGGGTCTGTTGTGAGATATGAATCTGTCAAAAGAAGCAAATGTAGTTGTACAATTATGGTCACCTCGTTATGGAACAGTGAAGAGTAAGTGAGTCGCACTTGATTTTTACAATCTTTTTTTACCATGGATGCAGTGGTGGGATTCAGCCGGTTCACACTACTTCAGCAGAACCGATAACTAATTTTTTGTTGCCCAGGCCCAGAATGGACTTCTGGAAGCGGCATCCACACAAAGAACCGGTTGTTCACATGTTTGAATCCCACCACTGCATGGATTTTAAGCAAATCATTGCAATTGTTACATGAATCATGCAACTGTTAAGCAAATCCAGCTTCCACCATTGACTTTGCTTGTTGGAAGACAACTGGGAAGATTGCAAATGACCATCACATGACTCTGGGACACTGCAGCTAATGTAAACACATACTGATTGCCAACTGCCCAGATTTTTATCACACCACTGTGGGGATGCTGCAAAGATGATAAGTGTGAGTACCCGTGTAAGTCTATTTTTTCAAGGCTGTTGTAACTTTGAACCATCATTAAACAAATGATATTGTAAATAATACATTATTTTGAAAGTCTTGTATTGATATAATTAATATAATGTTTTTCTTTCAGGGAAGCTAGTGTCTTTCTACAGCAAGGCCCAGATCGCATAGGAAGCATATATAAAAAAGCTGTGTACATGCAGTACACAGATAACTCATATAGTTATGTTGTGGAAAAACCACCATCGCTGGGCTTCGTGGGGCCGATTATGAAAGCAGAAGTTGGGGACTCTTTTATAGTTCACTTAAAAAATTTTGCTACAAGAGTCTACTCTCTACATCCCCATGGTGTCAAATACACAAAAGAAAATGAAGGTAAGATTTATGTACTCTTTTAACAAGGGTTCAGTTGAGTGAATTATATATTTCCTTTTGGACAAAAATATGAAAATTGTTTTGTATCTTGTGAGGAATGCTTTTATTTATAACCACATGATTCTGCAGACCTCCACATATCAATCCAACATTTACATCAGTTGGATTCATATGACACCTTTGGATGTTCAACTGAAGGCATAAAGTGGAGTACATAACACAGATTGCCAGCTCCTGTTCAGTCTTGGGGTTTGACCTCAAAGTTCTCTGTTTATAACTGTATAAGTATAGAGCTTTCAGTGTAATCCAAAACTGTGTTTTGTTTAGTGTATTTTAATATTGCTAATGTTCTGCTCTGCATATATAATCCATGAGAGGAATGGGTCAACCCATTCTAATATGTATTTATAAATAAGTCAGACATGCGCCTACTCCCATGATCCCATGTGAATCTTGTATATTGAAAGTATACGTAAATAATGGTTAGTTGTTTATAGGTAATTTTTGCTTTTTTATTTCCATCAAGGACCAACTTTGAACGAAAGGAAAATAATACTGAATACTTTTATCTGATTTCAATAAGTCTTTTTATATTTTCTATACCTACAGACATTCATATATAGGTATATGAATGCATATATTTGATGTACATGCAAATACATGATAATTGTTTCTGAGAAGTCACAGGTATTATTTAAAATTACAATCACTGCAGGACAAATTAAGAAACAACACAAAAATGAAATAACTATATAACATGAATAATTTCTTATGCTTCCTAGGAGCTTTCTATCCTGATAATACCAATCATTTACAAAAGAAAGATGATGCTGTGCAACCAGGAGAGCAGTATGTTTATAAGTGGGATGTTACTGAAGATCATGGTCCAGCAGAAGGAGACAGTAACTGCTTGACAAGGATCTATCACTCTCATATAGATGCCCCAAAGGATGTTGCCTCTGGACTTATTGGAGCTTTAATCACTTGCAGAAAAGGTAAAAATATGACAATAAAGGTGTGAAGTTTAGAAGATTCTCAGTCATCCAGTTCATAGTTATGTCAAAGGTGCTTTTTGTCAAAAGGCAACTGGACTGGTTTTTTTTTGGGGGGGGGGAGTTGAGGAAGAAGAAGATGTTTTGCTTCTCATCCAAGAAGCTTCATCAGTTGTGAGGGTAGGGGGAGGAAGGATAGGTTGCCTTTTGGGGAGGGAGGAAAGGACTTTTGAGACATAGAGTTGGGAGTTTTGGAAAAGGCATCCATTCTCTTGCTTGGTGCAAGAATACAAATTCAATATCCCAGAGAGGGAGCTGGCTAGCCTCTGTTTGAACACTGCTAATGAAGAGAAGCTCAAATTATCTCTGGCTAACTAGTGGTAGAGACCTATTGGATATTTTAATTGTAGCAAATGAGATACAAGGCATATTCTGTTCAACTACAAGTGTGCTGCTCAAAATGTCTTTGAAATTTCAAATGGAATTTCTGTGAAATTCATAAGCTGTAAAGAATAACTACATTTTTTTCATTTTTCATTGTTTGTAATGATTAAAGGTATATGAATTCAGGAATTCTTTGGGCTTCCATTAACTTTCCATATTCTACTCGCTCATTACCAAGAAATAGAATTCAAAAAGTTGGAGTTTTATAAATGGCAAACCATTGGTCTTTCCACATATCCCTACCTCATCTAGTACGATGATGGTCATAGTGTTAATGAAGCTTTTTGTTACCTTGTGCCCTCTAGATTTGTTAGGAGTACAATCATCAGGGATGATGCAGTTGGGGGATTCTAGGTACTATTGTCTAGATGTGCAGATGGCATCAAGTTAAAGAAAGCAATTGAAATAATCGTTTTCATTGGGAAATTGTCTTAAAAATGATATTTTCTCTTAAGGCACTCTGCAGAATGGAAAAGATAAAGATGTTGACCGTGAGTTTGTCTTGCTGTTCTCTGTGATGGATGAAAACTTTAGCTGGTACTTAGATGAGAATATTAAGAAATACTGCTCTGAACCTGACAAAGTTGACAAAGAGAATGAGGACTTCCAAGAAAGCAACAAAATGCACTGTAAGAGCATCTTCCAGAATAAGTTTTGTTCTTTTAAGAACTTTGCATGAATATTCACATTGCCTGGCTAAGAGAAACTTAGCCAGGTTTCTGCAGTTTTTTCACAAAACCATCTGATTCAGGAACATGGAGCCTTATTTTTGTGAATAATGAATAATTTTGCATAGTTCCACAAATTTTTGCACATATCCACTGAAACATATAAACAGTTCTTCATTTCTGCAGATATTTCTTTTATGGCAATTCTTAAAGCTAAGCAGATTTAGCTCTGGTTGGTTAATAAATGGGAGACTGTTGAAATGCCACTCATGTAAGTTATAAAATATAAATGCAAGATGTACATATCATTAACTCCGTTGATAAAACCAATTTAATCAACATTTCTATCCAGTAGAAGATTTCAGGAACAACATTTTGTTTAATTTCACCAACCTTGATTGATATTAAAGGTTTGTTAGAGCCAGTATCAGTGATATTTCTCTTACTCTCTCTCTCTTTTAAAGCAATCAATGGATATATGTATGGGTATCTTCCCAATGTCACAATGTGTGCAGGAGAGAAAGTGAAATGGCATCTTTTTGGCATTGGTAATGAAGCTGATATCCACTCCATTTATTTTCATGGGCAAACCTTGATAGAAAGGAAGCATCGTGTCAACACAATCAGCCTCTTCCCAGCTACCTTTGTGGATGCTCTTATGGTGCCCAAGAATGATGGTGATTGGTTGCTTAGCTGCCAAGTCAATGATCATATAGAAGGTATGAAATAAATGGCTGCTTTCTGTTTTCCTAATGAAGACTTCCACAGGGCTTTGAGCTAATTTGAAATCAGCTTCAGAATTCTGTGATCTCAGTGGTACAAGAGCTGAGCACATTTATCTGGATTATTCCTGTAGTGTTTCTTCCCACTCCCCCTCATCTCCTGGTCTTTCAAATTAGAAAAGTGGAATTTTAATGTATGAATGGGTTCTCACATCATGCTACAGTTGATTTAATTAATTAACAAATCACAGCTAGTTAGTTGATGAAGATTCTTAGTCATTCAGGTAGAATTGTCTGGCAGTTGAGTCATAGCAACTGGACTTACTTTCTTGTTGGTTTGAAACATTTTGCTTACCATCCAAGCAGCTTCTTAAGTCCGAACAAGTTGATTAGGGAAATCTGAATAGGCAGAGAGTCACTGGAATGTGCCAACTTATAAAATTCTTAGGAATATCCTTAGGACTATGCATTTTTTGGGGAAAAACCCTGAGGTTTGTGTTGGAATACCCCTGAAAAGTTTAGGAGAATAAGCTGCTTGGATTGGCAGCAAAAAATTTCAAACCAATAAAAAAAATAAATCCAGTTGCTGTGACTTAACTTCCACGCAAATAGTTAGATTCACAAAACATATTAAACTATAACTTGCAAAGAAATGTGGCAAAATGAATTACTACATAAAAACCCAGTAACTTATGGTGGTGGTGGTGAAGATGATGTGTATGTGTGTGTGTGTGTATCTTTAAGCCAGTATTGACCCTGGCTGTTTGGCCCCAGTCTCTACAAGTTTTTTTCAGCAGTTTGCCATTGCTTTCTTCCTAGAGCTGAGAGACAGTGATTGGCCAAAAGTCACCCAGCTGACATTGTGCCTAAGGTGGGACCAGAACTCACAATTTCCACATTTTTAGGTTGGTACATTAACCACTACCCCAAACTGGTTCCCATATTTTGGCTTAATGAGACTTCATTCAATTTAAATCTTGATCCATCTTTTTTCACATACAAAGTAAAATAAAAAGTTAAAAAGAAAATGGTCTTACAATCAAATCAAGCATGTCTGGAGATAACTCCAATTATATTCAGCAATGGCTTAATCATACATAAAAATACAACCTTTGATTGAATCATTGATAAATAGATTGGGACCTATGAAAGGATCATGGAAATTATAAACATTGTTATCAACTGAGTGTAAAAACTGTAAAGTATTATGTGTTGTTCAAGAGTTACTATGGATACTAACAGTTGGGTTACATGTCTTGAAAGAATAAGATAACATTTTTTTTCTGTTCTGATCTGAAGAATCCAGAGACTTAGACAGATAGAGAAATAATAGACAAACAAACAGATAGGCACAGAGATAATATCTGTACTAGTTTTCTTCAGTATAAATGAATAATTCAAAATCCTAGAAGTAATTTTCTAACTACAATAATGTCACAATGATGAAATATATGCCATATCATCACAGTGCAAATTCCTCCCATTCATACTTTTATCATGTACGATATGTAAATACATAAGAAGTAAAGCTTGTGTGGCAACATTCCCTTCTTAATCCTTCTATGGATGGCTTCAATCAAAGAACCTTTTGTTAGTGAACCATTTCCTATCTGAGATGTTCCTTAAACTCTGTCTAAGGCAGCGGTTCTCAACCTGTGGGTCGCGATCCTTTTGGGGGTCGAACGACCCTTTCACAGGGGTCGCCTAAGACCATCGGAAAACACATATTTCCGATGGTCTTAGGAACTTAGTCTAAGATACGTGGCAGTGTTCTTTTGCATCCACCTCGGGATCGGGGAATGGCTTTAAAGGCTCTTCGGCTGAATGGCTTTAAAGGCTCTCCAGCTGAATGGCTTTAAAGGCCGTCCGGCTTTAAAGGCTCTTCTGCTCTTCGGCAGAATCAAACGGAGCGCTTTTTCCAGAGAAACCTTTTCGCAGCCGAGCTGATCTCTCCTCGTATTCTGCAGAAGAGTCGACGCGATATTGCTCGGCTTTGCCCCACAAATTACGGAAGGTCAGCTTAGTCCAAACGCTTCCCGGGTGCAGGAAGGCACCAAGTGGTGCTAACCGGAGTCGGAAGCTTCCTCCGCTGCCCGATCGCTAGTTCTAGCGGGCTTAGTGGGAATCACCTGTGCTAGATGGGAACGGCAAGTCCGGGGGGGAGCAGAGGACTGCCTGCAGGGGGAGGAGTTTGCAACCCTTCTGAGACCGCCCGCCTGGTGGGCAGCCAAAGCAGAACAGCCCTTCCCCTCCTGCCACTGATTCTCCTGCCTGCTGTTCCTCCGCCTACCCCTGCCGAGTCCTGCCCTGTCAGAGAGCCCTGGATTCTGTGCGGGCCCAGCAGAGCCAAGCGGAAGGGAAAGCCGTTGATCTTCATTCAGGCAGGCCCGGAGTTCTCTGAAGGACATTCGGTTTCATTCTGGCTCAGGGAAGCATCACTCCCTCAGGGGGATCATGATTTCCGGCAAGCGGCCAGTTATCGAAGCCCGGCTTCCTTCTATCTCCCTACCACCCTGTGCGCGCATCCCCCCAAATTTGAGCCCCCTCCCCTCTTCCATCCTTTACTTTTTGCCCTGCGGTGCAGTTGGTGCCTTCTGCTTTTCCTTGATGGCTAAAGACAACTTTGCTCGCTCAGAGCTTTTTCCTCTCTTCCCACAGCAGCTGATACCCCCCCCCACATCCTCTTCTCCTCTGTGATCCCTGCAGCCCTCTGTAAAACAGCACATACTTTTTGATTTCTGCTGCTTAATCCCTACCCCCCCTCCCCATTGATGGCTTACTACTTGTGGGATGCAGGGGAAGGGAGCGTCATTTCATTACAGGTGGGAGAAGGAAAACTGGTCCAGGCAGTGAAAAGGGAAGAGATCAAAGGTGGGGGGGGGGCTTTGGAGATGAATGCTGCTTTGGGTGGATGTTTTGGTCTGCAGCATGTGTTTCCCTTTCCCCTCCTGCCTGCCTTTTCTCTGTTTCCTAGTGTGCCTCTGGAAAGCCGGGAAGGGGGGGGGGCAAAATGAATCTGCTCCTAGTGTGGAATCAAGAAGCTCCAAGGGGCCTTTTCTTGCAGTTGCTGCAGTAATGCCCCCCATTCTTCCTGCCCTGGCTGCTGCACCAAAAGCAGTTGATTATTGCTCAGTGGAACCAGCAGTGGGGTGGGAGGAAGGAATGGATTTCCCTTCTGCTGCCTCTGCCTCAGTGGACAAGACCTCCTTTCAAAAATCTCTCCTAAGATTCTGGCAGGCACAGCCCCAGAACTGAGCTGCTGACTGAGTTGGGGTGGGGAGCTGGGGGGAGAAAAGAAGACCAGCTGAAATGACTCATTTTCTGAATCACATAATACTAGAAGAATAAAGGGGTTATATTTCCATAATTCACTAAGACTGCACACACAAAAAAGCAACATTGACATCAAGTTTAATCAAGCTTCATAAGTTGCACAAATGCAGCCATTCTGTTTTAATCCAATCTGCTTCAGCTACTGTAAACACAGGCCTTCAGTATAACTATTATACTGAAATTATAACAGTATAATTTGTAACAATGAAAATACATCCTGCATATCAGATATTTATATTACGATTCATAACAGTAGCAAAATTACAGTTATGAAATAGCAACAAAAATTTATGCTTGGGGGTCACCACAACATGAGGAACTGTATTAAAGGGTCGCAGCATTAGGAAGGTTGAGAACCACTGGTCTAAGGCTTTCATTGTCTAGATATTACACAGTGAAAATTATTCCTGTCTTATATCTGTTTGGTTTCTGAGTTCCTTGTTGGCATAGGACAGGGGAAAATTTAAATTTCTTAGTCTATGAACTTCTTGATCCTAGAGAGCTTACATAATCAATGATCTTTATCTTCCTTCAGGTGGCATGCAGGCCATTTTTAAAGTGAAAAACTGTGAACACCATTCTCCATCTCTTATGAACCAAACCCCTACTGTCATTACCACAAGATTCTATTATATTGCTGCAGAGGAAGAGGAATGGAACTATGGTCCATCTGGAACAAATGAATTCACAAGAGAATCCCTTGATCTAGATGAGTAAGTGATTATTTTTTGTAGGCAGCCAAACCATTTCATATAAAATGTATTGCTGGCATTTACTAACATCTGGTTATAGAAGTGGATATGAAGAGGTCCAAGCTAGTACACATTTTTTTCTTTGGTGCAAAAGTCCTGGTATCAGTTCCTGATATACTAGATAGCAGAGGGAATTTTGTGTCTGAACTGACATTGTGTTGTAATAGGAGATTTTGGAGGAAGTTTTTGTGACTTTTAAGCCAGTGTCCTTCTCTATAGGAAATTGATGACGTAATTTTAAATTATTTAGATAACTTTTAGAATAATGAATGTGATGTCCTGTTATAATTCATGAATGAAAGGATGCACAAAACAATGTCCAGAGCTTAAAATGAAGTTAATACAAGAATAATAACAAGAGTGTCTCATATAGACTAGATGCCTCAGAAATCTTCAGTAAATATTGGTTACTATGAGTTTCCTGTTGGAGATCCAACTTAAGAATTGAAAATTAATTCATATAGTTTGGTCTTGTCCTATTTTAGAGTTATATGAATAGCACTGTTAATATTTCTCTGGCTACATTTTAAAGATGCTATGTTTTTCTTGGCTGTATCTCTAGTATTTGGAATGTAGTAAAATTTCAAAGTGTGGATATTTGATAAACAGGGCATAGCTAAAGATTTATTATATACAACACAGAAGGAGAAAGCTGATTAGTTTTTATTTTTTGTTTTTGAGAAAGGGAAAAAGAAAGAGATGGTAAAAGTTAATCTATTTATGACATAATTTCCAGGCCTTTTTTTTTGTATTTTCTGTTGCTATGCATATCAGTTTTATGGTTATATTAGTCCTTTCCACGCTGTTATGTTAAATGTATCTGTACATTTTTGTTAGTTTGAATATTAACATTCCTTTCAAAATCCTGAGAAAAAAAATTATAAAGGATAATCCAAATTATCTATTTCCTAACATATGAAATACCTTTCTTCCTGCTGCTATACAAATGCAAATGTTGATGTGTTTTGTTTTGTTACAGGGATTCCAAGACATTTTTTGAAAAAGATAAAAATAGAATTGGTGGGACTTATAAAAAAGCCCGTTTTTTCGAATATACCAGTGTCGACTTTATTAGACGCTCTTTCCGGTCTCATAATGAAAAGCATCTTGGACTTTTGGGTAAGTCTATCTGATCATTTTGCATTTTGCAATTTACATGAACTATATAACACTATGTGAATTGTGACAATATGGATGTGTCCGAAATCTGGGAAGTTTATCTTCTGAAAATGATCAAGGATGCAAGGGGGCCTGCACAAATGCTATGATAATAAGACCTATTAGTATAGTATAAATTATATCATTATAGAACATGTTCAAACTGAGACTTCTAAATTCATAATAACAAGTAAGACTCAGCAAAATTTCTATAGGTTATATTGCACTAATATTAAGTGCATGATTGCCAATATGCTGGATTTTTAAAGCACAAGTAGAAAATGGAACATATACGTAACATTTTCACCTAAAATTAACATTTTAAAAAAAAGGAGGAAGCAGCTAATTAGGTAGTTAGCTCAAAGGGTAGATAGCTATATTGTCTCTTTTGGGTTCAACTAATTTTCTGGTGAAGCTACAGATGTGGCCATGTAATTTTTGTGACAACAATCTCAAAGTGTTTTGCATTATCTTTTTCAAGAATGTTTTTTTGTGTGTGCTCGCTTCAGCAGCACATATACTAAAAAAAAAAGAATTTTTTTTTTTAAAAAACTTCAATTTCGGCTACCACCTAAGGATTTCTCAGGGCTCTTCTACTGAATTATTATATGGATCCAACCCTATTTAGCTTTTTGAGATCAGTGAGGACTAGTCACAAACAAGAACGAAGGTTGATTAGATTAAGCTATGATGGCGCAGTGGTTAGAATGCAGTATGGCAGACTCACTGCTGACTCCAGGAGTTCGATTCTCACTGGCTCAAGGCCTTCCATCCTTCCGAGGTCAGTGAAATGAGGACCCAGATTGTTGGGGGCAATAGGCTGTGAACTGCTTAGAGAAGGCGGTAAAGCACTGTGAAGTGCTTAGAGAAGGCGGTAAAGCACTGTGAAGTGATATATAAGTCTAAGTGCTATTGATTATCTCTCTTTTAACTAGGACCGATCATAAGAGCAGAAGTTGGTGACTATATTGAAGTAGTCTTCTTCAACAATGCAAGCCGCCCCTTCAGCATTCAACCACATGGCCTGAGTTATACCAAAAGCAATGAGGGCTCTTTCTACCACACTCTGTCTGGAGGTAAATGCACCTATGTTAATATAATTATCTAAGTGTAATATTAATTAAAGAAATCAACCAAATGTATAGGTTCTCCTGCTTGAGCTGCGGGCTGGACTAGAAGACCTCCAAGGTTCCTTCCAGATTCTATTCTATTCTATTCTATTCTATTCTATTCTATTCTATTCTATTCTATTCTAGTCTAGTCTAGTCTAGTCTAGTCTAGTCTAGTCTAGTCTAGTCTAGTCTAGTCTAGTCTAGTCTAGTCCAGTCCAGTCCAGTCCATTCCATTCCATTCCATTCCATTCCATTCCTATTTCATTTGGGGGAGGACTGTTGATTTCTTACCATTTCAATTTTGAATATATTGCAGGTACTCCAAGTCCAGGCTCACATGTGAAACCTGGAGAGAAATTCATCTATAAATGGGAAGTGCCAGAAACTGTGGGCCCTACGCCAGACGATCCAGATTGTCTAACCCTGCTGTATTATTCAGCTTCAGATCCAATCAAGGATACCAATTCAGGCCTGGTGGGCCCACTCTTGGTGTGCAGAAAAGGCATAATGCCTGCTCCATGGAAACCGGTAATTAAAAAAAAACTAAAATCACCAGTTTATTCCAACAATCATCCTCCCCTTCCAGAAGTATGCTAATAAAAGGGCACTGATAAAAGAGGAGCTTTTTAGAGGACATATTTACTGTATATATTAATATTACAAATTATGTATGCTTTCTTAATGTTAAAGAAACTAATAAATTAATTCATCAAGCAGCTTACAACCATTTAAAAAGTGTATATATTGAAACACTTGTTCATCACTATGACTTCTTCTGCCCTGCTTCATCTGGCTAACATAGGGCAATTTATTGGACAACTTCAGAGTGGAACAGGCAGGCATCTCACATAACACATCCAACTAGTGCCCCCCAAACATTGTTTTTATAAAAGTCTTGGTTTATAGTCCTCTTTAGACTGCAAAAACAAGAGCATCAAGCACCCAATGGGATGATCCCTTTTCTGCATAATGGGGAAAATGATGCTTAGGGTTTGCAGTATTTACATCTCAGGATAGCTTTCATGGGATGACAGCAAATTATCCATGTTCATGTTATTTATTGCACTATTTGAAGCTTTTGCTGGTTGATGCACATAATTGAATTCCATTGGTAACATTGACCTTAACTTCTTGTTGAGTTTGCCTAATGAATACCTTTGTAGAAGTTAATCATCAAAGGTATAGTCCAAGGAATGACATTAATATCATCTAGTGCAGTGGTTCTCAACCTGTGGGTTGGGACCCTATTTGGGGTCGAACGACCATTTCATGGGGGTCGCCAAACAACGCAGTCCGCCATTTTTTCCCCCTTTTCCTTAGCTGTGCTACTCCCTTTTATTCTATTGGCTTTTGAAAGCCAATAGAATAGACTCTTTTGAATAGAGTCTAATTCTATTGGCTTTCAAAAGCCAATAGGAATTATCCAGGCTGTCTCTGCCCTGCTGAGCCCACCAAAAGTCCCATTCTGCAAACGGTGCTGCACCAGTTGAGTAGTCCTCGACTTACGACCGGTTGAGTAGTCCTCGACTTACGACCGGTTGAGTAGTCCTCGACTTATGACCGGTTGGGGGTCGCGGCATTAAAAAGGTTGAGAACCACTGATCTAGTGGATATAGGAAACATCAGGATCTAATAGTAGAACCAGGTAGTGCTATTCCAATGAAATAATCCTTTGTTGGCATTCTAAAGTATTTAAAACTTTTTAGATTAGAAATTATATATTTTAAAAGTACCTTATATGTGCATCAAAATTTCTAATTGACATGTTGGTAACAAACGCAGCATTGTTTTAAATAATTAACCAACTGTCTAGTCTCTAAAAGAAAATGACGTAATTTCAGAACAATAATAAGTTAATCAAGACCCCAAAATGTGTCTTGAATGGAATATTGCAAAAGGGATAAAGCTGGACAATCCCTGCTTTCCTAACATGCAGGCAAAGGACTCTTTTCATTAGGAATGGAACTCCTTATTTAAAAACAGAATAAGACAATTGTTCATTTTCTTATTGTGTCTCTTCCTGGCTAGGAAAACCCATTCAAATCTTGATTGATTTTATCACTGTAAGAATATTATAATCTTTTTTAAAGAAATAATTTCTCCTAAACATTTAAATATTGTTTTTGAAAAATACAATTGAAGATTTTCTGACTTTTAAAATAATTCTTTGCTGATTATTTTTAAAGATACTAAGATCAGCTACAGCAAATCCCATCTGCAACTGTTATACCACATGAGGTTATTAAGCATCCAAGAAGCTTCTAAATATTTATAATTATATAGAAAATGTCTTATTGGTTGCTTAATAAACATAATTTTGTTATAACAGATAACCCCATTTATTGTTTTTTGCATATTCTTCTTCTTCTATCTTCTCTTTCTCATAGGTTAATGTAGACAAGGAATTTTTTCTTCTTGCAACAGTATTTGATGAAAATCAGAGCTGGTATTTAGATGACACTATTAATAAATTTATAGAACACCCTGAAGAGGTTGATAAAGAAGATGAGGATTTTCAAGAGTCCAATAAGATGCACTGTAAGAGTTTGTGTTTTGTCATATTGTTGAATATAATAAATTAGTTATCTGTTGTTTTTAACTTTATTTGCCATTGAGATGAAAGGAGGAAGCAATGCTCATAGTTCCCTAGTTTTACAAATGGCAGGAGTAGAAGGTCTGATGAATGGAGATGTATATAAAATACAGAGGCAATTAATTAAATCATCTCACTGCCTAAGTACTATAGATCATGGCATGGTTTGCATTGAAAAGGTATTTTAAAATAACGTTACAAAAATGAGTGCTTTGCATTAGAAGCCATAATTAAGATTTGGTCACTAGAATCTCTCCTAGTCAAAACCTCAATCTCAACATAGTGACATTGCTCTATGAGGATGAATCTACTCAGCAGGCATAGGATGTAGGCTGATTTTTCAAGAAATGAAAAGAAATACAAGATTTGAGCAATGAAAATGGAATTTAATAGCTGGAATTTTGATCAAAATGGTTAACTTTTTACCTTATTTGATATCACTTTTTATTTTTTAAAAAAGGAAAGAAAGAAATGCTTAACTTTTCTAGGGACTAGCTTTCCAATCATTGTTAATATCACAGCATTATTATCTTACTTGTTAACTGATGTTTTGGACATTGTCAAGGAAACTCAGAGATTTTGCATGTAGTTCATTAGGTGTTATTACATTTTTATTTCTCAGCTGAAGGGCTGGATTTATCTCATTCACTTCCACAATACTTTACACAGGGGAAAGGTTTTGGGGATTGAACACAATTATGTAAAATGGTCATATCTAGGCTGTAAAAAAGACTATTAAATAGCAGCAAGAATGAAGGTTTGCTATATCTCTTTTTGTTGACTGTGTAGAGTTTTGGAGCCTAGTGTAATAAACCTAATAAAGCAGGGTTAGTTGGTTGAGTTGACAGGCTATAGAAATTGAGAATAAACAAACAAACAAACAAACAAATTCATATGTAGATGTTACATGGTTGCTTAGGCCCCACTAAAAAAAGAACAGCTCATTATGGGATAAAGTTACATAAACCTGAGCAATGCATGTCCCAGATATATATATTTAGGAAATTATTTTATTTGTTTTTGATGGCTTCTGTATGTTTCTAAAACAAAACAGTGGATACCCCCAACCTTTTATGGGTCATTAGATGTATCTAAACATTTGACCGTATGTTATGGGCACTCAGAAAAGTTGCCATGGTTGATATGACCAATCCCCAAATATACTTATACCAAAAGACCAAAATAAAAATTAAAAAAATACTGACTGAAACTACCTGCAATTTTATTTTCTATTGGAGATCCTGGTGATAAAGGATCATGTAGATGTGGCTGTCTGTTTTGTTAATTGGATAACATGCTATAATCTTGTTATTAAATTGCATGCTTTTTCTTTTGCAGCTATAAATGGATATATGTATGGAAATCAGAAAGGCCTTGAGATGTGTCTTGGAGAGACAGTTTCCTGGCATTTGATCAGCTTGGGAACTGAAGTTGACATTCATGGAATATATTTTTCAGGAAATACTTTTGTAACTAAAGGGACTAGGAAGGATATAGCTAATCTTTTCCCGCATACTTCTGCCACAGCTGTTATGAAGCCTGACTCAGAAGGTGAACAAAATCACATTTACTATTTACAAAAATCCTTCCCGGATATTATTGCAGTGGGTCCAAATGCACCTTTTTCTAGGATTGTTCCGAATGTGGAATGTCCTATTTTCAAATCATAAATCTGATTCTCTGATCTTGTCCTCTTGCACTCCTAATCCATAATCCAAGATTGTATATTACATTGAACAGTTTATTTTTATGAATTTTTTTCTGAGAAATGTATATTACATTTCCACAGCCCTGTTTGACCCTTAATGGACTTCACAACATAGCTGAAAGAAAGAACATTATATTTGAGGAATATGTGGTGTCTTCTTGAAAAATGAATTATGATTTGTGACTTGGGGAGAGTCAGCATCACATTTAAATTTTTTTTTACAAAAATAATCTCTTTTGTTAAAGTAGCAGAAGGAATTTAGGAAATAGTATGATGCACACTAGCACCCACCAAGCTGATTTGGAATTGGTTTCCTGAGAGACTTCAAGTGTGTTATGAGGAAATAGTCTGATGTTGTTTTTTCCAAATATGAAAAGAAATGGCTGTTTTATTGTGAGTCAGAGGGCCCTAGAACCACAGAAATGATATTTCATTGCCTTGATACTGCACCATTCTGCCACCTTCTGGAGGTATAAGGGACACAATTCCCCAAATTTTCAACTATCATAGATACCAGATGGTGAAGACTGATCTACTGTTTTGAAAATGGTACTATAATGGAAGGTTAGATATTGCATCTATTGGATGTGCCTGGGATTTTTTTTTCTTATTTGCTTGTTTCAACTAGTTGCTTCCTATTCTTTCTCCAGGTCTTTTTGAAGTGGCCTGCCTCACAACCGATCACTACACAGGTGGTATGAGACAAATGTATGAAGTAAAGAGATGTGGTTCATCAGCAAAAGATGAGCAATACACTCATCAGAAGACTTTCTACATTGCAGCTGAAGAAGTTGAGTGGGACTATTCCCCTAACAGGATATGGGAACAAGAGAGGCATCAGTTCCATGATGAAAGGTAAGGCAGCACTAATGAAAATAAAAATAAAAACTTTGAAAACTTTTTCTTTGATGATGTATCTAAATTTGTTGGGAAATGAGTTGAGTCTATGTGGTGCAATGGCAGCATTTGTAACATTCCTTATTCATGTAATTTTCTTGGGCATACAACTCTGAGTAGGTATGTGAAAGTTAACTTCATTTTTTCTTTTAGTCCAGGAAATCCATTTTTAAACAAGGAAGATAAATTCATTGGGTCAAAATACAAGAAAGTGGTTTATCGGGAATATACTGACCAAACATTTAAAATCCCTAAAGAACGGAATGAAGAGAAAGAACATTTAGGAATCCTAGGTATTGGCCTCAAGAGTTTCAGTAAAAATCTGGATTTTTGCACTACATGTAACATATTATGTAACCATTTGTGAGAATATATGAAACAGATTTAGGCAGTGATTTCAGGATTGAACCAATGGATCAAGCCAGAAGTTTTCAATGTCTACATGGAACCCTTTTACTTATATATTTGTTTCTACTTTACCTGGGTTGATTCTAATAGATTCTCATCCTTTTTCAAAGTCAGCAGTAGCAATAGAAATAGCACTTAGACTTATATACCACTTCACAGTGCTTTACAGCCCTTTCTAAGTGGTTTACAGAGTCAGCATATTGCCCCCAACAATCTGGGTCCTCATTTTACTAATCTCAGAAGAATGTAAGTCTGAGTCAACTTTGAGCCCTGTCAGGATCAAACTCCAGGCTGTGGGCAGAGTTTGCCTGCAATACTACATTCTAACCACTCCGCTGCCAGACAGTGAATGACAACAGTGTGCAAAGAGTTCTCTATTTGTATCTACTTGCTTATTTGTGCTAATATAATTATGAATAAATCTCTCCTTGTGAGCTTTGTGAAAATTCCAAACTCATAGATGGCCTAACCAATTAATACTAATGTGCATAAAAATCTTGATTAAATTTCATACCAGGCAAGGTAGAGACTCTTCACTTGAACTGAGTGTAGTTCATCTAAGTCAGGGGTGTCAAACTTGCAACGTCATATGACGTGTCACGATGTATTGTGACTTTTTTGCCATTGCCGGCAATGGAGTGGGCGCAGTTTCACTATGATGCATCCAGCCCACAGGCTGGCAGTTGGTTCAATTTACATATAATGCTGAACCATAAATCAATTATAACATTATGAAGAAATTGGGTGCATTACCTAGTTTTAGCTAAATACAGTTCTTTCTTATATTCCAGGCATTTCAAGTTGGTAGTTAATTTAAATTATGGCCATTGGTGGTGCCTATGGATATTTACCTTTATACCTTGAAGACTTCTTGCCTCTTCAGATTTCTTTTGTCATTGTTTATCGCAGATATTTTATGTCTTCCCCATTAATGCCCACAAAATAATGCTTTCAAAATTCCAAATGTACTAACTACAATCAAGTCCAAATGTACTAACTACAAATCAAGTTAAGGTCCAAATATCATTTCCAATGGCTGATTTCAATACTGCATATAATAGTTTTAAGCAATCCTAATTCTTATGGTTATATACATATCAGTGCATATTTTGGAATGAAATTTCTAACTGTGGTTAAATTTAACTAGGAAGATTAACAGAGGATTGAAATTATGTGAGCTTCAAACTAATTTCCTTGTTTTGCACTATGAGGAACCACATTAAATCTTTAGTTTATTGTTATGCTGTACCTGATCCAGTTAGCTTTAAGGTTACTATTTAAAGCTTTTTTGATCCAGGAAAAAGTCAGTTTGCCTTCATTTAATCTATTAAATTCTGATTTCTTAAATAATTTTATAGCTTTATACTTTCCTTTTACTTTACTTTTTATATGCTTATTTTTATTTTTTAAAAGGTCCTCTGCTTCTTACACAAGTTGGAGATATAATTACAGTTGTTTTCAAGAACATGGCCTCTAGGCGTTATTCTATCCATGCACAAGGAGTAAAAACTAAGTATCCACTTGTAACAGAAACACTTCCAGGTACAGTAATTCATTTGTCAGTCCTGAGTTGATAATAAAAAAACAAAAAAATAGATATTGAAAAGGTTACACTTTTAAATTGACTCAGGCTCCTTGTGACTTTATGAATATTATTTTCTGAACAATATAATATTGTTTGCATTGTCTTTTTCCAGAATGTTTTCATTAAGTCTTGTTGTAGCCTATGTTGTTTGACGATCTGTAATCAAAGAATTAACCAAGTTCAACCCTTGGTTAGCTATAATTGAACTTGTAGTATATTCAGTTGAAAGACTGACTCATATCATAATCTAAAATTCTGTCAATTCTATTTTGTCATCAGTTGTAATGATTTATAAAAACTTGGATTTGGAGTGTATTGAGTTTCCATGGAAAGGAAATTATACTTTTTTGCATTCTATTTGTGTATGCATGAGCCAAATGTTAATGCTATTCTCTGCAGCTTTTCCTTGAGGTCTACTCAAAAGCATGGATCTGATTCTTTTATCATTGTTGCTATTTGAAAGGGAAAAATAGTATCTGTATTCATATCATTTTTGACGTACCACGTGTATATTGCAATATAATTTCATCCATCTATTCAGGAGACATTGCCACATGAATTCAATGGGACCGTATCGCAGATAGGACTGTAGAAAATAGTACACCTTTAAAATATTATTGTCCTAAAATTACTAAATCAGAGGTTTTGTTCTTGTTTTAAGAAAATTAATTTTGAATAAGTACTTTAAAATTTGTGATTACAAACAAGATGTCACAGAAATACAAAAAGAAACAGAAGCCAATCCATCCTGTTTTGTGTGAGAGAAGAAACTAAAAAAAAAAAAAAGTAAAACAGAAAGCACCTGCTTCTTTTATTTAGCTTGTATAGCAAAACTTCTTTTCTCCACTGGCATAAGATTGCAAAATTTATCTAAAAAGCACTTCCATTGCTTGTTTTTTAAACATTGATTATAAAGGGAAAAACAATCTACAAAAATAAATCCGTATCTACAATGTATGTTTCACTCAGGTGCAACCGAGGAGTATATCTGGGAAATCCCAGCAAGATCTGGTCCTGAGAAAGGAGATTCTACCTGTATTCCCTGGGCATATTATTCTACTGTGGATAGAGTGAAGGTAAACTCACAGTGACAGTGGTCAAAGTTGTTCTCTTTTTTGGGAGACAGTATTTCTAAAGTAGCTTGATATATTAAGTATACAACATTCTATAATTTTATAATAACTGAAAGATTAACAAAGGCAACTGGACTGGACTTGTATATCTCACTGATTCTGGAGTGGAGACTTTGTGTCAAAGGAGAGATGGAGACTCTGTTCTGATGTCTCTGTTTTGATAGTTGAAAACACAGATGATCTGCAAGCTCTTATAATGTGAGCCAAGGAACACAATGAAAAAATAGGACTACCGTTAAATATAGAGATCAAGTAATGATATCAGGTATAGTAACCAATCTTAGAAACAAATAAATTCAGAGTGCTCATTTGAGGAACAATGACAAGGCTCAAATTATCATATCTAACTCCCTTGAAATGTCCTTTATGCTGGGAAAAGTAGAAGGAAAGAGATAACCAATGGCAAGGTGGATGGACTCAATTACCATGGTAATAGCGTACCATTAGAACACCTGAAGAACATGGTTGGGGGAATAAAAGAAAATCTATTTATGTGGATGCTAAAAGTCAACAACCACTGATGACATCAGCAGAAATGTTATTTTAAGATCTACATTTGGAAATGTTCTAATATATATTACTTGATTTTTTGGGGATGGGCAACTTAAAAGTACCACAAACAGTTTTAGCAAAAAACACATTTCTATTTAAAATGAATGTTAGTATAAAAGATTGGATCCACATTAAATCATGCATAGATTCCATAAAATCAATTAAAAGCAATATATACATGTGGCTATCTGGGCATATTGTCCTAGTAATAGTACTAAGTGATTATTTTTATTTTTTATTTCAGGATCTCCATAGTGGATTAATAGGAACACTTGTTGTCTGTCGCAAGGAAGTTTTCCCTGTAATTCCACATCCCAAAATTCTGCAGTTTGCTCTCCTTTTTCTGGTGTTTGATGAAAATGAATCATGGTATTTAGATGAGAATATCAAGTTGCATTCCGCCAATCCAGGAGATGTCAACAAGGAAGATGAGGAATTCATTGAAAGCAATAAAATGCATGGTATGCGTGGATCTGGAATTCCAGTATTTTGGAATAATAGTTATCTCACATCAATTAAAGTGGCACTGCATAAGGTATAAATGGGTAGAAATGCTTTTTTGTGTTCTGTGTCACATGCATGCATGCATGCACACACACATAGATTATTAGCAGTGGACAGCTGCTGTATTTGTAAGATTGGGATAGAGAACATACAGAAATCTATTTGATCTTGTTTAGCCTGAGGAAGGCAGTAGCCTCCACAAGAGTTCTGGTTTCTCATGTGGCCCACTGGGAAAATTAATTGTCCACCCCTGACATAAACACTGTAGTGCCAACTATACTAAGCTCAGCCTATTGACAAAACTCTGCAATTGAGGGAGGATAAACCATTGGTTGTTGAATGTACATCATGAAGATTGTCCAAATTAGAATGACTCTTAGGTTGCTCTGATCTTTGAACTCAATTTGAATTAATGGACCAGCTATATATCTTGGACAATGATTTCTGATAAGCTTTTGATAAGGCTTGATCTTTGTATTAAATTTATTAGATTGATATGTAGATCCATAACTGGAAATAAACAGCACTTTTATAACAAATATTTCTCTCTTTAGCGATTAATGGAAAACTGTTTGGAAACTTGCATGGTCTTACAATGCATGTTGGAGATAAAGTAAACTGGTACTTGTTAGGAATGGGGAATGAAGTTGATATGCACACCGCACATTTCCATGGCCATAGCTTCGATTACAAGGTAAAAATAACCATTTTTAAAGAAAGAACTAAAAAGAAGGTACATACTTAGCTAAGAGAGAAAGCAATATGTAGGACAACTGAACACATAAAACTTTCTTAAGTCAGATAACTAACTCAGTTAACCTAAGTCTGCCCATTTTGGCAGGCCATTGTTTTATAGTTTCCAGCTAGGGAGCTGATTGGGAACTGAAACCCAGACTTTATCCCTCAATTTTACATTTCTTTCTCTTTCCTCCCTTCGTGATTTTAGCAGTGGAGCAAATATATTCTATTTCATTTGCCTGACAAGGATGTGTGTGACTAGCAAGTGTCCTAACATACGTAGGTTTACATCCTTGTAAATTTGGAAATTGTATACTCTGTACACTGTATACTAATTCAGTTGAAAACAACTTTTTGACAAATGGATGAAAAACTTTGTTTATTATTTTCCCAGCAATCCAACTGCCATATCTGCAGTATTATTTTTCCCTTGAGGACAGAACAGGTTTAACTTTGGTCCACTTTCTACTAACATTAATTGGCTTTAAGTAGTAATTGAAGGTCCGTAATCATAGATGTTTAAGTATTTGAGTTTTCTTAAGTTAGAAAGTGCTTATATGTTAAAATATTTAAAATGTTACGATGCTCTTTATTCATGTTGTTGCATTCTTCCAATGAATTAATTAGTATTAGAACTACACAAATATATGATTGGTTATTTTTTTTTCCTCTCCAAAAGTACAATAGAACTTTCCGGGCAGATGTGTATGACCTGTTCCCTGGGACATTTCAAACTGTTGAGATGTGGCCAAAATATCCTGGGACGTGGCTACTGCACTGTCATGTGACTGACCATATCCATGCTGGCATGGAAACTACTTACTCTGTACTCCCAAATGAAAGGTAAATATTAATTAATTTGCTTGAAAGGAAGGAGAAAATCTCTTGAGATGCAACTGTTTTTCCACTTGATGCTATTTAGGCTTTGAAATTCATCTCCTGGAATCTATATGCAGTATGCAGTATAGCCAATGCTGTGCCAGACAGGTATTTTGAGGATGACATCAAGGTGGCTGGGAAAAATTGACACATTAAATGGCCAGTGAAATTAAGTATAATTTTATTTATCCAACTTTTTTTTCTGGATTCCCTGAATTTTATCTCCCATGCCAAACTATAGAAATCAAATAGGGGCTGTCAAGAGAGAACACTTGGCATATACACGCCTTAGTGTTTTCATCTTGTCATTTGTGTAGGGGGTGGGGGAGATGAGGCTTCAAATGGGTTAGTTAGAGAAATGAAACCTCTCCAGTTCTGCAGACATTTGTTGAAATACAGATGTATGGAAACTTTTCGAGGACATTCTAACTGTGGGGAAGAAGACAACAAAAGGTTCTCAAAACAATGAGAAGGTATTTGCATGAACTACATGGACATCTGGGAGGTTTGGGTGAGAATGTCATTGTAATATGCTTTGGTTGGGATTTTAGAGTTGGTTTTTCTTCGCCTATACCATGTCATGATTTCAACAAACCAGTAAGATCTTCAGAAATGAAAGAAATCCTGGACTTTATTTGGATACTCAAGCTGGAGTTTGACATTAAACTAACTCTCATAATTTTTGTAGCCTACCTGGGTTTATCTCCCAGGAGTGCTAGTACATTTTAAGTTCTGCAATGGAACAGAAGACTGAGGAAGGGTCAGCTCACAAAGATACTTCTCTCCAGAGGATGGCAACTATAATCCAGACAGGAGAAATCGACTTGTTGGGGGGAGGGCTCGCCCAAAGCAGAATGCTGGAATGGTGGAACAACCTCAAACTGTTGGAAGAGGAAGAAAGGCAGAGGTTCTTTGACCGGCACCATTAACTACTTGGGTGAATGGTCTCAGGAAGGCAGCAGAGGAGAATCTGCAAATTACCTCACCGAATCAGTTACTATAAAGTTGGGCAAGCATATTGCAATCATTTGTTTTATTGTAGCCCCTGGAATGACTGAAAGGATGATTTTAGGTTTAGCCTGGCTAAAGTAAACGAATCCACTTCTAGATTGGAATAAAAAAGGCAATTAAGGAACAGAGCAGTCAATCAACAAAAGCCACACAAGGTGTTGGCTAGTCACTGTGTGCCGGTGGTTAAGAAAGTGACAGTGAGAGAAGGGAATATACGAAAAGCAACCAAGGCATTGGGGCACACAGTGTCTGCTGAATACAGAGATTTAATGGAAATATTTAGTGAAAAGGAATTGGATATTCTCCTCCTTCATTGGCCATTGGACTGTGCCATTGAAGTAATTCCAGGGCCAAATTTCTTAAACCAAAAATGTATGCTATGGCACCAAAAGAAATGGAAGAGCTCAGAAGAGCTCATTCAACCTGCAAATTTAAAAATTAGTAAGAACATTGTTAATAAAATTATTAGATAATCAACTGTATGCCAAATTATCAAAATGTGATTTTCATAAACCAGTTTAGATTACTTGGGATATTGTGTTTCCATTGGAGGCATAGAAATGGACTCAGGAAAAGTAAAAGCTATAATGAAGTGGGAAGCTCTCCGGATGCTAAGGCAGCTGCAAAGCTTCCTGGAATTTGCCAATTTCTATAGATGGTTCATGCCCATATTCGTGGATTGCTTTGCCTATAACCAACTTATTAAAAACGGAAAAAGGAAAACCCAGTCAGCCATTAAGCTGGACTTTTAAATGTCAAGTAGCATATGAAAACCTAAAAAGACTTTTTGCTGAGGAACCCCTGCAAAGGCACGCGAATCCAGGAAAGCCTTTCGTAATACAAGTAAATGCTAGTGATGTCGTAGTAGGGGGCAGTCTTGCTACAAACAAATGAGAAGGAGGAATTAAAACTATGTGCATACATACACCTCTCGGAAGTTATTGTATACTGAAAGAAGATGGGCTATGTGGGAAAATGAAGCTTTTGCGGTTCACTGGGCTCTCTTAATGTAGAGACAATTTCTAGACTAGAGGAAAGCAAAATTCCATTTGAAGCATGGACAGATCATAAAAACTTAAGAGGCTTTGAAGACTCTAAGGAAACTGTCTCCTAAAGAATTAGATGGGCTTAATATTTAATCAATTTAATTTTAGTCCTTGTTACATACGCAAACAAAAGTGATATGTTACTGATGCTCTTTCATGAATGCCTTAATACAAAAGTACCAAGAAAGAAGTGATAAATTCTATAATCCCTTCTAGCCAGCTTGCTGCACCAGTGCAAGGGGTTCAGTGCTGGGGAAACCCACCCTGGTTAACTTTAGATCCACTGAGACAGAAATTTAAGGAGGGCATGGAACAAGATAGTTGGTTTCAAATCCATAAAAGTGAATTTATGATGAAAAAAGGTCTGGCATGGAAACGTTTCAAAGTCGGTTCCAGATAGCTAAAGGATTTTGGTGTTGGGCTGGGCCCATGATGAAAAATCTGCCGGTCATTTTGGGTTTGTAAAAACCCTTCATCTTATGAAAAGACAATTTTGGTGGCCAAAAATGAAAAAGGATATCAAAGATTATGTACCTAGTTGCATGGTTTGTGTATCAATGAAGTGGTTACCTGAGAAAACCCCAGCTTACTACAATTAGTAGCCAACCTTCAAAGACCCTGGGAAGAAATACCAATTTCCTAATAGAAATACCAGAGACTGTTGGAAATACTGTTATATGAACAATTGTTAATTTATTCTAAAAACAAGCAGACTTTGTTGCTTGTCCCAAGCTTCCCTCAGCTAGGAAATTACCCAAGTTGTTTGTGCACCATATATATAGGCTGCATGAAATGCCTAATCGAATTATATCAGACTGAGGAATACAATTCACTGCAAGATTTTGGAGAGAGTTCATCCGATCAATAGGATTGTCTCAAGGTCTTAGTGCTGGGTTTCATCCAAGTACCAATGGTGTAGCTGAAAGCAGACACAGGAAGACAGGGCTCCGTCTTGTGCATTTGATTTTGCCTTGCTGAGGGACTCTGGAAAGGGTCGAAAGTTGCCCCGTAGAGGCGGCAAGCAAGGAGGGGACCCTCATTGATTGCGGAGAGGGGGCGGCAGCCCTCCTGTTTGATCTGAGGAAGCCCTCTAAACCGGCGGGGGAAAGATTGGCTACATTCGCATAGCCAGTCAGAAGCTGCTGTCAACCGAAGAGAACAAGCACTATCAAGCAATCTTACAGCAACGTGGATGAAATTGGGTGAGACCTAAACCTCTCGTTATGACTTTAAGACCTCTTCCTTAAAATCTGCCCAAAGCACTCCCCCCAAGGAGAGAAAGGGAATTTCCAACCCATTCCCTCAGGAAAGCGGTGAATTAATTACTTGGGGAAAAAGGACAAACCTACAAGACTAATTTGGAATATATATATATATATATATATATATATATATATATATATATATATATATATATATATGAGTAATAATATTAAAAATATGAACCCTGGGTATATTCATGTTAAAATAAAATGAGCACCAAGGTAATTAAAACTACTCTCTGGCGTTTTAAGCCCTGATGATGCCGGCAGGTGACGGCGAAAGCTCGGCATTTTTAAATTAAACTTTTATAGTTTTAATTACCTTGGTGCTCATTTTATTTTAACATATATATATATGTAGGTCTTTGGTTATTTGGGTTTTCTCCCACGTAAAATTGGAAGTGTCTTGGCGACGTTTCGATGAAGTCTCATTCGTCATCTTCAGGCTGGTGCTTTCGACTTCGTGCTCCTATATGTATATGACTTGGAAATTTGGGGACTAAAAGTGTTTTTAAGACCTTTTTTTTAAAAAAAGAAAGACTTGAAAAATTTACAATATAAGTTTTGGATTTAAAAACTGAAAAACGGCGTTGATGACATCTAGTGAATTACAGCACTACAACTTATTTATGCCTAAAAGAAACCTGGCTCGAAGCCCAGAGCTAAATAAGATTTTGGCTGGCCCTGAAGCTTTTACTTTTGAGAATTACAGCTGAGAAAAAGGAACAGATTCGGGGCTGCTTATCTGTGTAGCAGAGATATAATATTATTCTAAAATTGGCCTGTCTAAACTATGAACATGAATACTGACTTTCAGAACTGTATTATGGAACTATTTTGCTGTAGAAAAAACATACACTATTGCCTGATATGATGGAACACTTTGGATTATAAATCTTGATTGTTAAACAATCTTTAATGGTTCTTTTTTCTCCCTGGACAGAAAGGATATTTTTCTCATTTGAATTTTATTTATATCTGCTTAGGGAGGTTTAAGAGCAGCTAGTTGATTGGATAAATTTATAAAGGCTACTTACAAAAAATAAAATGGATGTTCCATACTTAGCTCTAAATAGTAAAAAAAAACATCCTTAACATCTATCTCCAGAAGCCTCAGTTTGCCATATCACCAAGAAAATACTGATGAACCACAGAAATTCTCTCATGTTGAAATTAATACAAGAAACAATTGCTTTAATTCATGATGAAATTAAAGATAACACAAATGAGATAAAAGAAGAATTTTCTAATTTAAATCTACAAACTCAGAAAATAACTACAGAGAAGGAACCAGCAATCCAGAAAATAGAAGGAAAACTAGAGAATGCTGACACAAACATTGAGGATCTAAACTAAGGAAGAAACTAATGACCAGACTCAGATAAATGAAGACTTAGAAGACACGACGATAATATTGGAAATGGAAAAGACATTTTACAAACCAAGGTTTCAGAACATACTGGAGGATAAGGAAGGAGAGCTGATGGAATGGAAGATTAAGACGTTAACAGACTGTGGGGAACTGGAGAAGGGGGGAGGCTGTATAATGAATATCAACGGGCTAGTTCTTCCAAAAATATTTTAATTAAACTGTTTCTCTTGTTTCAAATAATATACACAAAAATAGAGGAAGAATTATTTGATGATCCAAATGCACTGACTTGGAAAGTTAGTTGGCAAAGAAAGAAAGCTAGCGTAAGACTGCAGGAAACAGAAGCTTTGACCTATTAGAGGGGATGTTATATTACCAATTAAGATGTTTGAATATGGTTAAGAATAGTGTGCTAGAAATAGAAGTATTATTATAACTAGATAGATAGGATTTGTAATCAGAATATCATATCTTGGTATGAAAAGGGAAATAAGAATATGCTAAGAACTTGGAATAAGGGAAGCTTTGGGTTACTCAAATATAACTTGTTCTGAAATTATAAATGATTGGGATATTTTGAACATGGATGGGGAATTAAAATTGAAAAAAGGGAAAATAGGATATAGACTGAATAAATGGATATTGAGTGCAAATGCAATTAAGATATGCTTTGGTTAGGAAAGATATTCTAAACTGATATTATTGACACTATTAGAAAAATATAACAAATGTTGATAGGCAATTGTATATTTACTCACAACAGTAAGAATTGTATTTCCTACTGTGGAAAAATGTCTATTACCAGAAGAAGAGAAGATGTACTGGAGGGTGTAATATTGGATTTAGTTTGAAGAAGCATACATGTACCACGGAATCACTAATGGACTCAGTCATCACGTTGTCTATTAGGCACTTGATTGTAAAAATAGAAAATTAATAAAATATTTATGGAAAAAAGCACCTGGCCTGGGGGACGCAAAGCTCTGGAGGCACAAAAAAGTAAAAAAAAAAAAAGGTAGATAAGAAATGAGCCATCCAAAAAGTGTTTAAAATAGGAGATAAAATATATGTATCCACAAAATATCTGAATTTAAGAATACCAAGTAGAAAACTAGGACCAAAATATATAGATCCTTTTACCATCATAGGAATTATAAACTCCATTACATAAAATTACAGTTACCAAGCATATTTAAACGGATACATCCAGTGTTTCATTGTAGCCTTTTCAAGGTTCCAGATTGAGACCAATTGGAAAATCACCTCGGCTTCCAAGTTACGAGGGAAAGGCATTATGAAATTGAAGAAATCTTAGATTCTAGATATAGCAGGGGGAAACTTCAGTATTGACTAAAATGGAAAGGATACCCCTTAGCTGAAGCAGTGGGTGGCAGCTACAAATGTTAGAACAGATAGGCTAATAAGAAAATTCCATTCCAAATACCTCAGTGAAGGACGGGACTTTGTCTATGTAACAGTGGTAAATTCATGTGTGTTTATTTTATTATTTTTTCCAGGTCCTTTCTTCTCTCAAGGGGGCAGCATGTCAAGAGTGAAAACTTGGCAGCCACATGCCTTATTGTTTTCATCTTGTTATTTGTGTAAGGGGGGGGGGGAGATAAGGCTTTGAATGGGTTAGTTAGAAAAACGAAACCTCTCCAGTTCTGCAGATGTTCGTTGAAACACAGATGTATGAAAACGTTTTGAGGACATTCTAACTGTGGGGAAGAAGATAACAGAAGGTTCTCAAACAACGAGAAGGTGTTCACATGAACTACTTGGACATCTGGGAGGCTTGGCTGGGAATGTCATTATATGCTTTGGTTAGATATCTTGGGATTTTAGAGTTAATTTTCCTTTGCCTATACCATACCATGTATTCAATAAACCAGTAAGATCTTCAGAAATGAAAGAAATCCTGGACTTTATTTGGATAGTCGAGCTGGAATTGACAGAGGTTTTAACTTTAACTGCCACCCTTATCTCTCTAATGAAGGTGTGGTTATTCAAGTAAACTGGTACAATTTTTAATCTCATAATGCTGATAAGCTGTATCTCTTTAATATCTGCATATTGTGTTTGTTTCATTCTATTGGAAGAAATTTGGATCCCTATGTGTTTTCTCCTTTTTTTTTCTCTTTCTCTATCTTATCTTAAATTTGTTTCCATTGGCATTCTGGAAAGGACTGAAACTGTGAAAGTAAGTAATACACATATAGTACCCCATGTTTGAAATAGTAGCCCTGGATGAAACGTGCTACTTAAACTGGTGCCTGCAAGCAAATATATATCTTCTCTTTGGACCTATCCACAAAGTCAGGTTTCAGAAACTACACTATATGTATGAAACTTGATGATTTACCAGGAGTTTTGGACTACAGCACTTATAGTTCAAAGCCATGCCTACCGGGTTTTATGGGAGATAAAATATTTGGAATACATCACCTTGCCTAGCTTTAGCATAGACAATTACTTTTAGAGCACTAGTTTCTTAAAATTCTACTCCTTGTTATATGAATGAAAGGGAGAAATTAAGAACATATCTACTTTGTGGCTATAATAAAAATATAAAATATATATTAGCTTAAATGTTCTTTTGAAAACCACTGACTTTCACTTTCTGTCATTTACAGCAGTGACATCAGACAAACAAAATTATGAACTTCGGCCGAATTCTCAAATTGGAAAAATGGTTCGACTGTGATAAGATGAGCTCCATGATTCCAAACATTGACAGATATTTTTTAAAAAAATCCCTACTGAAAATAATTAAAATAAAACTAGAGGAATGCTTTTGCATGGAAGTCTTAGTTATGATCGATAGAACATTATTTTCTATTTCTAATTTCACAACTTTTCTGTGTTTTAAGTGTCTTCTTTCAAAATAAACTAGTCTTGAAGATTCTTCAAAAGTTAATATGAATATGACAAAATGACGTCTGACTCATATTACAACTGCAGAGATGGGAAAAATTAAAAGCAGATAAAGTAACAACCTTTGTCATTGTTAATGTTGGGACTTTGTGATACTTGCTAGGCCAACTTTATAAATTGCCTCCATAATCTGGTTTCTAATCTAATTCACTTTTAGAAAACTTGAAGAAACTCATTGTTTGCAACACAGATAGTCTGCACGGGAGCCAATCTGCTGAAACTTTTGGCTCTACTTAGAATTCTTGTGAAATTGTTCTTTTTTCTGTCCTAGCAGCCACGAGAAACAAATATTCCTACTGAACAAGTTAAACATTACACATATGACTGATGTTTAGGAAAAAGCCCTGAATGACAATCGCACTAAATATTTATTTAGAAAGGCCCCTTCACAACTTTATGTGCTTTCTAGTCAGCTCACATGCACCACCAGCAGTTTAGAGTGGTGAAACTTTTCTAAAACCTATCCCAAGCAGCAAGATAAGATAATGACCCTTATCAAAGGTATTATGATAGGGGGAGAATACGGAAGAAAGTTTTGGCTCAGTTATCACTTGTTTGAGGGACAAGATTTACTTTTATACGGAAGAAAGTTTTGGCTCAGTTATCACTTGTTTGAGGGACAAGATTTACTTTTATATAGGCTTAATGCACCTATTCTATTTTGTCTCTCACCAAAATAATCTAGAGTCATTGCTGCTTTTTTGCAGTGCTTTTTGGGAAGCTTCAAAGTTTTAATACAGAAGAGGCTAGGGATGAAGGTGCATGTTACCGACATCTCCTCTATGTGTTTAGCTCAGTATTTCTGAGCTCTGGGAGTTGACGTCCAGACCATGCTGCCAAGGCTGAGAATCACCAGTTTACCTGTACTGTACTGCTACCACACATCGGATGACAATCTTTGGAGATCCATCAAACCCTACTCTTCCCATATACATGAGACTATGCCTGGAGTATGCAGCATTTAAAGTTTTAAGTTAATAGTTGCATCATGGAGTTTTGTTCATTTGAGTACTTTGCACCCCATAAGAACAATCCAAAATGGCTGATGCTTCTCCTTATGATTAAGTCACCAATCTTCTGCTGCACTGAAGCAAGTGGGGCAAGAAGAATGCTGCATTCCCATCTTCAGGTAAAACATTAAGGAAGTCTCTCAATTCCAGTGCCATGGCAATGACTGATAATGTTTCTGGACAAAAAGGACACAAACATTGTGTTTAATACTCCTGAGTAAAGCTAGTTCTCGACTTACAATCTTTCATTTAGTAATCATTCAAAGTTACAACAGCACTGGAAAAAAAGTGATTTACAACTGATCTTTGCACTTACAAAAGCCACAGTATCGGTCAAGTGATAAAAATTTGAGAGCTTGGCAACCAGTATGTATTTACAAAGTCCTGATTGCCATTTGTAACCTTCCCAGCTACCTTCTGGGAAAGTCAGTGGGGGCAGGAAACTGGATTAACAACTGGATTAACAACTGGATTAACAACTGCCTGATTTACTTAGCAACTGTACTGATTTGCTTAACATTGGTGGCGGAAAAAGGTAGCAAAATTGGGTGCAACTCACTTAATAACTGCCTTGCTTACCAACAGAAATTCTGATTCCAATTGTGTTCATAAATTGAGTACTGCCCATATCTCCAACAACTTTTAACATGGATTAAGATAGGTGGTGTAAAAATTAAATAAATAAATAAATGAGCAAACGTTGCTCCTTGAAGATTGTTACTTGTGGTCTGCATCTAACAAAAATGTGTGATTTGCATTGAATCCAGTTCTTCAATTTAGTCACTGAAGTGTAAACACTCCACAACATCCTCTTGAGACGAAAGGCTATTCTATGTACCGCAAAAGCTCTGTGCTATAAAAACTCTTTTTGTTACCTTGCAGTGATGACAGAAATACAGGGTAATTTTCACCAACATGTCTGGTTCGTTTACAGAGTTCAGGAAGAAGTTTGTTCCACCACAAAGCCTAAAGCCAGTCAGAAAATAAGATCCAGATAGAAAATCAAGTGTTATTCTTGAAGGAATCCAACTCTTCTTCTTCTGCTGCTTATATTTACTCATAAAAGCATGGCAGTGAGCATGTTAAATAGCAAACCTTTAAATATGTCAGACTTGCTGCTCCTGTGTTCAAGATGTGATTCATTCAGGAGAGGTTCAAGATCTATCAGCCAATGAAGTGGGATGCAAGCTCCCTCTAGTGCCATTCAAAGTGCCAAAGAGCATTGGGGAAAGACAGTGACATTCAACGGCCTGCGATAACGTGTGAATATTATTTATCATCTTATCTCCTACCTAAATTATTGGAGTAATTCAGTACCTCAGGTAGTTATTCTGAGGTTCTGAAAAGGCACTGTTTGTCTAAATGGAATAAATACAATGACTAGCACCGATGATGTTTGGGTAATGAACATCTGCAAGAAAACAAGCAAGCTCAGAGAGCACCAAGGACCCCTCATAATTATATTGCTCCATTTTTATTTTAGAGCTACGAATGTCAGTGAGCATTGCCTACACTAGCCTTTTTCAATCTGAGAGTCTGGTGGTTTTACTGGTTAGAAAATTTAAGAAGCATGGACTCAAAACAACTGAGGTTGGGCAAGGTTAGAACATACAGGGCTTCCTGCTGATTCTTAAAATGCATACACACGATTAGTAACCCAATATAATTCCAAACACATCTATGATCTATTGACAGCATAACCTACATATGTGGTTATTATAAAGAAACTCCTGCACAATTTATTCAGCCAGCAAGTATCAAAGACATACATTTATATTTCAGGAGAACATGATCACGTTACAGTATGAGATATGATAAGGCAAGCAAAGGCCAGGCTGGGGAAACTACATTGAGGAAATAATAAAAAATACTTTATAATCTTCAAAATTTTGCATCATTTCACCATTTTAACAAAATAGAAGTTACGCATTTCCCACATTCAATATAATGGGGTCACTTTGTTCAGTTTTAAAACTATTGACTAGATATGGTACAATGAAATTACATATGAGGAACTGATGTACTAAAATGTTCCTGTAAAACTGCAACGGTTTGGATTTTAGAAGGACAGGAAAAAAAATGACAGCTATGATTATTAATGCTCACCTGATGTTCATCCCTCAGCTCATGCTGGGCATAAGGTATGACAGCTTCAGGGCACCTATCCAGAAGTTTGTCAATAGCTGCTTCATGCTGTCCTAAACATGTATTACAAAGAACATGTATGCTCAGACCAGAAATAGAATCTTCTGGAATATTCTTCACAAATGGGAGAATGGAGGATATTTTGAAGGATGGACTGCATAAGAGAGACTGCAGAAAGAACAGGAGAACAGACATATTACTGTAGGTCTGGAAAGTGGCACCAAAATGGGGAAAAAATTGAGCAACTTATTTTGATATGAAGTTTCTGAACTTAAGGATTTAAAAGTTATAGCTCTCACTGAGGTTTTCATCTTTAAAAACTGCAAGGTTGACTAAGACAGTACAGAATTGAAGCAACTACAAATCTGAATTTGACTTAGATGCTAAGTCTTCCTTTCCTGTTACTATTTGATGCTAGTCTGTAAAAGAATAGCCAGCAATAACTATTTTGCTCAGTCTAGAACAGTTTTCCTTGTTTAATACCAGGATACTTTCATATTGATACAAAGTATTATATCTTCAGAATTAGTTTCAGTGTGTGAGGTGTGTGTGTCTCAGGACAGAGTGTTTAAGGCAGAAGTTTTTGAAGGAGATTGTGCTGAAGGGAAAACACCAGCATCCTTGTGAGTAAGCCACAGCACGAGATTTTGAATGTCTGCAGACTCAGTGCTAATCTGGGGGGGAGGGGGGAGGAAAGTTAGGGTGAAGGTTGAGGGAGACAGTAGATGCCAGAACAGGACAAAGAGAAGCATGCAGAGAAAGCACCTGCTTGATTACCCTTACCAGGCCTGCATAAACCAACTCTCCCATCCTTCTATGGTGCCTGGTTGGGAAGAAAAGAGAGCTGTCTCCTTGTGCTAGAAAATCTTACTCACATGGAGGGAAGAGCCAGAGATTACTCAAGTAAGGAGCTGGTTATATGCTCAGCATTTGAGGCTGGAAGACTTATTGAAATTGTTAGTGTGACTGCAGAAGACTTCTTTCTGTTTCGGGCAATGATTTGTCCCTGGAATGCAAACATTTTAAGGAATGCGAGGAGAAAGAGGCTGGCTCTATGGGTTTTATCTCTTGCACAACACTTGCAGTCATCCATCTCCTCCATGGCAGGACACTGTACGTTCATTAAGGGAACATTTTTTTAAAAGTTAAAAATAAACGTCTAAATCTAGTATGCCTATGTTGAAATCTAACACCGAGATGTCAGGAACATGGACTTCCACTATTCATCCCAATATTTCAAGGTTCACCTACTGCTTTATTTCCTTATATTACTTTAATCATAAACCTATTGATTATAGAATAGGGGAAATTTATTATCACATATATTATTGGTAGCTCTATCCCTCTTCATTCCAGAAGTAGATTGCCTATTATATGAGTGTAATTGGCTTACACTTGCACAGATGTCAAGGGCTCTGAAGAGTATTTTCATAAGAGAGAGAGAGAGAGAGAGAGAGACCATGTGTGTGAACATATGTCATACTTGTAATTTTGAAAGGTCATCATATGAATTCCAATCAGGAAGAGGTACTAACGACATCATGAATATAATCCAAGAAAATATAAGTCCATAATCATTGCAGGAATTTATCTGAAACCACCAAACAAAAGTTATTGCAAAAAAACAAAAAGTCATTTGCACTGCAAGCATATTTACATTCAGCTTTTTAGTCTCATTTAACATTTACTGCAAAGATAATCAACTTTACTTAATTAAAAATAACAATAACCTATTTGATATTGCACTATTTCTTATGAAATGCAAAGCCTTTGATAATTAGACATTTTTAATTGTGCATTTAGACAGATTATTAATAATTTCATAACAGCATCAATTCTCTTAAGTATCCTCTATTGCTGGTATCTGTGGATTTAATATATCATTTTTTTCTCAGATTAATCTATGCAAAGAGTTACACAGCCCAATTTCCCTTTGCTACATTAGTAAGATCATAGAATACTGTCTGTGCTGCCCAAGCTTCATAGAAATCTCTAATACAGATGAAAGCACATTGTAGGAAAACAAGAAAATCCATACCAGCAATTCAAGTCTAGCAATTATTTTTTTTAAAAAAATATTTCCTACCAAAATCTAGTTCCAATTTTCTCTTCAAACTGTGCAAAATAAACTTGGTATAGAACTGTCTTGCAGAAATGGGTAGTTTATAAGGCCACATGACTACAAACCATAGAACCAAGACAATTATCATATAGTGTACAAGAATTCAAGCTGTAGTTTTTATTTTTAAATAAAAAATTACACTGGCCCATCCCACCCAATCAGGCAGAGAACGTATGTTGCAGACTCAGTTAAAGAATTTCAAATGGTGGGGGCTAGGAAGAGAGCCTTCTCTGCCATTGACCCTGCGTTATGGAATATTCTTTCCCCAGAAGTGAGGCAGGCCTCCATTTTCCTGGAGTTAAGATATGGTCTGTGGTCTCATGTGAGGAACTTAGGAAAGCACATAGCCATGAGGCTGACTGGTGTGCTCAGAGCCCCCCTTTGCCTTTTAACTAATTTTAACAGTGTTTAATCATCCTTTTAAAATTCTAATTTTGATATATAATAAAACCTTAAAGTATAAAACAGTATATCACCCAAAGTCTATCTCCAAGGGAGATGGGTGGTTCAAAAATGTGAAAAATAAATATTTTATTTTTTCTGTTTCCGAAGGCCACAATAAAAAGCAATTTGGATTATAATAAGTATAATTTATAAAAAGTGTTCTTCACGAACAGTAAATTTTTATTTCACTGTTAAGAGATGAAGCTCTTTGTATATAGGAAAATCACTGTTCTATGACTTTTCTATACAAAGAAAAAAACTAAGTTTGAAGAAGAGGACCTTCATTACTATCAACTGAACAATCCTTTCGATATACAGAGGGCTGGTAAATCACTAACACAAGACATTTATGATGAACTTTTAAATGTTCTGCATTATACATTTGGGCAAAGTTCACATTTCACTAAGTCAGGATTAACAGACCTAGACTGCAAAAATCTAGACCATCAATAGATAGAAGCAGAGTAATTTTTTAAAATTATCTTTCTCTGCTCCCAACTACTGCTTGTATAGATTTTGCAGACTAGATCTGATAGCTCTAACTTGGTTTTATTTAGCTTGTGATATGGATTTGATCAACTGTGTTTCCCCCCCATAAAATGGTTTCAAGAGCCCTGATGGCGCAATGGTTAGAATGCAGTATTGCAGGCTAATTCTGCTCACAGTCTGGAGTTCGATCCTGAACCGTTCAAGGTTGACTCAGCCTTCCATCCTTCTAAGGTTGATAAACTGAGGACCCAGATTGTTGGGGGCAGTATACTGACTCAGAGAGTGTTGTAAAGCACTATAGGGCTGTATATAAGCCTAGGTGCTATTGCTTTGCTATTCAAGCCTTGGCTTATCCTGATGTACACTCTGTCTCTTTTCCCCATCCAAAGTACTTTACCAAATCTTCAGTGGTTTTTAGAGGCTCAGTGTCAGGAAGCTCTTTCCTGGATAGTCTCCAAATATATTGTGTAGCAAGTTTAAAATGTAATTTCTGTGCAATTTCTTCCTGAGTACATGCTACAAGCAAAGCTTCCCAGAAGTCTACCAAGAATTGGGGAACAGCATCTTCATTTTTACCGGTCAGTATCTGCATTCCAAAAATATATAAAAAAGGAATTACTTGCACTATGTATCACTGCAGCTCTTTTCCCCTCAAAAGCTGGGGAGGTCACTGGTTATCAAACATTGCTCACTCCAACATTCAATCACAGTTTGTTTTAAATACTGCTAAGCTTTAATTGGTGGGTTCATTCTTCAACTGCAAACAGGCCTTACTTTGGTTAACTGACATGCATGAATCATATTATTACATTCAGCTATAAATACAAAATTAGGAAATAGATTTATTTTCCCCCAAAAAAACCCCACACTTAGAATTGATATTGCTTTATCATTTTCAGTTCTATGCCATTTTCCCATTAAAAGCCATGCTTTTCAGTGACAGCAATTCAAATCAATCTTTGGCTGTATTAATTGTCTATTACATGAATTAGACTATTGAATTTTTTATACTTCTCTTTCGTATAGTAGGAGAAAAAAATGACTCCAACTTTTATGTATCATTTAATCATAAAGTCTATAGATTGGAAACAGAATTATTTTGATAGATCTTAACTATAAGGATGGTAGGAGTTATGTTTTTTATTTTATTTTCTATACTGTGTTTTTATTACTTTTGAGCCACCTAGAGTCATCTGAGTGAGTAAGTGGCCATATAAATTTCCTAAATAAATACATAAATAAAAAGAGCAAAAAATAAAAATAAAAAATGGTGCACAACAAACCTTGATACAAGAGCCTGCTTCTTCCAGTTCCATTTTATTATTCTCATGTAAAGCCAATAATGAAGCTAGGAGAAATCCAGGTCTGGTCTCTTTCAGATACAAAGCAAGTTCAGTTGGGTACATTTGTCCTTTAATGTGCTGTTTTAGAAGTCTTGGCTCCCGAATAAAACCACATACCAATTTCATCTGCAGACAAAATACAAGATCTAGCTAGTGGTTCCACCCTACATTTTGAATGGTAGCCAATTTATTTTTTTTTCAATTTTTTAAAAAAAAATCTAGCAAAAATATATGCTTAGACCATATTTATTTCAAAAGACCAGGGTGCAGATGGTATTCCTAATGTCAATGGATATTACATGGTAAACAAGCTAAGGGACTCAATGTTTCATTGCTTTCCTTTGCAGAATGATCAAGCCATGACACATTCATTGCTGTGGTTTACACTCACATTGTACTGACAGATATTTTAATCATGCTTTACTAAGTCACAACTAATTAGATTTACACACATAAAGCTGAAAGCAGATTAAATACATTTTGAATTAACATTGACTCAAGTCACCAGCAATAGCTCTAAATGAGCTCTATCAAATTCATCCTCAGTCCAAGACCTGAAAACTGTAGAATTAAAAACTGATTTGCAAATAATACAATTATTATTTGTAAATATATCCACTAGGAGTAGTCTTATTGGAAAGGATGTGAAGTAAGATTGTTCTCAATTCCTGCTGCTCATTGAACAGGACCTAGTATTTTCACTTAACTCCTGAAATACATGCTCCACCTCTCTGAGTCTCAGCAATGTATGATGAGACAAAAACATGTTCAACCCCACAGACTAGATTTTGCCTAGAAAATGCAGAGAATGTTATGCACAGATGTTCAGGATAAGCTTCTTTGAGAAAGGATGCCAATAAGATTGCAGCAAAAAGATGCTATTTCACGTGGAAGTACAGAATTCCTTTCTGATACTTAAAACATCCATACTGAACCTGGTATTCTGCTGATGTGGCGGATCACCCCCATAAAGGCACTTTTGGTCTGGAGTTACACTATTTTCAGTTCTAGACATCTGGAGGTCATTAGAACAGGGAAAACTAACAAAAATATGAGCAATGTAAAACAGAGGAGGGATATTATATTCATCTGAAAAATGCTATAACTAGAGCGTAAACTCATCCATCAAATCTCTTATTCTGCAATATAACTTCTATCTTTATTCTCTAACAATGTCAATTGCAAAAATACTATATCTAAAAGGAAATTTACTCTCCCCTCATGAAAAAAGGAATCATTCATTCAAGCTTAGGACTGAATGCCAAGACAAACCCATCTCACTTCCTGACTGCCACTTACCATGCTAAGACATTGGCCCACCTAGAATGTTGCGCTATAAGGAATAGTTGCAACAGGGATTTTTTCCCTTTGTCTGAGATACTGGGGTCTAGGACCTTCAGTCTGCAGATGGGAGCTCTGCTCTTGTACCTCTGTTCTTCTCCAAAACAGTGAACAGACTGAAATGTCTGCAGGAAGGAAAAAAATCATGGAAGATCTACTTCCAAACATAATTGTTAGCAGAATGTTGGTACAGGAAGGCGGTGCAGAGTGTGATGAGAATGGCCGAAAAGATCATTGGCAGTTCCCTCCCTCCCATCCAGGACATAACACAGAAGCGCTGCTTGAGCAGGGTCCGTAAGATTATCTGGACACTACACATCCTCTTCATGACCTGTTTTCCTTGTTACCTTCTGGGAGGGGGCTTCGTGGTATTCGAAGCAGAACATCCAGATTCAGCCATAGTTTCATTCCATACAGCATTAACCTTGTGAACTCTCAAGCTTCCTCCTTCCGTTATATATTCAAGATGGAAAATATTTAATATTTATTTGCTACATATATGTAGGGATGTGGGCCTATACATATGTTGTTCATAGTATGTTTAGGTGTGTGTCATGTATGTGTTTCACTTTGAGAGCGGGCAACTAAATTTCATTTTTGATGTGTGCCTTCGTGCCACAGTATAAAAATGACAATAAAAGTTATCTTATCTTATCTTAATTACCTCTATTGTGTTATAATGATGTGTATGTATGTATACATATAGGATATGTATCCCCCAATAATCTGTACCTCTGCTTGGCTGTCCAGCTCCTTTTTAGATCCATCCCAATCCCCCTTTTTCAGAGCCACTGAAGCCTTGGCCAATGTGACCACAACAGATGGTGCCACCTTTTCTATCATTTCCAGATATTTCATTGCCATTTCAGGGCATACATTCTTCATGCAAGGACTGCAGAGGATGTGGGGTATCTGGTTTGGCTCAGCATGGTGGAATATCTGGAGCACTTTTGCAGCCCAGTCCTAAAAATGCAAACAGATATATCAATCTAGTTCTTGTTACAATCTTATTTATAACACAAGGCATAAATGTAATCAGCGGTTATCAAACTCTCTAAAAAGTCATAATAAAATATCAAAATAATGTGAAGTAGCTCATGAGAGAACTGGGTAGATCCCTGAATCATGAAATGCCCATAATTTGCAACAGTTCTTTCAAGATTCAACTTTTCCTGTCTACTTACTTGGGCAAAATAAGTAATCTTTGGAGGAACCTACAATATTAGGCATCTGAGAGCATGTAATGGCTGCATTCCCAGAAGACTTGCCAAATATAAACTATCCTGGGAAGTCCTCTATTACGCCAGTGGAATTTCTTGCTTTTGTGGGATAGGAGAACACTCTCAAAGGCACCCTGGACAATTGTCAGCCCTTTGAAATAGATCACGTCATCAGGAAATAGACTTCTCAAGAATTATTTTTATTTTTGATGACTTCAAGTGAGTCTTGACTCCTGGCAATTGCCTGAATTAGTTCCTGTAATTTTCTTGATAAGATTTCAGCAATGATTTGCGATTGCATACTTCCTAAGGCTGAGAGAGAGTGATTGGCTCAAGGTCTCTCAGCTGGTTTTGTGGCTAAGACAGGACTAGAACTCATGGTCTCCTCCTGGTTTCTAGCCAAGTGCCTTAGCCATATAGATAGTCCTCAACTTAAAACCATAACTGAACCCAGAATTATAGTTATATTTCCTGCTGGTTGTTAAACGGGTCATCAAATGATCAGGCTGATTTTATGACATTTTTTGCAGTGATCGTTAAGCTAATCACCGTGGTTGTTAAGCAAATCTGTGGCTGTTAAGCAAACCCATTGCCTGCAATACACATTTGAAATGGAAATGGAGATAAACACCAGTTTTCAGAGGAAAAAATGCCAAGTGACTGGTTGTAAGTCAAGGACTGCTTCTATCCTAAACTGGCTCTCTTTTATGAACAGCACAGGGGAGGTATAGCTTCTCAGTTTATAACAGAACACCTATTCACTGTTTAAGGCTGCAGTCCTAAATCCACTTACCAGGGATTAAATTCAACAGAATTAATTTCTGAGGAAACATTGAGTTAGTTTCCCTGCATATTTATTTAACATTCTGGTGGCCAACAGTAATAGGAGTTAGTCCTACTCATTTTCTTAAATGCTTTATTTACTCTGTTGACTTTGTTCGTTATTGTGAGTGGAAGAAAAGAATCAACACAAGACATGAACCTTCTTATATGTATGAAGGACAAGTAAAGAAACTCATCATCTTACTTCATTTAGCTTTTCATCTATGTCTTCATACAAGGAATGCTGCAAGTAGAATATAAAACCTTTTCCATACTTCTGTGTTTTATCTCCAAATGCTACTCGCTTCAGAATGTCAGATATAGAAAGGCTGGACATTTTATAGTAAGGGAGTGCAAGATGGAAGTCTTTGGTGTCAAATCTAAAAGCATAGAAGTCAACAAAGATACATTAAAATCTATTTAATAAACATCTCTCTGTATGGGTAACTAAAATTAGAGTTGGTCTTACAATAGTCTTGTACTGGAACTACAGGCACATAGCTAACGGATCAGGTTTATTTAGTAAGAAGAGAACATGATATTTTTCATAAATGTGGCTCTAATTTAGCTCATTATAATTTTTTTTTACATAATTTAAAATTTAGTCTTTTCCAGGCTGTATATCTCCCTCCACAATCTCTAAACGTGATTTTAACTTTAATTCTAGCAACTGTAATTCAAAGACCTCTGAAGAAAACCAAAACATGGAAAATAGCTTACAGAATATTAAGTTCAACCATTAGAATGGGAAATTTCAGATTTCATACTTTCTCTTTGAATTTAGCATATGCTCTTAAGGTAGGTAAGTACAGACCACAATACAAAATTAGAAAAAGAGCCAGGAGAATAGAAGTTGAGATGGGGATGAAGGCAAGCTAGGTTAACTACGAAGCTCTTTAAGTTCTGTGTGTATTGTTCTGACTTATAAGAGAAAACTCCTTTTGACAAAAATGTGGACAGTTGAAAGCAGAAGTTCAAATTGCTTCTTAATCATATCCTATATAAAGCAAACAAAAAGATGGGGACTGGAAGATTGATTGCCATGTCCTTTATTTTCTTAGACATTCTGCATCCTCGAAATGAATTGACTCCCATTTTCTGCTGTCATTAAAGATTATGGGACTTGCAGTCTAAATCAGTTGAAATCCTCCATTTACACACACACACACACACACACACACACACACACACACACACTGTGGATGTATGTGTGATAAGATATATCTGGGCTGACCTATTCTCCCTTATTTCTTTTAGCTAAGCTGAAGATGTACGAAGATTATTTATCTTCCTTAAGACAAGAACATAGTAGTGCTTATCTTGAATCAAAGGTGACCTCTAAGGCAGTGCATGGTCTTTAAGAAGACAATTCTGCAATGAAGTTCCCAGTATAATTTCCTCCCTGTGATATGATCAGAATAAAGATTTTTCTTGCACAAAATATTCCGACCTGCTGTAACAGTCTCCAAGAAGAGCACAACTCTCATGAAACGCTGCTAGGAGAGCTTCCTTCTCCTCCGAGTCTTTCAGAGAAGGATCCATTAAAGCTGTTCTGACTAGCAAATGAGCCTCGCTTAAGAGATGAATACAACTCTCTGTTCTTACATTTTCATAGGTCTTGCTGTATTCTACCTAAAGCAGAAAAAAGGGGGTCACTTTCAGATTCACGTTAGGCCACAGTACATTATCCTATTTCTGTAAGTCAATAAAATAAATGCAGAATAACACAGTACCATTTCTTTGTAGAGTTGTAGAGTTGAAGTTGTGTTCACAATATACAAATTCCATCCAGGTTCAGATTCTGGGGAAATCTTAGGTTTGATGTTATCAGCCTTTCGGTAACTGAAAGGATACATATGCATTTGTGAATGTTAAGTTTACACAACCATAATAATTTTATCAGCTATTTTAGAATTCTTTCAATAGCAACAGAAAGGCAAGAATATATGTTCCAGATGATCAGTTGCTGAATGATCTCCTTCTGGTCCCAAACATAAAAATCTTGCCTCCACCCCAAAACTTGAAACCTTTATGCTTACAGGAGTCTTCGTGAAAGTGTTTTTTTCTCTACAATGTCCTCAGAATCTGCTTTTGTCAAAATGATGATATGGTGTTTGAAGTGAGAGATGGCTTTCAGCCCTATAAAAAGCTGCATCCTCAAGGTACAAACATCAAGAGACACAGGGGGACAAGCCTGTGAAGAAACAGTATATCTTTACATCTTGAAATTCTCTAGAACAGAAAATGGATCACTTGGCAACCTCCAACACCCATTTGTGTCCCCAAAACCTCCCAGGTTGGCCAAAAGCTTCATCCATCCAGCCGATCTTTAAAATTTGTTCCAAGAGTCACTGGAAATCAAGTGGTATTCCAAATAATTGAATAAAAAATTCTCCCCAAACTGGGTAATAAAATCAGCCCAAGGTTCATTATTTTAAGGTTTCTTAAACCTCAGTGGGTTTCTCAATAATAATTTTATAAGGTGTGATGATGGTACAGCTTTATACATATTTATAAAGACATTTTATTTCATTTTATTTTCCTCATAATTCATAATCTGAAAGTTGCATTTTTAAACACTATTCGGGTATCATTAAATTAGGAGTACTTCTGAACCCTTCTAATAAAATGCTACCCAATGAGATTGGAATGATATCCAGTCATCTGTATTCCCAGAGATTTTTACTGGAGAAAATTCCTAATGGGGTTTAAATTAGTTTTCACTGAACTATCTAATTCAAGATAACTTTCTTGATCAGATACTGGCAGCTTTAATTTTTCAAATATGCTGATGAAGTTAGGATATTTCTTTTGAAATGCACATCATTTTATGTTAGCTTTGCTTTTTTTGTGTCCATCTTGGAACTCTTCAAATCCCATTTTCATCTTCACCATGAAGTCATCCCACAGCTAGTCAATGCTACCTCTAATGCAGTGTTTGAGGTTTTCTTAACCTCAGCAACATTAAGATGTGTGAACTTCAACTCTCAGAATTCCCCAGCCAGCATGCTGAAATCCACACACGTCTTAAAATTGCTAAGTTCAAAGAAACACTGTTCTAAAGCCTTTGTACATCTGGAGCATGTTAACAAGTTGGGATGGAGGCTGAGCTGTTCACTGAAACAGCCTAATAACAAAAACATCTTTTACTTCTCTTTCATGACTACCTCATCTGGTTCTCTGGATGTGACCTGCCCTCTGGACCTACTCTACAACTAATCCTTTGGATTTAATAGGACAGTCTTGGTTATTTTCACCCTTGACTGAATTCTGACAGTCTTTGCTATATTTATCTGATTGTCCTTTCTGGGTTAATGGCCCATATGACACATGTTTTTTATTGTTTGGTCGATGCGTGCTACCCCATTGTTTGGAAACCAATCTCCATGTCACTTTTCTCTCCATTGCCTTCTGGACTACCCCCCTCCCCATACAAACTCAATAAACCAGAACAACCCTGGTTTTGTCTAAAGGTATAGAAGAGCTTCTCTTTTGGATCCTTGGAAGGACGAGAGTCAGGGTGGTGCTCACTATGACTCTTGCTCTAAAAAAATGTTAAATGAGGCTAACAGCTTCCAAAAGGTCACCCACTTTTGCATCACAATTAAGGACATGTGGATTCTGGAAAGAAACAAAGCTAATCTCAGAAATGAATCAGAGCACCTTTAATGTTGTATCAATGTAGGGGTCTTCGTTCCGAGCTGCTGCAGCACTACATCTCACTGTAAAACACTGCAGGTTGTTGCTAAGGGGAAAACAAAGAGGAATTAGGCTGGATTATATCCATCAGGCCACTGCCAAGGTGTTATATTCCAGATGTGTTATAACTACAACTCCTAACAGACTATGCAAGCAGGAGAATTTTAAGGGTTGAATGCTAAAGCATATAGAATATTTGATTATTAGTGTGTAACAATGTAAACACAATACACTGTGAAATATATAGAACTATTGTTTGAACTAATCAGCTAGAGCTAGAGCTAGATTCCAGATAATCTCCTTCAGATATGTCCAGGAGAATCACCTCAACAATCCCATCTTGGAGATGCAAATCATAAGTGCTCTTATCAATAAAGAGGAATTAATTAGGATCTCTACTGAATAAGAATATTGTTTATAAAGTCTGGGTTGCCATAAAACCTTCTATATAGAACGGATGAAATGTCATGTGCAGATTTGATAAATTTAAGCTTAATAATAAATAATCTTGTTAGTTTTGTGCAAACTGCCAAGATGATTACTATGGTTTGCGAACAATATTATATGGCTTAGTACCACAATATTAAGCCACTGCAGTTTAACAAATTACAGTTAAATAACGGCTTGTCCAGAATCTATGGTATAGTACAATTCTTAAACACAGAAGACACAAACTTTTAGATCTTTATTGCAGGCTATACAGAGGATTTTCTAAAATAAAACTTCTTTCCTTTCCAGCATTAAATTCCTATCCCATTTCATATTTCACCATGTGGAATTTTGTCTGTATATCTGGTGAAGGAACATAAATGCTGCTTTCTTATCAATATACTGTATATATTCTTGGTCAGTTGTGCTCAAACTTTGCAACCCATTTCTCAACACAGAACCTGAACCATTATTGGAATGTTCTGGACCTTAATCAAGGATGATGGACAATAAAATGTGATACCTTGTAATGACATGCAGGAACTGGGGTGTAAGAACTGCTTGCTGGGATCTTTCTGAATATTGGTAGGTAGAAATAAGTTCCACTAAGTCATTGATTGTGTAGAGGTATGCCACATGAGGTAGGGAGAAAAAGCAAAACAAACTCAGGAATTCTTGTTTAGATGTATCTTCTTCCTTAGCCGTGACAGAAGTCCCTAGATGAAAAAAGAGAAAATCTAGCACCAGATACTAGGTAAGAGCTGTAATCTTTGAGCCTTCTCTCAATCCAGCAACTTTAGAAATTTTGAATCAGATGAACTGTAGATGTCTGGCTAATTTGGGATGATGATAGTGAAGAAGATATACACAAACCTTGTGTAAAATCCCAAAGGGAGGAAAAAAATTCCCTACATACATACAGCCAAATGAGAATTGAGTATATTTGGTAGAGCCAAAATTCTGATATTCTGATGGGAGAAAAAAAAAGCAAAAGAAGCACAATAGGAACATTCTGAAAGAAGAAGAAATGACTGATTAGGCAGTTTCTTGGTGCAACCATCTGATGCAGAGCTTTGTTACATGCTAAACTCCCAGTGATCCTGGAGCAAAATTACCTTAGTAACATTAGATCATCTAAAACTAGATTAACATTTATACCATATGAATTAGGAGATATTTTGTGGGTTGAGTACAAGAGCCCTGCAATTTTAACAGTTGAAAAAAAAAAATAACCCAGAAACTGAAAGTGTAGTGAAAAACCTCTGCATATCCTGGGAAACTAACATGGAATGAAGATGTTTTTGGAAAGACCATATTTGACATCCCATTACAAAATACCAAAATGTCAGGATAAAGATTTTCAGCCCAGTTCAGTAAGATCCAATTGATCTTACACTGATGAATTTGGTATTAAACCCAAAAGATCAACAGGAACTAGAGTTCTGATCCCTGGAACTTGCCATTAATTGTATGCGAAGGGTGGACAAAGTTGATAGCAGCTTGAATATAATACAAACTGTTCCTACAGTCTCTTCTCATAATCAACAGATCCTCCTCTTATTCCATCCAACTTCATTCCATCATGTTACAAGCTATAACTCCAAGAAAATTTTAAAGTAAAAAATGAATTCAAAAGAGACATTTTTTTAAAAAAAATACTGTAACCCTCTAGAAGCTTTCAACTGAATGTATATAAATTTCTAAATTGCCACAGTATTGCAATTTATGATTGGATTTATGATTCTGAAATTCTCACAATTGAAGCTATTTTAAATATGACTCTGATCCATATTCTTAGGTTACTGAAATTAAAATTTGCTGTCAATATATGATATTGCATTTATTGAAAATATTTCCCCATTATAAACTCTAGCTTTGTCTAGCATATGGTAATCTAATATTGGAAATGGGATGCATTTTTCCACAACATCCATAATGATACTGTAGATTCAGAAATGTACCTGATTCATGTATTGGCAGCAGCTGAAGAGAGTGCAGTTTGGCATCTTCAGCAGAAAAAGGAAATGAGGACACATCAAGAGCAAAACGCCTACAAAGAAAAGTGACAAATGAAAAGATGATAAACCAGCTGTTTTCTACTTTTACAATGAAATCACAGGAATCTTTATGCAATTTTTTGCTCTTTCATATTGCATTGGAAATTGCTCAAGTCAGAAGTAGTATCCAATTTAAGCAGGGCGCAACAGAAGTAGTTAAGATCTCTGTGCATTAGCAAACAAGTACGTAAGACTGACTAGTCTTCACATTTGAGCATTCTTTAACAGTTCTAACAATTTGCATTTTTTGGCTAAAATGGCCTTCTAAAACTGGCACATAAGACATTGTAAGTGTTCCTATTGTTTCTTTGGTGAATTAGAACAGAGTAATAGAGTTGGAAGGGACCTTGGGGGTCTTCTAATCCCAATCTCCTGTTCAAGCAGGAGACCCTATATACCATTCCAGAAAAATGGCTGTCCAGTCTCTTCTTTAAACCTCCAGTGATGAAGCACCCACAGCTTCTGAAGGCAAGCCATTCCTCTGGTTGATTGTTCTTACTGTCAGAAAATTTCTCCTTAGTTCTAGGCTGGATCTCTCTTTGATTAGTTTCCATCCATTGTTTATCTTGCCTTTTACTTTACATGGAAATCAAATGAATCTGCCCAGACTGATTTTACAAGTATTTTTACCACAATTCTGTTGTTAAGCAAATCACACAGTGAGTAACTGAATCTGGGTTCCGCAATTGTCTCTGCCTGTTGGAAGCCACAAATCACAACCACATGACTGCAAGAAGCAGCAACTATTATAAATGTAAACTAGCTGCCAAGCACAGGAAATGCAGTCTCATGCCTTTGGGGTGCTGTGATGGTTGTTAACTTCAAGGATAGGTTGTAACCCAGTTTTTCTAAGACCATTATAACATCAACATTATATTGACAAACTGTTGTAAGTCGATGATTGATTTATTTTGGAAAATGTTGGATACTGATACTTTATATAATTTATGAAGTAATTTATAACAACAATCTATAGAATATATCACTATATTAGCTAACATTAGCTGCGGGAGAAAGAGACATAAAATACTACATTTTCAAAGCATGAGCAACACTATCAGAGAGGAAACCATGCCATTGGGATAACTAGTTTTTAGAGAATGCTTGCTGTTTTATCATCACTAGAGGGAAAACAATATGCAGGTGGACTCTGTCCTAACAGCTGAAGAGAGAGAGACAAATTAGTATAGACAGATGATTTTAACATTGCCTATTTATCTATAACTTGGAAAAAGAACATTTTGTTTATGCTGTTTTGGAAGACCCTCCCCAACTTAGATTTTAAGTGAACTATGGATGTTTTATTTTATATTTTATGTAAGCTGTTGACAATAATTTCATTGTAGTAAGTAGTAATAGAGATGAATATCCACAGAATGTTTTGTTTAGTTTTAGCTTATTGTAAGCTGTAAACGTACTTTGCAGCTGAGCATGTTATATGAACCAGGTTACTAACATTTGCTTGACAAATTGTTAAACCGGGTACATGGATCCAGCCAACCAGTGATATTAGATGATGATATTTGTTGCTTTGATCTGCCCTACTATAGGGCAAAGTGAAAGCTTGCATTTCAGAGAGGAATGGTTATTAATATTGTGACCTGTATGTACAATACATATATCCACAAAATCTATTATTAGCAATAATCTGTTTTATTACCTGTACAGAACATATTGCACTTGGAAATTTAAATCTTCACCAGTTAAGCTAATAGACTCCAAAATAACAGGTATCTCACACTTGCTACTTTCTTCTCCGAAAAGTTCCACTGGCTGCTGACAGAAAACAAACCCATCTGATTCTGATTGAGTTTGATCAACTTCCTCGGTTATACCTTTAGTAACTAAAGTGGAAAAGAATGTCAGTATACAATGTCAACTCTCAAGAAAACTAGAACTTAATAGAGGAAATACTACTAGCCTAACCTTGTACAGGTGGTCCTTGCTTACCAATAATTGGGACTGGGGGCTGTTGCTAAGCAATGCAGTCATAAAACACAACATCACATGCCCCACACTGACTTATACTGGCAATCCCAGTTGCTGTTGTTAGGTGAATCTCACATGACTGCAGCATCCCATGGTGATCACAATCATGTGATTGCCATTTGCACCCTCCTGCCAGCTTCTCCACTGATCTTACTTGTTAGAAGCTGGCAATGAATGTGGAATGTCATGTCATAATTGTAAGCTGGTTGCTAAGCATCTGACTCGCAAACATGTGATTACAGGGATGCTGCAATGGTCGCAACTATGAGGACGGGTGGTTACGTTCCCCTCATTCACACTGTTGTAACTTTGAAAGAACGATTTTTGAATGACCAACTGTATGCTACTTTTCTCAAGACCAGAAAAACTGATCTTGGGAGGCACAGTCTTGATCTGGGTATTTTAAATATCATACTGACCTTCATTAATGGGTATTTCAGGCTCTACAAATTCACAGATATGCTGTTTGCTATTACCAGCCAAAGTTACTTTCTCCCCAGTTAGTAGCTTGAAGACAAGGACTTCCAGTTCTGCTGTGACAGCAACATACCCTGCACAAAATGCAACTTCTGTTGGGGTGAACTTCTCCATGTGCAAAATTAAGGAGCGCTCAAAGTCCAGCACTTTTACATCCTCACTCACAACTAAATGCTTCAAGTGGAATAATATCAACTTATTCTTGCAGCCAACCAATAGGTCTCCTGATAAAGGGCAACAGGAGAAACATGTGGGAGGATCAGAAAGAGGTATTTCTATGATTGACATTTGTTCTTTAGAAGTCTCAGTATAGGAAGCTTCTGGGTTATGACCCTGCATCCGCACACAAACGCGTGAGTTGCCAGAGGACATGTATCTCCAGTTAACGTAAACTCGTAAGAAGAGGGTGCTGTGTTTCTCCTCAATAGTGGCCACATAATCTCCTGAAAAGCAAAAGTTGATTTTGAAAAAAATTGGCCATAAACATAAATGCCATAGTGAAACATAGGAGTGTGTATAATCAAACTATAATGTAAATGAAGTTTAGCTCTTGAATTAGCTGGAAATTCCATCAGAAGATCATGCCAAATCCGTAACAGTGCCATGAGACTTTGTATTTTGTATTTATCATAATTAGCAAACTTGTACGTTAGAATACCCTGATTTACTACATGGGGATTGTGTAACATCACCGACTGGGTAAGACTGTATTTATATGTCTGTTAAGAACAGTTAATATGAAAATCCTAGCAGATTTTATTAAAAGGATGCTGATCATATTGACTATAGATTATAGAATAAGGACTCTTAGACAAAGTCTTGGCTCAAATATAAAACTCAAGTTACTGGAAAGATAAACTTGAAGGTTGCCTTCAAACTAAGCACTAATCATTAGTTTTGATGTTGTGCAAACCTCATTGCTTTTTGAAGGCATGATTTACAATTTACATTTGGGGTTCCTCAGTATGCTGCCTGGGGACACTAACAAGCCCATATTTATAACTGCCCTCCTCCTCTAGCTCATTCTTCTTTTAATTCAACAGGAAACTGGTGTAGGGCAAAGCAAAATGTCAGCCTTTAGCATCATCTTTGTTTCCAAGCCTGACTCTGAACTCGTAATGAGCTCCAGAAACTTCGTTTATAAGTGCCTCTAACTTCCCAAGAAAAGTATCAAAGTACGAAGGGGAACAAGGGTGGTGGTAATTAACATACTGGAAATGATATATAGTAGTAAATTGTGGAAATTGTGGAAAACTTTTGGGAAAAGTGTACAGTAGAAATGCCACCTTTGGTTAAGTTTCCACCAATTTTTCTTCTAATTTCTTTATAACTGTAGCCTTGTTCACTTAATAATACTATTTTACATCACTTTCTGAGCAACCAGTCAACTCTTTGCACCATTACTTTAATTTTATTATGTTTTACAAGCTCACTAAATGAAAGAACACAAAAAACCCAACCAACTTGATAGCGATCACATAACACCCTGACAAATGTCATCTCAGCTTCAATACATGACATCAATAACTGAATCCTACTGTGATCTGATTGGCTCATTGCCAAAACAAGATGACACCTGATTGGCTCTCTAAACACTAATGCTCATTGGCTACAATCAGATGAAGAAAAGCTACCTGATATCAACCTAAGGAAGTTGTGCTTCCTTTTTCTGGTTCTTGTTCTGGCTATAACTTTTCATAGAATACAGTACAGATAATTGAACAAACTTTGTTGCATTACATTCTTGATTAAATTATCTTTCCATTGATTTATAATTTTATGGTACTACTCCAAAAAAAGTGTTATTAGCCATCAAACCTCAAAAATACACTTTTCCCAAAAGGTTTCCACTATTTTGGCCACTACTGTAAAGGTTTATTATTTATTAAATTTATATGCCGTCCGACTTTCTATCTGCTAACTCCTAAGAGTTAGGTGTTTTCCCGGCATGATTTCATAAAGGAACAAGGGCCCCGAGGAATCAGTTGATAAGAGTTTCCACCAGGCCAACAATGGTCACAAAATTCCATAATTTTTTGTCTCGTCCATCAAGACAAGAAGCCTGGCTTCGCTTATGAGCCAACTTTCGTTTAGAAAGGAAATGTCTGTTCTTTGGAAAAGGCAGCATATTTAGTGAACTGCCTTCCTTCCGACTCGGTTCTGGATGTCCAGCCGGGCTTGCGCTTACCCACTTCGCCGTACGCCATGGACAGCACTCGGCCCAGAGTACTGAAGGAGCCGAGTGGCTCGCAGAGTTCCGCAAACACTTCCACCTTGCAGGCGCCGGGGCCGCAGGCCACCAGGAGTACGTCGCGCCCGCAGCAGAAGAACGCCGGTTCCTGCTTCAGAGGAACGACCTGCTGCGACCCAAACGGGTGCAGGTTGTATACCTGCACCATGGCTCCAGCTAGCCCAGGCTCCCGATCCAAACCCAACTGTCTCCTGCGCAATCCTCGCCTCTGTAGCCGCTGCAAAGACTACCGCTTCCGCAAAGGGCACCGCCCCACGCCGGTCAGTTGGAAGGAGGCGTCAGTCATGCCCCCAATCCAGCCACCACGAAGGCAGCTTCTCTATCGAAGGCTGCTTGAAGCTATTTATACCGGGCTACAGGGCTTAAGGCTGCGGCCTGCTGTGGTTTACCTCCCCGAAGGCAAATCACAATGGTCAACTTCTAGGTAAAGTGGAGCAGGATTGCGCGCTACTCTCTCCACAAGAGAGAGGCGTTGTCAGCCCAATCTTGCTCTCCGCCAGGGAAATAGTTCTCCCACTCCTAAAAGTTATTTTAGTTGGGATCGGGATTGCGCTTATTTAACAGTGAGAGGAAAGGCGCTTTAGACGTGCGCTCATGTACTCTGGAGGGATTCTTAAAGTATCTGTGGGAACATGTATTTTGCAAAAAAGTTACTACGGCATTCAGTGGGATCGTTGCATTCCATTAATGGGCGCCACCATTTCTTTGGGTAATTGATTCTACGCTCATAATTAAGTTTTCGTAAAATGCCCAAGAGCAATTCAATTTTCTAATTATTTTTAATCGCTAGGTAAAAAAAGTCTCAGTAATCATGGCAACACTAATAAACAGCTTATTCTAGAATTTGTCTATTATTTTTATGGTTGATTGCGGTCAGCCAAATGCTTAGATTGGATTGGCATTTTTGTCTACCTATCCAGTCCTTAAAGAATAGACAGGTAGTTATTTAACATTAAAGTTATCGTCGCAAGATGTAAATTGTTTCGAGTAAAGCTTTTTTTTTTGCAATTGACTGGTGATGATTTTTATCTATTAAAAGTTAACCACTCCCATGACACAGCTCCATATACACGTGATAAATAAATAACGCCATGTGACAATCGAGCAGTCAAGACACGTTCATATTTATATCTTTGGACAGTCAATGTTTTCATGCCTTCGTTTGTTAATTAACAACCACGGCCCAGTTATAAAGCCCATTGGCCCCCAGCACACTAATACATTTTAAAACAACCAATAGAAACGTAGGCATACGGAGCCCAGAGTATCGACTGTCTCTGAGTTCCTTATTGGCTCAAACTTCTGGAGACGATGTCAGCGATTGGAGGCGGCCGTCGCCGTGTTCGACCAATGAAGATACGCGCATGCTCTCTGGCAAAGCGAAGGCGTCGGTCGGGTTTTGCCGCTCTCTGCAGTCTTGGCGGCCGGAAGGGAACGTTTGTAACCTTTGGCGGCCGGAGCTGCGTGGTGTCGGGATGGCTTGGAGGTTCCTGAGGTGAGCCTGATATCCAGAGATACCAAGCATGTAACGAAGCGAAACCTTTTAGCCTGGTTGGCTCCTCCGTGGGGAATGAGGCTGAGGCCGTGAACCGAAGCCTGGGGGGGGGGGATCTAGTCGAAGGGCCGCTCGGCAAGTAACGGTGTTGTTCTTGCGCTCTTTTTTTTTACTCTTTCGTTTCGTTCTGTTTTATTTGTGATTCATTCCGTAAATCATGGCTAAATCATCATCTAGTAAATAGATCATCTGATTGTGAGCGTGTGGATATCTATGGAGATTCTCAGTCTTCTAGGTCATGGTTGTCCCAAAGGTACTTTTTCAAAAAGCAAACAGGACTTTTTTTTCCCCTTGAAGACATTTCGCTTCTCATCCAAGAAGCTTCTGACTGAATGGTGGAGGAGAATGGAAGGATTTATATTGCTTACAATCATCTAGTCGTTGGCACTGAGAGTCGTTGAGGTCACTTGGGGGTTTATCTGTGCCCTCAAGGTCACCTGAGTCAGAGTGCAAATGGGTGTGGAATCTTTGTGGAACTGCTGAAAGGATGCTCCACCATTCATTCAGAATCGAAGAAACCTCTTGGATGAGAAGGGAAAAGGAAAACAAACAAACAAAATATATGCAGTACAATGTAGTGAGACCTGTTCACTGGAGAAATAGAATACCCACTTCACAAACACATGGCACAATAGGAGAACAAACCCATCAGGACAAGACTCAGCAGTCCATTTGAAAGGCAAAGGTCATTCTTTTGAAGACAGCAAAGTCCATATCTTGGACAGAGGGGACCACTGGTTTGAAAGAGATTGAACAGCCCTTTCAACAGAAGGGATGTTTACAACACAGTCCTTTCAGCAGTTCCAAGAAGGTTCCACATCATTTACATTATTTGGGTGACCCCGAAGACACAGATAAGCCTCCATGTGGCTTCAACTGTTCTCAGAAAGAGTGCTAATGACTGCAAAGAATATAAATCTATCTTCCACTATTCAGCTCTGAACTCAAGAAGCTTCTTAGATGAGAAGTGAAATGTCTTCAAGGAAAAAGTCTAGTTGCTTTTGAAAAAAAAGTACCTTTGGGACAACCATGACCTGGATGACAGAGTCTCCATAGATATCCACCTTCTCACAAATAGATGGATTTCTGAGTGTCATCAATGCTCCAAATCAATGCATTATTTTTCCCAGAATGTTCATAAAGTTAAAATGTAGAGAAAGAGCTAAAACCTGAGACAGCCCAGAGTGACTGGGAGACATATAACAGACGCTAATAAGATTTTAAAAAGTTGATTTTTCCCTTGGAAAAATTCCCCTGGAATTTTTGAGGGAATAATGGACTTTCAAAACAAAGTGAGATTGAACAAATAGTCCATGTTCTCCTGCCTAGCTCTTAACAATGTATCTTTATTGCATTTATAGAAAAGGATTAAAAGTTGATTGTGTCAGTTGAAAATCCAGCAGTTGTATTAGCATACAATTTGTAATTGTATGTAATTTAGCATACAATTTATGCTAATTGTATAATTTTAGAGTTTTTATGACAATGCATTGTTTTTTTTAGCATGCTTGCTCACTTCACAATTTGGTATATAGCAAAAAGAGAGAAAGTTATCCAACTCCATAACATCAGGCTAGTGAAAGTGAAGTTTATATATATCTTGTAATAGTTTCTCCTGTTAGTGTTAGTATGGGTGTTTTTGGTAATTCCTTGATTAGGGAGTGTTAGTATGGGTGTTTTTGGTAATTCCTTGATTAGGGTATTATTTTCTTTGATTGTTTGGTATTAATCTCTATCTGGGTATTGACTGCTGCAGAGCATGTATTGTCTTTTTGTTTCCTTCCTTTTTATTGTCTTTTGAATGGTGTGTAAATGTTTATTTCTATGTGTCTGTTGATGGCTGATTTGTCTATGGCAAGCTTCCAGAATTCCTGGGTGTGGTTTTTTTTGTGTGTTTTGGCTTGTCTAGGATGTTCACAGAACAGCAACTGGAAACAACAATAGTTCTACAGGTAGTTCTCAAGTCCTCCTCCCTTGGAGTGCTTATGATCCAAATTTAAGTTCCAAGACTCATGCCTTCCTCTGATCACATGACCACACTTTGAGCATTCAGCAGCTGTTTGCAACATACTGTGGTCACATGAGTTTTAAATGATGGTTTTGTCACAAACCATTTATTTCCAGGTTTTGGCAAAACTGTTTGCATAGTGACCCATTTGTTTTGTTAATGACTATGCTATTTACTTAATTACCACATTGTTTAATGACCACTGCAAAAAAGCTCATAAAATTGGGTCAGTCATGAAAATTAGAAATGGTTCAAGTATAAAACTAAGCATCCTATACTAAGCTACTCCCGCATGCACCCCCCTCTTTTTGCCTAGAAATCCCTGGTGCTCTTCCATCCAAGTAATGATGTAGCCTAACTTTAATCTCCTGTAAAACAAGGTACCTGATGAGTTACTAGGAGAAAGATAACTCTAATTACTAATTTAATTATCTAATAATGAGAATTTGGAGGGATTGATTGATAATGGACTGCTTGAAGAATAAATTAGCCAAGTAATTGTGTTTGCTTTTAAAAAGTTGTCAAATCCAAACCTTGAAGACCTAAAATAACTTCCTATATAAAAATTGTTTTACCTTGTCTTCCCCCCCCCTTTTTTTTTTTGTAGAGATTTCTCATGGGAATTGGATCCTGCTTTGTATGGAGATAGGCATTATAATGTTTTTACCCGTGAATTTTATCCCAGCTTAGAAGATATTATGGGAATTGCTACTTCAGGGATTGATGAAGACATAGATTCAGCGGTATTATTTGGAACTTTGCGAGGAAGTGTGGTTGGTTTACGGTATTATACTGGTGTGGTAAGTTCAGAATGATGAGAACTGGTGATATGAAGCTCTAGCTTTGTTGAGAGTGAAAAAAACCCTGTTTTTAAAATTATTAATATCTTGAAACACTGGATCAGTTCATGGGCCACACAAGCTATGGTATGTTTTTCCAAGTGTCAGGGCAGTGAGCAGGTGCTCAGATAATTGTCTTTTTTTGGATTCAGAGACAATGAGCGGTCCAATAAATAAAGAGGTTTTAAGCTTAATTGTTGGCTAAAAGCATATCATAAATAGCATACATGCAAAGCATGACACCAAGGCTGCCAGGAGCTTCTTAATAACAACAGCAGAGATATCCCATGGGCAGCTAGTTTCCACAGTACCTAACGCTGGGTTTCCTGCAGAAGCTGCCAACAAATAGCAACAATCCCACAGTTTTATCAAAACTTGGCAACATGACTTCATGGCCCTGCTATAGTCAGGAGACTGCAAGACCTAACCTGACTCTGGGATGAGAATCAAAAGTCACGTTTTATGGCAGGAAAGCTACGTGAAAGTTTTTTCTCTCTTCCACCTCCCCTTCTTAGTTCAGCAAGCAAGAATGAAAAACAGGCTAGTTCAGACTGAGCTCTAAACTTAACTTTTCTTAATGTGAAAGAGAAATAATATGTCACTAATTCCTTGCAACTATAATGATCTTCTGCATTGCCGCTACATGGTGTAGTTTGTTTAATTTGGATTTAATATGTTATATGAAGCCAGAAAATATAGCTTGTAATTTATGGTATTGTATGCTATACAAATCAGTAGATAGTGATTAAGCTACAGCTTAATATTATACGTGAACTAAAATTTGTGTGCTTATCAGTAATTGTCTGGAAAAATGTTCAGATTATTCCCATTTTAGCATGCAAGTAATATCAAGAAAAACAGCTGTCAGTTCAAATGTTAACAGTTATCTATAAAGCC